GAGGTATTTATGTATTTCCTTAAAAAAGAACAAATTAACAAAAATAAATTTAGACAAAAATTGAGTCTTAACATTTAAATAGATTTCCATGATAAACGTCTGTATTTAAATTCGAATAATAATAGTTATAGAAAAAAATTATTATTAGATCTTATTTTTAACAGATTTGCATATGTAACTATTTCAACTAATTTAGAATAATAGATATTAAAACTTTTTAAATTGACTTTAAATGAAAAGTATCTAAATATATGAAAATTATAATTTTGTGTATTTCATATATAATTTCTTATTATATATGACTACCATATATCAATGATTTTCTGAATTTTACAATTAACATATTATCAAATTTTCATGATTTCTTAAAAATATCTAAACAAGAAAATTGATCAAAATTCTAAAATAAAAATAAATTTAGATATTAAATTTATCTACTACGTAAACCAAATTTAATATAGCAAAAAATATTAAATAAAAAATAATAATAAATATCTGTATTTATGAAAATTATATTTTTGCCATAAAAAGTGGACAGTTAAATTCAAAAATTTGCATATGCATATTTACTTTTTTGAAATGGTCATATATTTTTAAAATATATAAAATCATATTTAGGGAAAATAAAAAGAAACAAATATGTTAGATTAGAAAATAAGCAACTAATCAAATTGTACAATAGCATAAAATGTGGAGAAATATTCAACATAATTGAATCTTTAACAAATAAGTAAAAATGTTTAAATAAATCACTAATAAAAATTTGTTTTCTAAATTCAATTGAATAAATATTTCATATCACATACAATATCTTATTTTCACATTAAATCTTCATATTGAGAAGCGAACTTAAAATCTACATATATGTGAGATTCCGAACAATTTTTGATAAAATATGAGACATAAATTTTGGATAACATGTTAAAGTATTTTTTGATAATTATAGTTAGTTTTCAAAATTTCACTAACTTGAGTAAGGGTGAACTTTGAAACATGTAAATCTCTATTTTGGAACGATTATTTGAAATTTTTACGTAATGTTGTTTTCAACAAACATGTAAATGGTGTCATTTATATAAAAAATATATGATCTTATCTTATAGGGAAAAAAGAAAAAGGGGACGGGTAATTTAAAAAAAAAAAAAATTATCTAAACTATTTCTCATCAAAAACAAGACAATAAAATTTTTTTTTGAAAACTTAAATTCAATTTCAAATTTCAAATAACAAATGACGGGTATGATACATGTATATGAAATTTAAATAACAAATTTAAGTTTCAAATTTTCTAAATATTTCAAATATCGGGACAAAATACAGAAAAAGAACGGATAATTTAGAAAATAATACTTATTATCTTAACTATTTCTAATAATATACAGAAGGAAATTATGGACTTTCTAGCAAGACAAGTTCGTTCCTATCCGCATATGGTTAAGTATGTAAACAACTGTCCCCCCAATTGGCTCAGCTGAGTTAATCCTATTTTTTTTGTTAGCAATCAAAAGACAAATTATTTATTTTTGTGGGTGGGTCAAAATATTTCAATTCGTTTCAGGACATGCATACTGAACGTATTTGACTCTCTTAATATATATATTTAGGTCCATAAAATTCAAAAGCTTTATGTTTTTCATTGTTTTTATCTGGTGTTATAGTTCACGAATTTAATTGATTTCTAACTTATCATTAATCCGGTTCACACTCGAACCGGGTCTTTTATCATATCGATCTATATATTACAAATTTTATAATAAACTTAGTTTTTGAAATCAACCCCGCACGTACGTGCGGGTCCATCCCTAGTAAAAATATAAAAACCTTTTACACAAATCTATAAATGCAAATAGAAATATTCCTTTCTCCAAAAAAAAAACTTTAATTTAATTATTCTTTTTCTTACAATATTCTACAAAAATATATTTATATCATTAATCTTAATAAACTCAACGACATAATTTAATTTTGGTGTTGTTTAATCCTGAAATAAGTACTTGGTATATGAGATTTAGTTGGATCTGCTCCAGAAAAATAGGGTATATGGATCAAATATCCGCTTATTTAAAAGAAATAGCTCAAAACCCAAAATAATTTAACAATGATAATTACGAGTATTTTTAAAATGAATGTGATAAATATGAAAGAATTTAAAAAACCATTTGAAAGAATTTACATAGATTTTTTTGTTTTATTTATATTTTATAATTTTGTAATTTGTAGCTATTTTTCCATGGACCATAGATAATCCAGATCCACTAGGAATTGTTTCTTGGATTTCAATTCAGATCCTAAACATTTCAGGTTTCTAGTCTATTTCTATCCGGATGACGAGAAAAAAGAGTCTATATCTATCCCAAGTTATATAGAGAAAATGAACAATATTTACAAAATAAATTATATATTTTGAACCACGCATCAAGAATGTAAGATAATCATAAATTAATATTGATTTTTATAATTACTTTGTTAAATCCTAATAGCCAATTGTCAATTGTGATAACAAATCTGGATGATTGAGTATTTATTAACATGATTACCGATTAAAATAATTAGAAAGGTATGAAGTATTTATACCTTGGATGTTGACAAATTTGACTCCATTGAAGTGACACTTAAATCCCGGTGTTATGTAATTAATTCGAAAAATGGGGTGCGCCAATACTGTGAATTAAGAGAAGGAAAACTAGTAACATTTATAGTATAGTAGGCTTTTAATCATTTACCTTACACTAATAATGAAAATACTTTAATAGTTTTGACTACATTGCTAAGTAATAAAGTTTCAACATTATTTTGACTCATTTTTGGTACTTTCTAAAGAAGTATTGTTGAAAATTGAGTTGAGGAAGATTTATTTGACTATAGTTTCAATTTAAGTTATGTTATTTAAATCTAAGTTGATTTTTATATTATAAGAGGAAGAATTATTTGACTATAGTTTCAATATAAGTTATATTCTAAGACCACAATGAAGATAAGTACTTTCCAGTTTCCACATCTAGTCCCCAAAAAGGTTGGGTTTCTCGAGCCATTCCTCCTCCGCTTGTGTGCGGTATTCTTTTATGTACCGACTTGATCATATAGACATGCCCAATAATATGGTAAACATATTTTTAATTATTACTTGTTTTTTTTTTTAAGTTCTTTGTATGTCTAAAAATCAACTACTGATTTTTCTACTCATCTATATATAATTTGTTGATTATGACATATATGATCACCATGCATGTTCAAAAATGAAGCATAAAATTTGATATCTAGAGTACATGTTTTAAACGTAACAATTTTAGTGTGTATTTTACTAGTGTGACTAATTAGCGATAAAACATCAAATTTGAAATCCTATATTCTTCATTTGTTTTTAAGATCGAAACTGCAAATCTAGATTGGTAAGTTTATATAGTTATTTACTATTATGTTTTCGCATAGCATTTCAATATATTTTTTCGTACAAAAAGTCAAAGTCTTTTATCATTCGAATCATTTTCTACCATATTAGGGTTTAAATGTATTGTACCCTAAATTAATTTCCTATCGAGTTTACTAGGTAATATATCTCTGGTCAAATATTCAAGAATTCAATCTCAGAAAGAATAAATTGGTTCAACGTATCCGTTATATTTTATTTAGGAAATTCATGTAACCAATTACCTATAAAAAGACCTATTAGATCTCAATGAAATTCATTAACACAAATCATTAGAATATAACACGTTATACAAACAAACAAACAAATACTTTCAGAAACCAAAAAAAAATGGACAAGATCAAATCTTTAGTTGTTGTGAGTGCCATCACAATAATTTTGTTGTTGGTCATTACAGGTTAATCAAACTTTCTCGATCTCTATCATTTTTCTTCTAAACACTTTCTAAGCTTTATTGTAGCTATGTTTCTTATACCATTACGTTTCTATCTGACTAATTAAACTTTCTTATTTTGCAGAACAAACAAGTGCAACTGGTCAAGATATTTTCTGTAATGGACCGTGCACTGACCCTGTGAAATGTGAGCAGTTGTGCAAGTCTCAAGGTTATGATACATGGTTGTGTCAATCTTTTGGAAAGGGAACCACGAAGAGTTGTTGCTGCGTACCACCAAAGAAGCAAGTCTCTCAAGAAACAGTTCACCTGAACCATTAAACTACTTTCACATAATCTTCAAATTTTATGCATGATCACTTTACAATAAAGAAAGTTATTTAAAAAGGTTATAATCATATTATCATTATTATCGTATGTGGCACTGCTCTACTCTTTTGAGAAGGGCCTAACCTAATACAGTTTAATAGCATATTTTAAATAATCATATTCATGTTCACATATATATATATATACATAGCATAGTCCGAAAGATTTAGAATGACACATAGAAAAATTTACAAAAGGAAGTTAAACTTTACATAGACGATTTCACACCATGCATGTTCACGCTGAACAAGTTCACCTTTAAACCATAGGAATCAAGTTTCGTCTATGGTTAATGTAATAGTATGGTGAAGTCTTGGCTCTTGAGTTTAGTGTTACTAAAAAAATTTACTGTAACGTTTTTTGCGTTTGAATGGTATTGTTGATCTTCGACGTGATACGTCTTATCAAATGTAAAAATTTACGAAGAACTTTCAATCTGACTTAAACAACACAAGATCATTGTCAAGGTTCTGTTTGTATATGATTACTACACTACTCTAAGGACCTTATCATAGAATCAATCGCCAAATTGAAGTCTGAGATTAGAGGATGGGAGTAACAGAGCAAGCCTATAACTTCAATGTGATCGTCTAGAGCTTTGAAATTTACAAGGGGATTCAGCAACTAGCAAAACCCTAGGGACAGAAACAATCTCTTCTTTGCTTGTGGCTTCTTCTTCTTCTTCGTCGTCGCCATTGATCCATGTGACGAGAAGGTGAGATTTTTCGAGAATGAATGAAATTAAATGCTGAGGCTTTTGCATTGATATTGCTCTGTTTTGGTTTTTCCATTTAATAAACTTTTATTGTAATATTCTAAAATTATTATTAGACCCGATATTAAACCCGACCGACTACGACCCATATTTGAAATTTTTCGAGAATGAATCATTTACTATCATATGTTACTCTAACAGTTCGTTTTAGTTCAAATCATCACCAGCTATAACGCTATAGTTTATAACATAGAAAACATGATATAAGAATTTACATGTTTGAATATTTAAATTTGAAATATTTATAATAATTGTACTGCTTAGAAATTATATCTAGACGTTGAGAAAAAATTCTGAAATTTTCCAAATCATCTTAAATATTGTCTTTTTATTTTTATTTTTTGTCAACCTCCAAAATATTTGGCTTGCAATTATAACTCTTTACAAAAATTATTAAAAGTTGACTGTTTAAAACAGGAAAAAAAAAAGTAAATATTTTGTTACCGTTAGGATGAAGAAAAAAAATGAAATAGGTAACAGAAACGAGATCTCTTTAATTTCCTTAAAAATATATCTTTATGACCGTTGTGAGAGATTAATATCAAGTTCCCTTTTTATTTGAACTTCATAATTAATTTATTTTTCTCTCTCTCAACTCTCAACGCTTCTTCTTCTTCGTTCTTCTTCTTCCTTGAGAGAGAAATCAAAACTCTTCTTCTTCATCTTCTTCTTCTAAACCCTAAAATCCTTCAATTTTTTTGAATTTCGATGATGATGATCCACCGGAATCATACTGTGTAAAATTCCGATGATGATGATCCAATCAAAGTGGAGAGATAAAAATAACCCGAGGCGATGATGATCCGTGACGTGAGGGTAAGTTTAGAAAATAATTTTTGATTATCATCGTTTTGTTTCGTTTAATTGATTGAATGATCGATCAGATCTGATCTCCTCTGTTCTTCTTCTCCTTCTTCAATCCAAAATCAATAACGAGATTTCACCACGGAGACGCTTTCACGAGACGAGGGAATTGAAAAGTGAGGAGAGGAATCGAATCAATCTGAGGTATTCGTTAATAGTCCTCTGTCTTCTTTGGATCTGAATTTGATATCTAGAGTTATTATTACTAGACTTGTTATTAGGAAATAGAGATGATGATGATGTTTTAGTGTCTAGAGAATGAATACCTTATTTGTAAATTTGGAACAGATCACATAGTTTGTTGTCGATGCTGAAACTTGGGATAAGCGTAGGTAGTGATTGGTTTGATGCATCACAGCACAGCATCGTAGAGTTGCAGAGCCATGTATGCGTCTCGTCGTGTGTGCTGAACAACGATCGTTTTGAGGACTTCAGAACCGTTTTGGGGAAGAAGAAACTGGTTAAGCATATTGCCACTTAGATTCTCTTCTTTGTAGTTTATGTACTTGGTGTCTAATCATATGCTACTTAATATGACTAGGTACTTGACTGATGCTATGTTCCTGAGAGAAGCAATGTACGGATCCGCTCCTCAAAGTGTTGATACTTTTGAGTCCATGTCTTGGGACGGAAGAATCCATTGTTGGTGTCCTCGATTTCAAAGGACATGTGCTACTCACCGGAGAAGAGTTTTCACATGCTTTTATACAGAGAAGAGGTTCAGTAATGATTGCAGCCGCTGACCTATACTCAAATATTGAGGTCAAATCTTGCAAACACAGTTCTCACCTTGTGGTTCACTTGATTTTATGGATGCCCCTGCTCCTGAAACGAGCCTTTGGAGTTTTGAATTACTTGGGAGGACTGGATGATGATGTAACTTGACAAAGACAGGTGAGATAATGAGTGAGTGAGTGAGTTCCCCTTGGATCCACAGATGGCGAAGATGCTCATAGTCAGTCTTGGATTCAACTACTCAAACAAGATTCTCTAAGTTTCAGCTATGCTCTCTCAGGTACGCCCTTACTTTTGTTTGGTTAGGTAAGGGTAGGCTTAAACTTCCATTCTTCAACTAGTCTAATGTGCATTAGCCTAAGTACTTAAATGATGCAGATAGCTACTAGTTGCAGTTTCTCAGTTATTCTCTCTCATGAAGCAAATGGTATCAGTCTCATAGTAGTTGCGAATTGCTTTATTCGGTATAGAGAGGCTCATAGCAGAGGAAGCTAAAGCTAGGTTTGGACACATTGCTGGAAGATCACCTCACAATTGTTTGAACGTCAAGCAAAACAGTAAGTGATTATCCCTTTGTTTGTAGCTGCTTTAGAAAATTAAAAATTTACCGTAACTAACTTGGTCAATCTAAATTTCACACAGATGTAGATGCCGTTTGGTGCTACGAAAACAGAGGGATGAGATCTGCAGACAATGATAAGAGAGCAGCTAGTCCAGAGATAAAGTCAAGGTTCAGAACCTGAAGATGTGCAGCAGTACTCATTTAAACTACTACATCAGCATAAGGTCAGGCCATGCTTGTTGGTTATTTCATGCACTTAGAACTCACTAGTCATTACTTGACAACCAAGTATGTCAATAAAAATTCAGTCTATATCGTTGGACAAGAGAAGCAATCCATCTGTACATGGCATACTTGACAACCAAGTATGTCAACAAAGTATTCGAAGGTTCGTAATACTCGGTCATCTTTTAATTTGCGTGTATTATGAATATAAGTTGACATCTCTGATTCTCATGGGTTACTTTGGAATATATAGGTAGCTGCTCCCTCTCGTCTCCAGATTCTCAAGAGATCACAACCTTGCAGGTATATACTAATTACTATACTTTCTAATTTTCTTACCTTTTTCTTTATAGTTAAGAATAATCATTTTTTGGTCAAAAAAAAAAAAAAGAATAACCATTTTGATTTTAAAATATAGTTTTTTTTTAAATGTTTTTTTCACTTCTGATTTTTATGATTTAAAAAACTAAATATCAAAGTTTTTACCAAATAATTTTCAAGTAAATAGTTAAAATTTTTAATTTAACCAAAATTTTTTTTCTTTCTTATAAACTAAGTGTTAAATTCAAATATGTTGAAAACAAACCGGACCTAGCATCCAGTCCCTTTGGGGTCCGTCAGTTTGGTGTGAAAGTTCAACATGTTTTCATGTATTGTAAATTTAACGCTTAGCAGGTTTTAATTAAGGCTTTTTATAAATATTATTTTAAGTAAATTATTTTGATTTTTGACTAAATCAACATTATATAAATTGTTTAAAAAAATCTAAGTGTTAAATTTAAAGTCATTTGAAACAAAGTAGTCATAACCTTACATCCAATCTTTTGAAAGTCCTCCAAAAATAGGTCTATGAGGATTTTATACCCAAGACAGAAAATAACCAACAAATTTATATTTTTTCAGCAAATTAAGGTCTAGAAATTAAGGTTTTTTTCAGCAAATCTATATTTTTTTCAATTAAGTATATATTAAAATGATATAATATCTTAATGGAGTTAAAGGTAGACTTAAACTTGCTACCAATTTCCATTACGACTATTATATATTTACTGCAAATTGCAAATAATTACGATTGATGAAACTAAAATATAAATAAACAATCATATGTTTTGTACCGATTTACACTGGATTAGACCTAAAAGGGACATTAACTTGCTTGACACGTACCTTATGACAAGTTCTCTTTATGGATTACACTGGAGTAGCTAGAACTAAAAGAGATGTTAACTCGCTTGACACTTACATACGAAGGAATAATGCAGATACTAATTAAACCCTATGAACTACATGGGGGAAGTTCTCTTTTAGTATCTTATACTACGTTAGGAGAAGTTCTATTTTAGTATATTCATTATTCAATTATACCTAAGTTACGTTATGATGCATATACTAATTTACAGTTAAATTGTTAAGGTTAAGCGTCATAATTATCCAATCACATATTTATTTATTTAAATTAGAAATTTAATCCAAAAAAAATAAATTCACTTGCATTGTTCCAAATTTATTCATATATTTTCCAAATTTACTCATATAGAATTATAATTTCGAAAATGTTAAATATTGAGATGGATAATCTCGATTGGTCATTTTAAATCCTACGTGTGTGGCTTCAAAAACTTATGATTTCGACTTTTATATATATAGTATGGATATACCATAATATTAGTATATTTTAATATTATTTTGAAAGACTAAAAAAGAGTTTTTAATAAAAGTATTTCTTATAGTTTCAATCTACATTAAGTTGTTTTTAAATTTAATAGGAAATGTATAATCTTATAGACAAATAAAATCATCAAATTGAGTTTTTAGATCATGAAAATGGTAAGCATAAGCAATGCGAACTTGCTAAAGAAATATTACTTTCTTTTTTGGTGATTGTCAAAATGTCCTTGCTATTATTCAAAAAAAACAAAAAAATTACAATGGAACTTGCCATGAAAACGAAGTTCCTCAGACATCATTCTTCACTATGGACTCCACAACCGTTGGAGCCTCTAACATATGAAAACCTAAAGACTTCGTACTTCACAAAGGTTCTACTGTATATGTAGCGGAAAGATCATCATTCTTGAGGGTATCTTAAGCAAATATTAGCTAACTGCTTAAGATTTTTTTTTAAATACCTCTAATGCTTTAATAATTTCGCTAAATAAAATAACAGAATCTTTGTTTTTTTTGGGTTAAACCTACAACTTTTAGATAGAGGTGGTTTAACCATCTCGATCCAACAATTAACAAGGGAGATTTTAGTATAAGAACATTATAACAAAAACTACTTTAAACTTAGATAGAATTGGGTAGAAAGTGGTTTATGATTATAGAACACTGAACCACCACTCGCACAAATTAACTCATGAAACCAAAGTTGAAAAAGTAATAATACATCCTCAGCTTTCTTTCCATAATTTTGTGCTAGTGATTGTCCACTTGCTACCCAATTCTCTTCGAGTTTAAAGATGTTTATGTTCTACCTTATAACTAGAAACTCCTTTGTTAATTGTTGGATTCAGATAGTTAAACCACTCAACGTACAAGTGTTACGTTTAACACACAAAAAAAAAACAAGAAAGAACTTTCAGAAATATTCTAACTAGAGAGAGAGCTAGTTTTCTCGTGTAAATTTTTGCAGAGTGACACTATGAATTTATATTAACATGTGTCCATAGAAGATATCTGTTTATTTATTTCTGTTAAAATTTGATTTATTTCTGTTTATATAACTCTAAATTGTTGACTAATGGAAAACCTGATTTGGGTGTGTATCAATTCTTATACGTAGTTCTTTATAAATCTAAAACTGTCAACAGTTGATTTTTTTTCTATTTATATATCTCTAACTTGTTGACTAATGTTAAAATTTGATTTATTTCTGTTTATATAACTCTAAATTGTCGACTAATGAAAAACTTGATTTGGGTGTGTATCAATTCTTATACGTAGTTCTTTATACATCTAAAACTGTCCACAGTTGATTTTTTTCTATTTATATTTTTTTCTATTTGATATACTTTCATTTAACAATCTACCAATCAATAATATTAAATGCTTTAAAATTTTTGACTGTATTGTTAGATTTCTATTTTGACTGTCTACTATAATATGTTAGTGATAAAGCTTCAATATTTTTCTTACTAAAATCTTTGTTTGACTAGCTATAGGTTCAATTTAAGTTAATATACTTAATTCTAAGTTAATTTCAAAGCTTAGAACACAATTATACAATTTATTATAGAATTTGACAATTAAAAATATTAAAAGTTGATATGATTTAGTTCACCAAGAAATTGTTATATTCAAATTAAGCTTATAGTTATTTAGAGGACATATATTTTGTACATAGAACAATAAAATTTACTGTAAAATAGGAATTTGTTTTCATATTTGTGAATTTATTTTAGACAGTTTTAAGATTTTTTTTTTTCATAATTCGTAACAAAACATGTTAATTATCTTGTTACCCAAACCACATGATACACATAAAAAAAAAACCTAATTCCATGAGTTAAGCTTTAAAACATACTTTAAAAATGAGTTTATAACTTTTTCCCATCAAAACTTTGTAAGAAATGGGAAGTTTTGAAAGGTAAGTTTTTCCAACATGAACACTTATTTTGATTAAAACGTTGAGAAGAAATTGAAAATTTTAGCTGAACAATCAATTACCCATAAATCTTAAGAACAAGGAGACACATATACTTATGAAAGACTAGTAAGGGTTAAGCTTGAGTGTGATTCATGTAAACGTAAAATACCTATCGAGTCTAGCAAAAAACATGTTTCTTTATTGAATTAGAAGCAAAAAATCAAAGATTACAGAATTTTTCTCGCTAGTTTGATGAACAATGTAGAGTTCTTAAGAATAATCAATTTTACTTTTAGGGTCTAATGTGAATAAAATTGCATATTCGTTCTTCGATCGAAAATCTCTTTTCCTGTGTTTCTAGTGATTTGATTTTTAGTTAGCTTATTTTTCCTAATTTCTTAGATATTTAGTTTATTTCCTTAAACTTGACTATAATTTTTTTTTCCATGCAAATCCTATCTTTTTGAGTGAGTTACTAAAATCCACATCTGTATCGAACTGATCTATAATATGACGACAAGACAAAAGAAGGATAAAAAAATTCAGAGATATTTAAAACACGATTATGTTTTTAAATTACTACTCTCTCCGTTTCAAATTACTTTTGTTTCTAGATAATTTCACATATATTAAAACACAATTAAATTTTATATTTTATTCCTAACGAATACACTATATAACTTGATATAAATAATAATAAACTAAAAATAGAGATAAAACTGGAAATTTTACAAAACATTTCCATTTAAAATCTAAAACAATAATTATTATGAAAAAAAATTATATTCTTAAAACGAACACTAAACTAAAATAGAGGGAATACCAAAAAAGAAAAAAAAAATAGTCATTCAAATCTTCTCGCAAAGTTCAAAAAAATATTACAAAACTTAATTCTATGATATATTTTTTAATTTAAACTCCTTTGACAAGTTTTTTTGGTTATTAGCTTTACATCATAGAGAAACAGAATCTTGAGTTTTCTTGCATGTAAAAATACAAACGTTGTTATGTTGATGTTTTTATAGAGTCTTCTTCATCAAAGGTATAAATAAGGTTCTATCACCCTTCTGCTTTGTCATTTGGGTCATGAGGAGAAGCACTTGATGGCTTCTTTAGTTCTCGTCTCATAAGTTTGTCAAACTGTTTATGCACTGCTCTATCTGTTCTTCCATGAAAACGCTTTGCGATCCTTGACCATTTGTTACCCAATTCTTTATGAGCTTTGAGTAGCTTTTCATTTTCCTCATCACTAAAAGCATCTTTGTTGATCTTTGGATCCAAATAGTTAAACCACCTTGATCTACAAGTCTTACCTTCAAACACACAAAAATCGAAGAAAATGATTTTTAGCTTTCCAATAGAACCTAAGATATCTCAAGAAAAATCAAGAAGCACATTTAGGACCTGTTCTTCCTTGCATTTGCTTTCCAATGTGACTCCATTTTTGAGGACCAGAAACAGCCACAAGCTCTCTGAGTTTCGAATCCTCTAAGGATGTCCAAAGTTTGCTTTGTCTATCCTTATTCTTCTCCTCTTCCCGGACCTCATTTAATGGTCTCTGCAAAATGGACGTAGTTTGGGAAACATGTTACATGCATGAAGTATCAAAATCTCAAATCCATACATACCAAAAAAATAACACATATATACGCACATGCAGCTTTTTTAGGTTTTAGCAAGTCAAAGTTATTGAGGTCATTGCATTACGTAATGCTTGAAAAAAAAAACTAGGGATGTAATAATCTGCTAATAGCAAAGGCCTATGGTAAAAAAAGAGAAGCATGCTAATCTGTTTAATCACATAATTAATGACCGAATATATAGAAATATATATAATATGTTAATTAATACCTTGTAGGTTGATGAAACAGACGACTCCATTGAATTGACACTCGATTCCCGGTTTGTTTTAGTTAGTTAGAAAGTGTGGTAACACAAATGTTTAAGAATAACAGAAGAAAAACTACTGATGTCTAGATATATGAATATATAGCTTTCATTTTACCATCCACCATTCAATAATATTAAATGCTCTAAAAGTTTTGACTGTATTGTTAGGCTCCTATTTTGATTTTCTACCATATTATGTTAGTGATAAGGTTTCAATATTAGTTTGACTAAAATTTTGGTAATTTTTTGAAGAAGAGTTGTTGAAAACAAAATCTTTGTTTGACTATGGTTTCAATTTAAGTTAATATAGTAATATACTTAATTCTAAATTATTTTTCAAATTTAGAATAAAATTATACTATTCATTATAGTATTTGACTATTAAAATTATATATTAAAGCTGATATGATTTAGATCACGAGAATGTTATATTTAAAATTTAGTTTATTATATAGTGGAAGTATATTTTGTACATATAACAAAAATGTTTCCTGTAAAATAGAATTTATTTTAGACAGTGATAAGAAAAAACATTTTTCTCAAAATTCGTAACAAAATATGTTAAATAAAAAGATCTTGTAACCCAAACTACATGATATACAAAAATAGCTTCATACAAACAAAATCTAGCACTCTGAGTTAAACTTTAAAATATACATACGAAATGAGTTTAATTCTAACATGTTTTTCCACCAAAACATTTCTTCTTTTATTATTATAAACTTTGAAAATTAAGCACCGTGTCCATTTTTTGTGTTGGATCATTAAAATTCAAAACGTAGAGAAGAAATTGAAATCTTTAGCTGAACATAAGAATAATCCCCCATAAATCTTAAGATATACGTATGAAGCTTGAGTGTTATTCATGTATACGTAAAACCCCGTACAACTAATTTGAGTAGACAACTAATTTAAGTAGACTTGGTATTACAGAATTTTTCTAGAACAAATTTTTCTTTATTGAATTAGAAGCACAAATTTGAATATTACAGAATTTTTCTAGAACAATGTAAGATTTCTTTAGTATTCTATATTCTACCTAAGTCAATTTCTTTACAGAACAATGTCAATTTTAGGACCTAAGTCTTTAATTTGTGTAAAATTGCATATCCGTTCTTAGATCGAAGAATTCCCTATTTATATGAAAATGTAGTCGGTTCGGGATATGATTTTTTTTTCTTTTTTTTTTCGAGTGAGTTCATTTTTAGTTAACTCTTTTTTCCATTTCTCAGGTTTTTAAGTTTATTTCTTAAATTTGATCATTTTTGTAAAATTATGTAAATTGGTACGATGTCAAACTTATCGAACTTTTCGATTTATTAGCCAATTTTGCTGTTTGTCCTGTTTATTCTAATCATTCTTAGTTTAAGCTGCATTAGATGGAGTGGGTTGGATAATTGGAGGGAGCAACCCCATTCCAAAAATTCATAATAGAGAGTTATCAAATTAAATAAGGATCCAAATTTGATTGTTTTAGCAATGATGTACTGATCTCTTAATTAGCCAATAGACCTACTTGCATGAATCTGCTTCTTTTGTCTTAAGCTGTAAATCCGATCCGGTCATAGTAAGTTACTAAAATCCTCATATCAAATTGATATGTATAATAAGGCGACAATATATAAAGAAATTATCTATTTAATATTTTTTGGTTTTAAATTACTGTTCCTTCCGTTTCAAATTACTTATCTTTCTAGATAATTTCACATATCTTAGGATAACAATTTAGTTTTATGTTTTACCCCTAATGAATAAACTATTTAATTTGATACGGATAATAATAAGGTAGAAGGTAGACATAATACTGGAACTTTTAGAAATATCAACATTAAAAATCTAAAACGACATCTATAAAGAAACATAATTCTATTCTTAAAACGACAAACACAATTTTGTTATTCAAATCTTGTCATACATGTCAATAAAAAATTACAAAACTTTATTTTGGACGAGGAATTTAGGGGGGTGTATTGAACTGCATATTTTAGGAGATTTAGTGAGATTTTAATATTTTAGAATTTTGAGAGATTTGAGTGTAGGTTGTAGAATTTTGGGTTATTTGTTAAAGATTTTTAAAAGAAAATAACTTGTGATTTGGTGAGATTTGATTATTAATTCTAAGTGACATTAGGATACTTATTAGCTTTACATTGTTAAAGCTTATTATTTTTATTTTTACTAGTGCTGATTCTACCGTGGTTGCATACTTGCATATCTTGGGTTTAACTGTTGTTTGACTTGTTTCCTTTACTTTTAACTACAAAGTTGGAAATTTGTTCGAAAAAAAAACAATAGAAAAAAACAGAAGGTGCAATTTAGAGAACTTAGTGAACTTAGAAATTGTAAAAGAAAGAAACTACATTTTAAAACAATTATGCAGAGTACAAAATTTTCACATAGGGAACACTTAAAAATCTCAAAATTCCAATCTGATAATTTTGTGAAAATGTGAGAACTACAACACTACCTTGAAGGCATGTTGTGTGGAGCAACAAGACAAATACTTCCCACAGCCACAGCCACAGCCACAGCCATAGCCAAATTGTTCTGTATGTTCACTTATATTCTTGACTAACTGAGGGATTCTATCAGATCCTAAATCACATCTAATCCCAATAATCAAGGCTGCTACATTCAATCTCTATGATGGCATTCTCTAGCTGTTCATATCACTTGCACTGTTTCGGTCGGAAATTCTCAGTGGATAGTAACCAAGTGACCAGATTCTCAAGCCGTTTAGCGCCTGGACCAGGCCTGATAACACCAGTGTCACCAATAACATCACAAGGGTCACTCCCATTTTCACGGCTTCCAATGCACCAACCACCAGGTGTAGCCATCCCAGTACCTCTGTTAAGCAGCTCATCATCAATCTTATCAAGGACAGGATCTTCTCTTCTGAATTTTCTTGCAAACGGGGCATTGCTATTTACCATTTTAGTCATGTCTGCAAGCGTGAGATGGTGTGGATGTTGCTTAGGCGGATTGTCCCACGATATGTAGTGCAGGTCGCTATTTACTGTTGTGTTTCTGAATTCCTCAGCGTTGCAGAGAACAGTGTGAAAATATCCTTCTGGAGAAGAGAGAAAATTCGAGTAATACATTAAGACAGTACGAGGTAGATTATCCCAACCCCAAATACAGTAGTCGATAAATGGCCGTGATAACGCCATCCAAGCAGAGCCTGTTTCCAATAATCAAATATTAGTTAAAGAGAATCTGAAATCGAAACAATGCAACACGCATTGTCTCTGAAAAAACAAAAAGTCTCCCCAACAATCAAAGGCAACACGCATCACCAACTTAATAGTATCATGCACAGATCTCAGCAAAGGTTCTGAATAAGATGAAAGTTTTTCCTAAGCAGTCTATGTTCAACCAGTGAGAAATGTAGCACATCTGAGAAACACCGAAACTAAACAACCAAAACAATCAATCAAGCGTACAAATTGCTCAGAGATTATAAAGTTTTGCCTAGTATTACATAGTCTTGAACTTTTAAGTCTCAGAGATCAAAGCACACCTGTGAAGAGCTTGAATGCTGTTGGAATACTTCGTCTTTGAGTAACCCAAAAAACATCAGATTTCTTGTTCAAATACAGTCCAGGATCTATAATCACCGGTTTAGCTCTTTGTGATCTGAAACAACCAAATCAAAACAACTCCAAAATAAGTTACTATACAAAAATAACAGAGAGAGAGAGAGAGACACAAAAAAAACTCTAAACTCTAATTCTCTTACGCTTTCCATCCAATGTTACTCGTATGATCAATGAAGTTCAAATCCCGCGGCAAATGCGAAAAGATATGCAACAAATCTGATACAAAAAAAGGTCAAACCTTTAGTGAAAGAAACCACAGTTCATAAACCAAAGTTCCAATTTTTATCAGAAACCTCACCATCTTGAGTCACTAGAGGATAATCTGATGAGCTAAGATTAATAAACCAATCCCAATCAGCTCCTTCCCTAAGCAAAATCGCAGCAGCGTGAAGTGTATTCGCAACCATGGTTGGTCCACGATACGTGACAAGATTAGCTTTCTCAATCATATGAACATTCATAAACCTCGCAAACAAAGTCGAGTTTTTGATGTATCCATGGAGCTCCTCTCTCTCCTCATTCGAAGACGCTCTGTCTAAATGAACAACATACCGATTATTCGGATGGTAAAGAGCCAAAAGAGTTCGCCGGAGAGATTTGCCATCACCGGCGGATCCAGAAACCAAGTAAGCAAAACGAGGAGACGAAGGGAGTGATGAGACTTGTTGAGGTTTGATCTTAGATTCAACGAAAGCTGATGAACCAGATCCGGATAACAAAACGGGTCGGGTAAAAGGAAGGAACCGGGTTGGTGAAGTTAGGGTTGTGAGGAAGAGTAAGAACAAAGCGAAGATTGAACCAATCAAAAGAGGGAAAAAAATCCATCTCCTTTCTGAGAAAGAAGACACAACATTGTGATGATTATGATGATGATGATGATGATTCTGATGATGTCTCACATTTGAGTAATAGCTTCTCAATTTCTTCATCGAATCCCAAAAAAAAAATAAGACAGAGAGGTCAATTCAAAGTTGACATCTTTTTTTCCCTCACTGTTTTCTCGGATTACAAAAACCCCATTTTTTATAATAAAAACTGAAACTTTGGATATGTTTCTGCAAATTAGGGTTGTTTTGGTTTCTGGGTCAATGAGAGATTGAAGAAGAAGAAGAAGAAATAAACGTTACTAAAGAGAAGAGAAGATTGAAGAACTGAGACAAATGGGATTATTAGGAAATAACGAAATAGAGAGTAAGATTTACTGGTCAAGCGCATTTAAATCAGATCAGATCTTAGTAGGTATGAAATTATTACAAGGAAATTAAAAAAAAAAAAAAAAAAAGATCTGGAATCTATGTGATGGGCCAATAAAAAGCCCATTAACAAATAAGTCAACGTTAAGAAAACGGTTTTAAGATGCCTCGTTCTCTCATTCGATTCATGACTCTTGAAGCATCGTTTAGTTTATCTGCTCTCTCATACAAAGCAGCCACAACCAAATGCAACTCCTTGCTATTGACATTAGGCTCAGATTCCAATCTCTGAAACAACGTTTCAACCATCTCAAAATCTTTCTTTGATGAGTATAGACTCAGCATTTGGAAATGAACTTCATCAGGGAATACACATCCTTCTTCTTGCATTTCTCTGTAAACCGTATCTGCTTTTTCGAACTCTCTTTGTTTCCCGTACGCGTTTAACACCATAGCTATCGCGTTTGAATCCGGAAAGTAGCCAGCGGTTCTCATTTTCTCAAAGACTTCGATGACGTTTACGTACCTTTGGTTTCTTGAGTAGAGATTGATCATACACCCAAATACTGATATGTCTTTTACCTCTCCAGATTCAAAAGCTTGACGGAAAACCCATGTCGCCTCTTCAGTTCTCCCGGCTTTAGCCAGAATGGTGATGGCGGTTTCCCGAGGGATATTATCCGGGAGTTTTAACTCGTGAAGCAGACGTTTAGCATGGCCCATTAGGCCAACTCTTTCATAAGCCACAATCATGGTTTGATACAGAACTTGATCGATTTCCACACCTGAGCTCCTCAGCTTCTGAAACAGAGTCGCAGCTCTGTCCAATTTCCCAGCTTTCCCCCATATTGATATAATAGTTGAGTAGGTAATGGCGTTAGGTTCAATTCCTCGGCTCTGCATCTCTCGAACAAGATTCGTGGCCTTTTCGTGCTCCATAGTTTTCCCATAAATCTTAATCATCGTGTTGTACGTAACAACGTTCTGTTCAATGTCTTTCCTCTGCATCAACCTGAAAAGATGAATTGCTTCACCGAAAAGCTCAGCCTCTCCGTAAACACGAAGGATGGTATTGTAGCTAACAACATTTGGTTCGATATCCATTTTCCTCAAACTCCAAAACAACCTATCAGCTTCTTTAACCATGTCAAGCTGACCATAAACATCAATCATTATATTACAAGTCGTGAGATCCAACGGACAATTCACCTCTTTCATCTCTGCGAAAACCGATAACGCTTCTAAAAACTTCTGGTTCTCTACATAAACACTCAAAAGAGTGGAGTAACTAACTGTATTTGGCAAGACACCAGCTTCGGTCATCTCCTTTATAAGTAACCGTGCCTCTCTAAACAATTTGGCCTTTCCATAAACATTGATCATCGAATTATACGCAACAAGATCAGGAGTAATACCAGACTTCTTCAACCTCGAGAAAATTGAAATAGCCTTTGAATAATCACACAGCCTCCTAGAAAGCTCAATGAGATTGCTATACAAAACAAGGTCACCAGAAACACGGTCTTGCTCCATCTTTTGAAGCCAAGACAAAGCCGAATCAAACATACCCTCTTTCCCAAACGAAGTAATTAGCGTCGAATAAGTATACCTATCAGGCGCAAGAGCTCTCTGACGCATTTCGTCGAACAGTCCGTGTGCAATATCAAACTGCTTAGCTCTCAACACATTTCGAAGAACTACATTGTAGGCATAAACCGAAGGTGTGTATTTAGCTTCCTCATGAACCCAATCGAGCAACGCCAATGATCTCTGCCAATCATTTTCTCGAGAAAGAAGCGAAACCATGAACCGTATAGACAACTGTCCGTCTTTGTAAGAAGAAAGCAGAGAAAAAAGCTCTTTTTCGTTCTGGGTCTGGTGAATTGAAGCTAAAAGCTCGTCCATATCGACGTCGTGATCGAGAAAAGCAGATCTTTGATACCTCCGATGTTTCCTCAACGTCGTTGAGGAGTTCTTCTTCTCCGGTTGTTGTTTTGTCCATACCTTTTTGGTTTGTGAAGATGATGATGATGAAGAAGCAGAGACTGTGAAGATGAGATTGCGTTGTCTAGCTCCGGGAATGGTGGAGAAGGGTATGGAAGTGTAAATACGAGGTCTGGTTAAGGGTAACAATGGAAGAGAAAGTGATGGCGAAGAAGATGAAGCAATGATATCTATGTACATCTTTACAACATTGGATTTTACAAAATCTTTTCAAAAACAAAGAGTTAATATATAATCTAGTCGTTAGGTTGAACCGGAACAAACCGAACCAATAGAACCGATTATTACAAAATCAGATAATCTCATGAAGCTCCCAACATCGATGTCACGTGTCCACTGAGGAACTAACTCTGTTTGGTGTTTTGTTTTCAATAGTGAGATGGATACAAAGATAGTTTTTTTCTCATTTAAACTTTAAAGAAGCTTTACGAACCAGAGTTTGTTGATATTGCTGGCTAAAAAGTAATTGGTGTCGCAACAAATTTTGGATCTTTAAAAAATGTTCATTTCTTTCTCTACATTACAACCAAAAGAAAACACAAATTAGCTAGGAGATTTATAACAAGAGTACATATGTTGTTTAGTAGTCTTTTAGACGACGAGGGAGACGGTGGAGAACGATCAGGCTGTTGTGAAGGAGGTAAGGACGTTGTGTTTTCAAGAGAGCAATGGAAGTTACAGCGGCTCGGGCGAACGATTCTGTAAACACCAGTGCTTGCAAGTAAGTAGACGTCTTTATTGTTGTCTTGTCCAAAAGAGAACACAAAGCCAAGTGATGGTGATGAAGAAACAGAGGGCTCTGTTTCAGATGAGCAAGGGAGTGGTGAATCTGAAGCGCATTGTAACGGAATATGAGATCTCGTGAAGTTTCCACTACCAACTGGAGTTTCAGTCCCACCCCAAATGACTCCGGCGTATAAGTCTGCAAAGAGATAACTAAAAACACACAAAACAAACGTAATCACAAACAGAGGAATGGTTCTTGATTTGACAATGAGGAGAAGAAGAGGAATGAGTCAACGTACGTTCCATACAAACATGGATTGGTGGAGGAACGGTAAAAGTATCCGCCAGTTATTGAGGCTGATCCTTCTGAATGATTGTACATCATTACAGGGAAGATTGGATTTGCAATCTTTGTTGTTGAGTTGCTGATTTCAGGAGATCTCGAAGGAGTAAACGGCAAAGTTCCCTCGTAGTTATGCCAACCATAGTTTCCTCCTTTAGTGATCATATCAACTTCTTCATATTTGTCCTGCAAACTCAACATATAAGGAAATGTTCATTGCTTCATTTGAATGTGAAGACAGAACATAGAAATTGTCGTCATACCTCGCCAACATCTGCGCAAAGAAAATAAGATGGTCTCTCTGAATCAAAACTGCATCGCCATGGATTTCTAACTCCCATGGCCCATATCTCAGGAAGCAGATTCTTATCTTGAGAAAACGGATTGTCCTTTGGTATAGAATAGTTTCCCCATAGCTGAAACTTGCTTATGGCTTTTGTATCTGAAAACCAATAAAGAAACCAAAAATCAAATTCCATGTTCATTTGTTATGTATGCTTCTGCTGCATAGCATATATTATTACCAAGAACACTATTCACATCAAGTCTCATGATCTTCCCGAGCAACGATCTCTTGTTCTGTGCAAAGTTGTGTGGATCTCCTTTACTTCCTCCATCTCCCATCATGAAATACAAGTAACCATCTTTAGGTCCGAACAAGATCTGTCCACCGTGATGTGTTGTAAAAGGAAGACCCATTGTAAAGATTCTTCTTACCTCCACCGGTCTAACATAAGTCCCTGAAGTATATCAATAACGTTTCAGCAACATCAAATCTAAGAGAAAAAGAGCTATAAACGAAGGTGAGATATTTTTCATACCATTGGTAAAGAATTCTGATATGACACTATGGTATTGACATGGGTTTGCTCCATCATCAGAATCTAGGTTTGTTGGGTCACAGTCGATATCTGAGTTGCACGCGCATTTTCCAGAACATTCTGGCCACTTAGCTTTATCGCAGTTGAAAGATGCGAAGAATCTACCGTTTTTCAAGAAGTCTGGATGGAAAGCTATTCCCAAGAGACCAAGCTCAGCATCAAAGTGCACTTCTCGAGTAAGATCAAGAAACAGGTTAGATTCGTCTATTTTCAAAAGTTCTCCAGATCCTTCAGCTGGAACTGTCGCCAAGTATATCTTCCCGGGTTGATCAGACAGAAAGACGCGATTAGAACCATCGGGATGAGGTACCATGTTAAGATAAGACTCATTTCCAAGCTTCTCAAGACATATCCCTGAAGGAGATGGACCAGTAGCTTTTGAAATGTTAAACGAAACCGCCTGGCCATTGAAGCACACAGATGATTCATCTGAAGCTCCACCAAAAATCTTGCAGAAGTCATTGCTTGATTTCCATGTTTCGGATATTGTAGAAGTGTTGTTGCCTCCATCTCCAGCTTGAGATGCAAACGGAGTGTTGGTCACAGAAAGATTATTGCATTCATTCCAAAACCTGGCGCAGAAATCAACATCTGCCAGCGATTGTGCTGAGTTTTTAGAAGAAACTGTCGAGTTGCAGAGAACAGGAACTTGTCTAGATTCTGATTCAACACGGAAAAGCTCTGCTGCGAAAGGATCACACTTCTGCAACAAGATAAGAGGATCATCAAATCATGAACAGAACCATAGCATCCAAGCAATTTAATCACATAATGTTTCAGCATCAAAGGCTAAAAAAGATGAAACATTTGTGTGTTTACCGAGCAAAGTAATGATTTGAGAAGTAGAGAACAGCCCCCAGATACATTGACTGCTTTAAACTGTCTCTGCAACTTCAAGTCCTCCTTGGAGTTACAACATACACTTCCATCGAATTGACAAAAAGCAAGCGGTTGCTTCACACTAAACGGTGCAGCTGACCAAAAAAAACTCACAAAAGTCAGAAAAGAGATGACACAGAAAACACAAGCTTATCAATCTAACCTTTTAAGAGAAAAGAGAAAGAGCCACCTACTCAAATCATTACATAAAGGATGTGACAAGGATATGTTGGCAAGAAACAACACAAGGAAATAAAGAAACAGTGCAATTGAACAGAGAGAACCCATTCTTTTTTTTGAGTCTTGAGCAATATTTTCAGGATCTACACAAAGTATGTAATAAACTATGAGATTGAAATGAAAACTCTTACAGATTTCCACAGAAACGAAAACTCTTACCAGGAAATCAAAGAGAAGACCAAAGCTCCAGACAAGAACTGATAATATCTTTTTAAATAAAATGAGAGACTTTTTTTTTGTTTTCAGTTGAATCAGCAGACAAGTAGCAGAATCTATAATAAATCTAATATGCAAATTGGTTTTTTAACCAAATAAAATAATGTAGAATGAATTATTGGCGTCGAAACATGTGTTGACTAATAAAAGAAGATAAACTCAACTAAACAAACCTTTGATTCAGACTTGTGTCTTTCTCCATACCTTTAAACCCCAAAAAAGAACAGAACATCATCATCCATTTCAGGTAACCATGAAACTTAGAAACAGATCAAGCTCTGTGCAAACCAGATCAAGTGATCCAATGATAGTGTCAGAAGATCATTAAATCCTGAAGCATTGTTAGTAGTAGACAGAAGATCACTTCCTTTATTATATTCCTTTATTATATTTTGTTGTTGTGTTTGATAGGTTGCTTTAGTTGTAACGGTGCGTTTTTGTGTGGTCTGATCTCAGTTTAAAACTCTGCGTTTTAGGGTTTGGTCAACGCACTATTTTTTTATATTTCGATGCTGAAACGACCCACTAAATTGGAATGGCTAGTAGCAGAAAGAACGTACGTATTACGATCACTGCATCTTTTAATATTTATCAAGTAATTTTGGATCTTTTGTGTTTACAAAAATACGTCAGATCTTTTGTTATTTACCAACATGCCTCTAATCTTTGGATATTTAGCAAACTGTCTCATATTGTAATATATTTACCAATCTACTCTCTATCTTTTGATATTTATCTCATCATCCCTATATCTTTACATATTTACCAAAATGCCCCAAATCTTTTTTATTTATTAAATTACCCTAAATCTTTTGGTATTTACAGTAACATCCCATATCTTTTGATATTTACCGAATTACGCCATATCTTTTTGTATTTACTAATTACTACGGATCTTTCCGTATTTTCAAAATTATTCCAATTCTTTTTAACGGTGCAGAATAGTCCAAACTTTCAAAGTGTTTTGCATAAATAACTCCTACGTAATCTTTTGATATTTTTACTAATAAAGGTACCCAATATCTGATATTATTTTAACCAAAGGACCCACAAATATAATTTTGTGGAAACATAAACAAAATGGGATCCCTAAACATAATGATTGAACAATTTATTTACTTTTTATTAATCAAAAAAAAAATCTGTATTACAATTTACAACAATATTTACAATTCTCGCAGAAGGGAACAAAAAAATATAAATTAATGTATATTAAATCCCAACAACAATCATTAAGCAACAAGTATTCGAAAAGGTAAAACATGTTACATGTAATCATATAGTAATCAAACAATAAGCTTCTCGTGGTCATGGAATCATGTTACAAGTCGTTGTTGGGAATTTTTTCGTTTCTTTGTTTGCGTGTACGTGTACGTGGATGCTATGTTTATATGCGTGTGCGTGTACGTGTGCGTGTACGTGGGTGCTATATTGCTATGTTTGTGTGCGTCAGTGCGTGGATGTTATGTTTATATGCGTGTTCGTGAATGCTATATTGCTATGTTTGTATGCGACTATGCGTGGATTTTGTGCATGAGAGTTTCTTATTTGCGTGAGTTATTTTCGTGTCAATTGCTTTTCTCTTGTTTTTGTGTTTGGTGGTGTTGTATGTTTTCGTGAAGTTGTTTGCTGTAATTTCGATATTGTTTTTGTGATTTTTTTTTGACAAGATAGAAGAGACAGAAGGAGAGAGAAAATTTGACCTTACTCATCACTTACTCTTGGATCTCCAGATTCTTTGCGACATAAGGATGGATACATCTTGTTGGGTAGAAAATCTGAACAGAGCAAGCCATATCACTAATAGATCTATTAGACAAGAACAGAGTCTAAATACAAAACTGACTACATCCTCCAGCACAAAATAAACACTTACATGTTTGTAGATGTAGAGTGAGTGTTCCTAAGGAAAATTGGGCTGCTAGCTCATATCTTTAACCTGAACTAAGTAATTCAAAGTCTCCAGCAACAATTGACAAAAACAGTATGAAAAGCCATGAGAACTAAATGAGTAATGTAGGAACCAAAAATACAAATTAAATGTACGACAAAAGAACACGAAACATTGAAATAGATTACCTTAACATTTGCTATCTCATTTTGTGAAGCCTTTGAGCCTGTCTTTTGCATCTTGAAGTTGTCAGCCCAAAACATATATTCAACTAAAATAGAGAGAATACACACTAGGAAGCATAGAGAAGTACTAGGGCAGATGCATCGAGCTCCACTGTTCTCAAAATCTTTGCAGGTGAAGGATGGATACTTGCTAGGTAGTTAATCTGGACAGAATAAAGCATATCACTAATAGATATATTAGAGAAGACCATAAACTATAAACTATGACGAGCTCAACCTGCTAAACATGTTAAGTATTTGCAGAACAAGCCAGACCAGTCTCATTTTTGGAAAAGAGAGAGAGAGAGAGAGAGAACAAGAAACCTTACTTCTTATATGTTATTTTCCTGGTGAATGGATCTCCAGAAATTATGTATTATAGAACTTCAGGATCCACTGTCAAAGATTGACAACGTAGTATCAGATTCAATCGATGCTCGACGCCTCAATTCAGCAATCCGGGAAGCTTTACCAAATGGACCGTCCTAGGAGAGCAGAAGACAAATAGAATATTAAACCTTTTTATATACACCAACGACTTTAGAAATCAAGAATATGGAAAAGCGATAATAGAACATGAGTAGGTGTACCTCTTGTGAATCACTTTTATTGCTTTCATCTGCTTCAATACTTTAAATTAGATTTCAAATCTTGACTCCGTGACCTTTTCACCAAGCTATAGATTTCTTTCACCACTCTGCAAAACCCACAAACAAAACAGAGACTCCCAATAAGAACCTAAAAAGGAATTGACGAAAAGAAAACTCATAATAGCAGAGTCCAGTTTCCTATATATACCTTTGCGGATCTGCATTTTCTTGCTGCCTTTGTATTGATACCTGATAATGAAAAACCCAGTTCAAAGAAGCAAGAATTATGTGAGCTTTTCTTTGGATGCAAACACTGTCAACATCTCATGACAAACATTAATGCAAAGAAAGAGAGAGAGTGAGAGAGAGCTAACGTGCAACATTGCTTTCGAATTTGAATTCTGGAGAGGAAGAGAGACATTGCAAGTCTTAACTGCTTCAACATAATCAGCAAAATCAATAGAAGTCTCTCCCAAAACACCAGATTTTGTAGATCCCTGCAAAAACAAAAATAGCAACATCTTTAAGAAAGTAACCTCAGAGATCACTTTCAAAAAACTCAAAATTAAGTTTTATTTCTTCCTCACCGTAGTTGAGACAATAAAGTGGTAGATTCTCTGATTAACCTTGCCAGTCTTCACATCCTGAAGAAACTTAACCGTCTCGTACACCGGAGACTCCCACCGACAATGTCCGTCGATACCGTAGCCTTCTCTCCCTTCCCAGTCGATTTCCCAACATCTCCGGCAACTACAGAGATCGTTAATCCCTCTGCCTTTAACTGAGTCACCTGACCAACAATAACAAAAAAAAAAAAAAATCACACACAATGATGAATATAATGATCTCACTCTCACTGTTTCCTTCGGCTCAAGTTGAGTGGGTCGTGCTTTAGGGATGTTCCAACCAAAAAAACTACAGAAACTTAACATCAAAGAAAATGGATTATTTGACTAACTTAAGAGGTGTTGTTCTCTTCGAAAAACACATTCAGCAATCAAAAATTCAAATATGAGCTACCCGATTCAATAAACTGTTTTCAGTTTCTCTACAATGTATAAGTCCTGCAATTAACATTATGAAAGATTATTGAAACATAACCCACTAAGATTTTTCTAACAATATGAAAGAGCTTATCAACTGATGACAGTGAATACAAAACTAAGTCAAAAAACTAAAAAAAAAACACATCCAGACACATACACGCATAAATAAGGCAACACCCAAACACACATATATAAACTCACATCAATCATATAGTACCTGAATTTCGAGTTTTTGCAGAATCAGACGAGAACACTGCCAATTTAAAGATGCAACTCCTACTGATCAACATAAAGAAATAGATAGTCACGAGACAAATATAGTACTGAAACAAACACCCAATAGATCTGGTTATAATAATCACTATAGTTCTTAGTTCTGAATCTTGTAACCAACGATGAACAAAATCAACAACACGAAGAATCACCAAACTTTAAAATTCCCAAATCGCTAGGGTTTTCACAACATCAAAACCAATTTTTCATTATTTCCCCCAATAATCACTAACAGTTCTTAATCTTGATCTTGTAATCAACGGCGAACAAAAAAATAACACGAAAAACCAACAAAACTTTAAAAATCGGCTTCAAAATTTCCTAAACCGCTAGGGTTTTCTCAAAACGAAGATGATATTGTTTTTCCTTTTTCTGATTCTGAATCGCTTAAAGTAAAGAAAAATATAGATGAATCAAAATTAAAGTTGAGAAAATTGTATTATACCTGATCGTTCTCAAATGAGATAAGAAAGACGTACAACAAAGATATCAAAAATTGATTTTCTCCTTTCTTCTCCGTTTGTGTATCTCTCGTCTCTTCTCTTCTTTTCCTCTTCTTCTCTTCCTTTTTATCTCCTTTGGGCCTGTGTGCCATCTTAGGCTGTTGGTGGCCTTGTATGCTGGGTCTGTATACCTGCTGGGCTTTATTGCCTTGTAATTTTTTGTGGGCCTGTGTCCTTCTAAGGGCTTTGTGCCTTGTAAGGTGTTTTATTCTAATGGAAATTTAAAGTAAAATTTAAAAAAAAAAAAAAAAAAAAAAAAGATATCAAGATTAAACCTCATAAATAATTAAAGAAATAAATGCTAAATTATCAACTCATCAAATATAATTAGTTTATACCAATCCATATATACACGTTAAAATCAAAATCTCTCTCTCATTTATTTTTAATTTGTTTTTCAGAATTATAAAATGATCTTGGAATGTGTAACAATAATGCTTTAATCTTGTAAACTATTTTTATTTCATTTTAACGACCAATATATTTGTGGATATATATATATATATATATATATATCTTTCTTTTACTAACTCCCCACATGTCAAAAAAAATGATAATTAAAAAAAAATGAATTCATTTTGTAACAGGTGGAAAATAATTATTTGAATTCATTTTCTTTTTCAATTTTCCTCTCTCTCTCTCGCTGAAGAAGTCTTCTGACGAATCCTGAGAAAATTGGTTTCAACTTAATCTTCAAGTTAGGTTTGTATTTCGATCTCTCTGTATCGCTAATTTGCTTTTAGGATTCATAATTTGTGTTTCAATCATTTTTATTGTATTGATGTAATTAGGGTTTTGTGATTATGGTTTGATTCGGCTTGAAACCACTATAATCACTGGGCTTCTTTTTCTTCTTCCTCGTGTTGATCTTTTTCGTGTTTTCTTATTTAAGGTTTTCAGATTTTACCAACCGTTCTTATGTTGTACTGATTTAAAGCTGTTAGGTTTGATTCGTCACAAAAACTATTTCAAGGTTAGGATTCTTTAGAGTTTTCTAAACTCTAAGCGATTGGGTAAAATAATAAAATTAGCGATTTAGAGTTTAATTTTGTTGATGTGCAACTTCTTCATTTTGACAAAACACTAGCGATTAGGGCCAACACAAATTAAAATTTATGTTTTCACGTATTAAGTAAAAATATTGCATGTGTTAAAATTTATAAAATTATAATAATAACAAAAATATTAATTGAATATCATATTTTCTAATATAGATTAGGTCCCGTCTAGGGTTATTTATTATCAAAATAAATTAAAATTAAGATTAAAATTTTATTGTACGAATGTTATATCCAAAGTATTCAAAAAATATAATTTTTAAGTTAGTAAAATGTTTTTTGTTAAAAAAAAATTATTTATGTATCGTACATATTTAAAAATTGTTATTAAAACTGTTATTAAAAATTCATTATAAAAATATATTAATGTTAAATTATCAATCACCAAAAAAATTGTAAGCTATTCACCATTTTCATAATATTACTATTACAAAAGTTTTTCAAAAACTATATATTATACCCTAAACATGAGTATACCATTATCTTAAAAATGTTATTTTCTAACTTCTAGTTTTTTAAAAGCCTATTCTCGTATATTTTTTTACTTTGCAATTTATTGTATTTCTTAAACTTAATTAATTATTACAAAATTTGATGGTAAAGTTCTTACAAATTAACATCAATCCAAAAAAATGAGTTACAATGTCGTTGAGATAAACATTTAGAAAAAAATTTTAAATATGAAAGTATACAAAATTAGAAATTTGAAAAAACATATTTTAGAAATCATTATACTACGAATTATACTGACTGTTGTTATCCTTATTTTAAGTTAGTAATGTCACTATTTTAGTTCTCTTTTATTCATCCTCTTGTTTTGGCCAATGAGGTTGCACTATGACATATTAACTTTAAAGACGAAAAAAATACATATTACCTTTAGATATAAATTAAAATTAAACAAAATTTAAATATAAATTAAAAATTAAACAATTGTATAATATTAAAAAACATTTAATAAACACATTTATTTTTTAAAACCCATAATCTCGTTAATTCATTAATTGTACTATCTGAATCTTAATTCTCTTTTATAAATTGAAACAGATATATAACCTTGTATAAATTGTGTAATCGAAATTCTACTCCTTATTTATAAACCTAAATCGATATAAACCCTTGTTTAATTGTAAAATCTAAACCATAATCCTAATTTATAAATCCAGGCAATCATATAACATGTTAGTTGTAAAAACTAAACTTTAATCCTTCTTTATAAACTAAAATCGACATATAATCTTGTTTAATTATAAATATGAAAACCTAATCTCTTTGATAAACCCAAACCAACATAACTAAAAATTAGGTTTAATAATTTAATTATAAGTAAAAAGTTATGAGTATTTTTTTGTTGTAATTTTCTATTTTATCAATTTTCTTACAAAATATATGTGTCACATTCCGGCATCTAATATTTTACCTGACATATATCACAATCACGTGAGTTAATAACTCTGAAAACTAAGTTTTACATAATAAGAATTTCTGAATTAACATAAAAAATCCATTATAAGTAGGTATAATATTATATATATTACTTATGTAGAATTTTTTTATGATAGATTCATAAATTTAATTTTAAAATATTTTAATATATCTTTAATTTACACATGTCAATATCTTATCGATACAATTGACACATGTCACATTAATGACGAACTTATTTAGATTAACTTACTGAATAAAAATATTTAAATATTACAGAATATTCACGATAATGTAAATATTTTCTAATATTATCTAATAGTTGACTAACTTGTTGTATTTTTTTCTTTATCTGTTTATTTTTTTTATTCCTTAGACTTAATTTTTATAATTTTTATTATTAATTTTATTTTATAATTACTATCATTTTCCTTTAGGACTACTACTAAGTAATTGTTAAATTTTCTGAATTTTTATTTTCTTCTTTCTATTTTAAAATATTCTTTTTAAAACTAAATTATATAATATATTACCACTAATTATTTGACACGTGTCAACATCGTACCAATTCAATTAACACGTGTCACGATCTTGTTAATGACTAACTTTGAAAACCCAATTTTATATAAGATGGTTTTTTTTTTACAAAACTCTTATTTTTCCCATCTCTAATCCTCTAATTTATTTTATTTATGATTTGTTTTTCAGAATTATGAAATGATCTTAATCTTGTGGCTATAGATAATTCTTTTTTTTTGTAAACTGCTCACATGTGAAAACAAAACATGATAAGATAAACATGATAAGATAATTCTTATGGTCTTTACTTTGTATCAAATTGCCTCTCTGTTAAAGCAAAAAAACTTTTTAAGCGTTTAGGAGCTTCACTCTTCTCATTAAGCAAGTAAAGCCAAACTGCTCTTGAGAAATCATCCACTATTGTTAACAAATATCTTACACCTGAGTTATGAACGTATGATTTTGTTACGGTGGAAATTTAATTAAACTAGGGTAGTCTAACAATATAAATCAAAATATCTCTTTGTTAAAAAGTAAAATAAAACAATCAAAGTCTCTCTCCCTCGGTTCACTCTTCCAACGTTCATTTGTTTTTTTCCTCTCCCATTTCAAATCCATTATCGCTCTGATATGCTGAGAATCGAAACTATGAAGACATCTCTGATAGCGAAGATTGTTCACGGTGGTGGATCTAACGGATGAGAGCGTAACTCTGGAACTTTTTTAAGAATCGTTGCTTTAATATGTAATGCAAAAATACAAAATAAATGATATATACAACATACACTTGTTTAGAAAATATCATTGATTCAAGAGACATGTATTAGCAAAAGGATCATGTCTCTTACCTCTTAATTTTTTTTGTTTTTTTTAATCCGACCTTCTAACACCTAATTTCACCATATCTATTTTCATTGATACTACTTTGTTCAAAAAAACAACAATAACTATATATAATAAATTACAATATATAAAATTAATGTAAAATATATTTTGTCTCGAACATATCCAAGAGAAGTAATTTTGAAAATAAACTTCAAAAATATAACTTATTACTTAGAATATTAAGTTGGGGGCAGGGGCACATATTTCTTACGCGTGCATGCTAGATAATGAGTTTACTCCTATATATTACTTCTATAGCTATTGAAATACCTATATACACATTTTGATTTCTAATGTTAAGCAATAAGACTCGAATGGTCGAACATACTTTAGTGTAATAATAGACTAAAAATAGACTTGACTGTTTGTACTAAAAACGTGAATAGTCACATATTTTTTTAGGATTTGAAAACAAAACAAAATATTGGAAATTTTAGAAAGCATGTGCAAAATTAAGTCAAACTTAACTACTAAACATCGAAGTTGGGAAGAGATGTAACTTACACATGCAATAAATTTGGAGGTTTGGAATCATGTATAAGTATAAAATCATTGAAATAAAATTAAATTACAAACTATATGATGCGTTTATCTTTCATTAGTCCTTCTATTTTTTCTTTTTCTTATCCTTTCTAATGTTTACTTTCACATTTTTTTCCATCATATCTCCTATGTTAATTTTACATTTTTTTTGGTAGGATCTGTTAATTTTACATAAGCATAAAATAACTACAACATAAGATGAAAAACTGAAAACTCTAATATAAACTTTTATAATCGTTTTATTAGCAATTATATATAAGAATTGACACAGTTAGAGAATACCATGTATTTAAGAGACGTGTATTAGCGAAGTCGATCATATATGTTTTCTTCATTTTCTTTAGTATTGTGTCTTAGTTAGAGATTTGTTTCATCATTTCTAGTATCTGGCCTCTAATACGGTTAGGGTAAGATTATATAACATTTAGCAATGTATTATCATGATATTACCTCTCATTTTTATTAAATTTCTCATCATGACCTATATATCTATACATCGAAATTTATGTTTACTTATGATGCATCGTTATCCACTCAAAAGTAAAAACAAGAAAGCATATTTAAATTGGTCATAACCTCAAGAAAAAAGCATACCAGAAGATACGTTTAACAATATTAGACAAGAATGTGGCTTTAGTCTATAGTACTATATAGCACATTGTATTAACAAAATCCGATACCAAGATTTGGTTATAAATATAGCGTATATGTATAATATCTAAGTAGATAGAGTTATTTATATTTTGTTAAGATTGTTATCTTAACAAATCTTCCTTTAACCTAGTTGTTTCCTCCGTATAAAATACTGTGAAAAGAAGTGGAGACCCAAAAGATTCATAAAGAAGGGGACTCGAGTGGTGCAATATGCAGATTTCTATCAAAACAGTCGAAGGAAAGAGCATAAACCTAGACGTAGACGATAGCTCCGACACCATCGACCTAAAAATCCATGGACTGACCCGAGAAATGATCATTCGTTTGGATTCGGATCAAGTCCTTCGGATTTTTGTATTGACTCTAGCTGGGAAAGTATCAAACCTAGAAGTGGAAAAGAACGAGACCATTGAAAACGTCATGACCAAGATCCATGAAAAGGGAGGTCCACCAGTTGACAAGCAGAAGCTGATCTTTAAAGGCATACAACTTGAGAAAGGTCGCACCATGGCTTATTACAAAATCAAGACGGATTCAACCCTAGTCATAGTGCCACGCTAAATAATATGTCTCTCGCTCTTTTGTTTTTTTTCTAAATTTTCATTGTGTGTACTGATCTTTTCTGATAACCTTGTGGTGGTCAAGTTCCAAAACTTCCAATCTCAAGAAATCATAATAATTAATTCTAGAGATACAAAATAAATTCAATGAAACAAACTTTCTTCCTTAATCAAAAGATCAAAGTTTTGTGATACCAATTTAGGCAGAGTAAAGGATAACAAAGTCTAGTTATATATATATGAACACACCTTGAATCATGTGTCACAAAACCTAAAGCCAAAACTTTCTAATTAAGCACAATCATCAAGTTTATTTCTTACGCATGCAAGGTAGAGCCCTATTGAGTTTTTGCTTGGATAATCAAAGATTCAACAGAAGCAGCTAGCAGTTACCAAAACTTACTAATTTAGCAACATAACCCCAATAAAATTTCTGAAAATGTGCACACAAGAGGGGAAGCTTCTTTTAAATTAAATGGTGAGAACAATTCATGTGTACCCCTTGAATGTAATTATGTAAACTTGACTCAAGAAATTACATTGATGCAAAGTTACCTCTCATTGTTATGTGTTTTTTTTTCTATTTAAACAAGCTTGTATCAATATATTGATTCATCAGATTTATATTTGCTTCTGCTGAATCGTTATACATTAGAAAAGTGATCCAAACATTAACAAGAAAGCATTGTGAATTCTTATCATGAAAAGAAAAGCATATCTTAAGCATGAAGATACATATAACCAATAGACAAGAAAGCAGCTCTAATTTGGCCTTTTAGTAAAAAGCATTCATTCATATTGGTTACAAAATTTACAATCTGTATAGTACAAATGCTACTAGACAAAATAAAACTAATGCTTTACACTGTCTAACCCTTTAACTAAAGAAACTTTACTATATTCCAAAATTCCCACTGAAGTTATATAATAGTTTATTTACAACTCTATATAAGTCACTCCTGAATCCACACTCTTCTAACACAACAAATCAAAACAACAACAACAAAAAAAGAAACGAGAGAGAATATATAGTTAATAGAGCTCTGTGATCATATCAAAATGAACAGCCAAAAGGATAACAAAGAAGAGATCGGTCCGTCATATTACGATACAGCAAAGAAAGTCGTAGGCGTGGCCGGGGCCATTGTAGCATTCGCCGGTCTAGCCTTTTTGAGCTTGGCCTCGAGCTCGGAAGAGAAGGGACCGGAAGAGAAGATGATGAAGGCTCCTGGAGGGAATGGCTCTATCATTCCTAGGAACCCTTTCGAAGAAAACCCTAAAGACTTCTTCGCGCAGCAGCGTATTGATCGTCGTAATAGTAAGAATTGAAAATATCGTCTAGAAAACTATATAATATATGAAAATGTGTGTATCTTCAAAGACTTACCCCTCCGCACTTTGTATTATGTAACTTAATCAATAACGTCGCGTACGACATAAATGTATGTTGTTTATAATGATATCTATGTTATTTCTTGTTGTCTAGACACATATTTATATAGTAATTGGTTTTGCTATAATATCCTCATTGCAAAGGTTAGTAATGGGTTTCTCATGATGCACAATATTACTTGAGTTTCTCTATGTGCTCACTAATAAAATCCTAGCTATAGCTTCTTTATAGCTCTAACACAACATATACTTTAGAATACAATCCTAGCTATAGTTATAGCTTTATAATTAACATGTTGTCAATGGCAACATCAGTTTAGTCTTCAATAATTTGTAAAATGAATACTGAGAAACTAAATTAACGTTGTGGAACACTGCTTAAGGAAATATATATGGACAAATCCTCTACCAATTTGTTAGGGTTACAATTACAGCTTAAAAGTATTCACTAGTTTTGGTATGAAAAAATTAAAAGTATTCTAGAAATCGTTAATCAATTATCATTTATTTTTGTATTTTTGTTTGTGTTTTAGTGTATATATTTTTTCTAATTCCTATGTACATAGATTTAATTAAATTTATAATTAAATTTAACTTCACACATATATAGGTTTGATATGCATTCCATGACTTTATTTGTCTAATATTTTCATATATAATATATCATATATTGTTGAATGTTTTCGTCTTCGTAGTTATAAAGTTTTCTGACTAGTTATTATATCGTAGTTTAAGCTCTTTTTTTTTGTTTTGTTTTAGAGTATCATAGTTTCATAATATTTTCTTTAAAACACAAATACATTTTTTTTTGTTTTCGTAATACACTAATTTCATAATTTCATTACTTCACACATATTTTTTTTTTTGTTTAAAGTTTAAAAATAAATTTCTTCCCACATTAAAAATATGTAATTCTGGTTTAATTATTTTAGATAGATAAATAGTAATAAACTAGATTTTAACTCACGGTATACATCGCGGGACAAAACTTTTTGTTTTTAAATTTTAATTTTTTCTGTTATGCTGGAATTTGTCTATAAATTATTTAGATTGCATAATATCAAACTTAACTAAATAAATTTGATTAAAACATACCTTGTATTAAATTTTCTCCCAAAATCCTTGCAAAAATACTATATTACATCTATGGAAATTATTTCCAGGTTTGTCAAGCAGTTCTAATTGTTTTTGGATTTTTATAGTTGGCCCAAACCCGGTTAAGATAAGTCTCTCAAGAAAATTAAATTCCAATAGGTTACTTAAGCCTAAAAAAAGCATCATAATTCCTCGTTGGTCCAAGTAAACTAATAAAAAGATCATTTATTATATAAAATTATTTCCGTATACCTTAATTGTCGGCCTCACATTAGCAACCCTAGCTCTAAATCTCTCAGAAGAAGTTGGATCTTTGCGCGATTATGAACAACAACGAGGACAAAGGTAACAAAGATGAGAAGTGGAGATTGTTTTACAATATCGCAACTAAAGTCATAGCCATGATTGGAGCTCTTGGAACCATAGCGAGTCTAGTCTCGTTGATGAGTTTGGGATCACAAGTGAAGGTGATGAAGCTTTCTTGGATGGATGCTCGTATCCCAAGTAAAGCTTACGAAGACTATTTCAAGGATCTGCGTGATAACAAGTGAATACATATGTAATAGTCACGATATTGCTGTTTGACCTTATCTAGTGAATGATCTGTTCTGTAATTTTTGCTGTTTCACTCTTGTTTGATGTTGTAACAATGGGAAGCTATGAACATGGCTTTGATCTGCCAACTTCATGTACTGTTTTTCTTATTGTGGCTTGACGATCGTTACAAAACAGAGCACAGAACATAAAAGATTAAAAGAAACTACTTCACTTGTAATGGTTTCTTAGGCTGAAACAGTCCGTTTGTCTGAGGAGGTTCTTTGCACTACTCGACCACTCGAGCGGTTTCCGTTTCCACCACCACCTGTACTACTAGAGGGCGCTCGAGGAACAACCCGCTGTATGATTCGAATAGGAGTCCCTCCTAAATCAAAATCTTCCTTCAATGATCTAGTCAGAAACCTTATGTCGCTTTCCAATAACTGCGTTTTACCGCTCACAAACGCTACAAAAGTCGGTGGTCGAGCTTTTACTTGCGTAAAAAACTTGATCTTTGGCTGTGCAGCCGTGTCTTTCCAAGAATGTCGGCTCATAACCTAACTCAGTACACAGAACACATGATTAAGCAAACAATGATGTCACAATTTTTTGTACAGACTATAGTCCGATTCATTTTACAGTACAAACCTTACGCAACCAGCGATTGAGGCGGCCTGTGGAAAGTCTTGAACACCATCTCTTGTACGTGTCAGTGACTTCTTTCATTACTTCCATACGTCCTCTTCCCTCTAATGCAGAGATAAACACAACTGGTATTCCAGTTATCTGCAACCAAATATTATATTTCCATCACCGGAAATCCAAGGAATGATAAAAGATGAAACAAGAATTAACAAAAGTTGCAATTTTTACGATTACCTGAGGAATAACTGTCTGAATTTCAATGGGAACAGCTTCCCTGATCTTCTTGTACATCTCAGAGTTCTCTTTCCCTCTTAGACGATCCATTTTGTTAACGATAACGACTAGACCACGTCCTTCTTCTACAGCACGTCTAGCTATAACTACTTCTGAATGTGTCATACTACATCTAGCTTTTATGATCTGGAGATTGCAAAGAAAAAACATATAGTGAGCAACTCTTGATTTTCTTTCCCTGTTTCTTAGTTGTGCAAAAAACATATAAATCACGAGAGTATTTGTGTATACAAACCTCTTCTGCATCAAGAACTAAAGCGATAACATGTGCCCGCATAAGACTTTTTCTCGATTGCATAATACTCAAAGATGCTGGTCCTTTGTCTCGCTCTGTTCTCTCCAACCAACCAGCAGTGTCAACCTCAACAAATAACCAGCATAAACATCAATCACAGTGCAAAAACTGAAACGCTGGTTCAGCTTTTTTTATGTTTAACATTAAGAGAACAAATAGCTGGTGTAAGAGAATTACATAAATGAACAGAATTCTAAACTTACCAGATAAACTATCCTACCCTGAAACTCAAACTGAACTCTCACAGCATCTCTAGTGAGACCAGCTTCTGGACCCACCAACACACGCTCTTCTTCCAATAATGCATTAAGCAGTGTGGACTTCCCAACATTAGGCTTGCCCACAATAGCTAACTGCAATGGCAACTTGGACTCGTCGGTTTCATCAGAGAGATTCTCATCGCTCGGAACATCATCTTGGCTGCATATATCTAATATAAGACTGTGAGGTTCAGTAAAGAGAGAAATCAAGGAAGCAACTTCTGGTAAAATTATCTTAATACGGGTATAGATGGGTTTTATTACCGTTTAGCCTTTCAACCATGTAATCCTCTAGTAAAGGACGGAGAACTTCATAAAGTGTGGTCATACCAAGTCCAGTTTCAGCTGAAATAGCGATAGGCTCGCCAAAACCTAGACCAAGTGCCTCTGAAGCAACTTCATCAAGAGAGCCAATAGATTCAGATTTATTCATAACTACTATGGGCTTAATCTGTGGAGCATGCTTTCTTAACCATTTCCCAACCTCTAAATCTAATGGATGCAACCCAGCCCTACAAAAACATGAGCAAAACAATTATTTATAAGGAAAAAATTTGTTTGTTGTAACTTGGGAATAAAATCTCACCTCACGTCAATAATAAGAACTGCAAACTGAGTCCTTGCAAGCACATTAGCCGTCATTGCTGTGGTTCTACCCAGAATAGTACCCGAAGAAACCTCGGTCTCGATACCAGCAGAGTCCAAAACATTAAACCTCAAATCAGCTAATTTGGCAATCCCTTCTCTTATATCCCTTGTAACATGATCATCTGGAGTGTTGTAAACAAGAGCTTCCCTCCTCCGAATCAATCTAAACAACAACACAATTAGCTTAAATCCATTACAATGTAATAACGTCTAAACTTTAAAAACTAATCTTGAGTATGTGCCGAAGAAACTAACCGGTTATACAAGGCAGACTTTCCAACATTTGGCCGACCCATAATCATCACAGTAGGTAGTAAATTCGCATCGATTTTGGTGAAATCAATTGGTTTCTTGTAAACAACCTTTGGCTTCTTATCCAAAAATTTCTCACAGGGAGCATCACCATTATCAACATTCGATTCATCAGAACTCAAATTTGAAACCGAGGCAAACCCATTTGTGATCAAGTTACCACAAAACCTATAACTATTCTGATGACTTCCATGTCTAGCGATTGAACTGAACCCTGAAGGAGAAACAAGTAAAAGATAAGGGAACAACCTAAATCTATCAAATTTGGATTTGTCATATAAGCAGATATTGAAAGAAATGAGATTTATACCTAAAGATGAAAAATTGAAGCAATTGGGAGAGATGATCTGATCTTGGTGATGAAATAGCCGAGTATTCATACATCTATAATAAAACCCAAGACTGAATTGATTCTTCCGAGCTGAGATTGCTCGAATTAGTGACTGAGACATTGCAGATGACAGATTCCACTTTAAGGGTATACAAGGCTTTGCATTTGTGATTCGATTAGAGAGAAAAGTATGAAGCTCGAAGCAGAATGATGAAGTGAGAGAGAGAGAGAGATAGTGAATCAATACTAACTAAAACCCTAAACCTTTGTTCACCGGTGATGATGATTACTCTGCCGTTGCTCACTCAAACCGATTTGTCGACATGAGTGATAATATGTGTGGGCATGATATGACGTCGTTTTAATATTGGGTTTTGTTCAAAAACCCACTGGGCTTTCAAGTGGACATGATAATTTTCGTCGTTTGAATATTGTAGTACCCATTTCGGTTTGGCCTGATTTGGTTTCTTCAATTTCGGTTTGGTTCGGTTTGTTTATTCTCCACATTAATTTCGGGAGTCAACGAAAGCTCCACACAAGGCAATCATAGTTGACCAACTAATTAAAGCAAACGACACAATGTTTGAATATAAAACGACACGATCGTTGTTGACCAGACCAGAGAAAGGAGCGTTGTTCTTAAGCGCAATCATAGAGAATTAGAGATAGAGATAGAGAGACGAGAACGAGAATGGGAAGTTTTCTGTCATCTGTGATCGGAACTGGACCAGAAGATGCAGGGACTGAATCTGAGTCAAGTCGCGTCTTCAAGTTTAGCTCTTCAGCTCGGTGGCAACTTCATTACAATGAGATCAAAGAATCGAACAAACTGGTATGTCTCAGACTCGATTCGATTCAGTTTGGTGTGTAATCGATTGGGGTTTTTTATTTGAATTGATGAGATTTTGGGTTTCTGTGAATTGGTGGGTGATAAGCTGGTGGTTGATTTCTCGGCGTCGTGGTGTGGACCATGTAAGATGATTGAGCCAGCGATTCATGCCATGGCTGATAAGTTCACTGATGTTGATTTCGTCAAATTAGATGTCGATGAACTTCCTGTAAGTATCTCTCTCTATCAAAAGGTTTCAGCTTTTGTTTGTCTTAAGTGCTTTACATTGAGTGTTGTGATAAAGAAGCAATTTTGTTGTGGGAAGAAATTTGATAGCTTTATGGAATAAGATCAATCCAATTCTGATATAAGATAAACGTTTGGTGAAATTGGGTTTTGACGCTCCTGCTTCTATTTCCATATTTAGTTGTTTTTGTAATGAGATAAAGATTTAATCTTGCTGCATCTCTGCCATGGGTTTTGTTACCAAAGTTCCAATTTTTTGTGTCTCCAACTTTTGTATACCTCTTTAATCTGATTTAATCTAGTTAAGTGTTTTTTTTTAGTGTGTGTCTGATATAGAGATATTGTGATATCGAATTTCATGACTAGAAGATAGATTTTGGAACGGTACAACTGCAAAATACTTGGATTCTGATATAAGATAGGAGTTGGTTGAGATTAGGTTTAGCCTCCTGCTTCTGGTTAATTGAATTGTATTGAGAAACAAATTTAAACTTACTGCATGACTTAATGTTTCCAGGATGTGGCTAAAGAGTTTAATGTGACGGCAATGCCAACCTTTGTGCTGGTGAAAAGGGGTAAAGAAATTGATAGGATCATTGGAGCCAAAAAGGATGAACTTGAGAAGAAAGTTAGCAAACTCAGGGCATAATGAGCATTATTAACTCCTTTCACCGCTAGCCATGTGTAAACTCAATAATAAATGGTATGTTGTGGGGAGTGGGTTTGTGCTATACTCTGTTGTTTCTGCTGTGTCTTCAATACTATAAGAACTTTTATGTGATTCAACGATTGATTGAAATGGTTTAATAAAATGCTTTAGTCTGGTGCAGTGTGGGGAGGGGGTTGTTCTATACTTTTTTCTAATGTAAGACTTTCTGTGTGATGCTGCGATTGATTAAGATGGTTCGTTGAAATTCTTATACTCTCTGCTTTTGTACGGTTTATGATGCAAACTTCCGAAAGACCCATAAAGCATATTACTATAAAGCAGCAACCATAAGAAGTTGGTTTTGTTAGCATCCCAAAATATTTTTCTTTACGGTTATCATCGTCATGTATCTACGGTTGGAAAACTAAAATATCCATACAAAGAATAACAGATTTGTCAAGAATTTTATGAATATAACAATTAATTTTTTTTATTTTTTTTAACCATGGTCATCATTTTAATTATTTAGAACAAGAACTAGATTGCTCTGAAAACGACTCAACCTCATAAAACTGTTTTCTCTAGTAAAAAATTATTAGATGATACATTGACATTTTTCCCTCTACAAAAAGAGAGGTAATTATAATGTTTTCACTAGGTTGATGTAGAGCAAAACTTTTTAGTGTGAATTTTCGCAAAAATTGCTGACGAGATATATAGGGAAAACCCAAGTTGAAACTTTAGTTCCAATTTCCAAACGATATTTACCAGCACCCAAGTTTGAGCTGATACACTTGGATGAACATCATTGTTTAACGGAAGAATACAAAAACAAAAAGAACATCTCAAATATCATAAGAGATTTATATAGATGAATCCATCCACTGCATGCTTTTACGTGTCATCGATATAACCATATCCAAGATTTGATGTTTGAACCTTTTTTAACATGCCTTTTCATTATTCATGGTCTACCTTTAAGGTCCTTTATATAACACGTACACCAATGGGCAATGGTTAATATAAAGCCAATATGAAATCAGTACAAGCTTGAGGACCAAAAGAAAAGAAAAGAAGAAACATAAATTGATAGAACTATATATTGTAAAATTTGTAATATATATCTAAACATTACGATTTACGGGAAACATATGTTAAGAACTTAAGGCTAATTACCATCATTAGATTTTTCTAACATTTTGTCACAACCATCATCATCATGATGTTAGCTTTTATTTCCAAGTAAGTTTACACTTTCTAAAACGATCTTAAACCGACAAAACCTATTTATTTTTACTATAAAACCTTACTGCTCGACTGTTAGATAGGAGAGACACGTTCATTTCAGTTTTGTATCCTCTTTTTACCTATTAAAAGTTTTTGGGAGAGGATCTTTGGACCTTATTAACAATTTGGAGGAAATTTATGAACCCTCTTATTCATTGTTTTTAATTATGATTTCCGCTTTACGTATATGTTTGAGTAGCTTATTCATTGAGTTGACGATGTTAGGCTGTTAGATTACAGATGTTATCTATTAGTTTTTACATCTATATATGGTTGTTCTTTTAATGTTTAAGCTAGACTAATGATCACTTATATTACGATCTTGAGTCTTGTTTATCATAACTTTCACTCATGATACTTTATCTAAATGTGCATGTTCAACTTCCTCCAAACATATACCACGAACAAAAACTATGTATTAACTTGTTTCTAGACATCATATCCTTGGATAAAAATGTTAAAACTAAAATATGATTAAGAACAAATTTTAGGGCTCAAGTTCAAATCTTATGTAGAATTCTGATTTTGCGTATGGTTGTTGTTGCTGCACGGTTTAGCACCTACAACATACCACATTTAACCGGATTGAGTTCGACTTGATTAAACCGGAGAATTCCAGTTTAAAGCCTTTCGTTCTTGGGTTCGGGCAAAAGCCCATCAGATCGCCGGACCGACTTAATTAGCAAGTTCCTATTTTAATTAGGAATATTAATCCCTAGATTTATTGGAAAACATATCTTGTAATGTATATAAATAGGGGGATTTGTCCCCTATTAAAGGGGAGGGTGCAATTAATACAAAAATCAGAATTCTTCACTTATTCTTGAGCCAAACTCTAGTTTGTCCTTCAAGCAATATATTCTTCTTCTTACTCAAGCATTTGATCAAACTTCAAAGAGAGATAAGCAATTAAATTTTTTCCCGCATCCGAATAAATTCCTTGTGCGAATTCTTGATTCCAAAATTGTGTGTTGATCGTCTGATAATTGTGGTTAACAGCCAATATTCAAGCATGACAAAAAGTCAAAAACATAACTATAGTAGATTTATTTTCTAATCTACGTGCAAGAACATACCAAAAGCGCAAACTAAAATGATCACTTAATAACAAAAAATGTTCATAGAAGAGAAAATACTACAAAAAAAAACGAAGGAACATTTTTAAAAATTTACTAAATTTTATAAGAAATTTGACAACTATACTCAATATTATTGTTATTTAAAAAATATATTTTTTAAACTCAAGATGGACAACTTTTGTTTAATCAATAATAATTAAATTAAATAAAAACTAAATTGAGATAACAATTTTAAATTTCAAAATTAACTAAAAACCGTATTAATATCTTTGATAACTAAATATTGAGTGTTTTGTATCATTTCTTGTGAACAAATGGTATGTATGGCTATTGGCTAACCACAAGACATTTATCTTTTCATTGGTCTTTTATTCATCTACTCCAGTTCTTAGAACTTCTGGGGATATGTACAAAATTCCTACGAGCTACTTAATACGATAGAGGGGATCATGGCCAAAAGATGAGTTTGTAAGAATTCAAAAAAATAGTTTGTAAAATTCCTACGAGCTCCTTAATTTTGAACAATTAAAAAAAATATAACAAAGGAATATTTAAAAATATCTTAGCTCTCTACCTAATAAGATTGAAAAGAAAAATTTGGACATAAATAATTCGATCCAAAATTCATTGTGAGAAATCTTCGTACAAGCTTATCCTTTGTTCTTCACATAAGTTGTTCATACTTTTTTGCAAAACTTGTGAATGCAATAAGAAAGATAAGGTATTGCAGCTACAAACACAAACTTATTTTTACATGACTTGGTTTATTCTATTTTTTTAGATCGATTATAAACTTTTTTTGTATAACTAAATCAAAATAATTTTTCTATTTTTTCAATCGATTATAAATTAACTTTTTATAATCAAATCAAATTAAATATGAAATTCATCAAATATCTTCATCTTAATTTCCTCAAAGTTGATATTTTCACATGAAATATATCAATATTTTAGTAGCTAATCCCCTCTCAATTTTTTCTAACCTTTTGATGTTCTTAAAATTAAGTTTTTGATTTAAGGATGCATTTATTGTAAAAAAAACACTTTTTGTTTTGAATATATTTTAACATTCATGCAAAAAAATAAAAAAAATAGTAGGTTTAAATCACTACACTACAATATGACATCTACATATAAAAATAGTTTTATGTTCCTTTATTGTTTGAGAAGGGAAATAACATTGCATACGTAGTTAAATAACTAGTAAAAGAAAAACAAAATATGGTTTTAAGTTCATTAAATCAAATAGAGCTAAATAGTAACCCTCAACCAAACATTTTGAACTTTTTTTGTTTCTTCTTTTCTTGTTGGCTCTTCTGATTATCCTTCTTTTCCTCTAGAGTGTTGATTACAAGTCTCAGAGACTTTTCAACATTGATTTGATGGTTTCTAGCCATAAGATTCTCTGCGACATCAGCTGGGGAAATCATTGTCTCCTCCAACAATGTCTTGATTTCCCTGAATAAGGGATGAGCTTCATCACCATCAAGATCCAAGTAGTTCTTGGCAAGAATCTTGAACGCTTCGTAAGTGCAGTACGATAACTCAATGTGCATATCCATTCTACCTCTCCTGATCAAAGCTGGGTCAAGCTTTTCCAAGTGGTTTGTTGTGAATACAACAATCCTTTCTTGTCCACAAGCCGACCAAATACCATCAATGAAGTTGAGTAGCCCTGAGAGTGTAACTGAGTTTTCGTCTTTATCTTCTTTTCCATATCTTTCCCTTGAGCTGTTCTCTTTCTTGATTCTGTTCCCAGTGAATTCCACAGAGCAATCTATGTCTTCAATCACAATAATAGACTTGCTGGATGTTGCGGTAAGCAGTTTTTTCAACTCCGAGTTGTTCTTTACCGCGGTAAGTTCAAGATCATAGATGTTATAGTTTAGAAGATTAGCCATAGCTGAAATCATGGTAGACTTACCTGTTCCTGGTGGTCCATACAACAAATATCCTCTCTTCCAAGCTTTCCCTATCTTCTTGTAATACTCTTTCCCATTGCTAAAGGCGATTAGGTCACTCAAAATCTCTTCCTTCTTCTTTGGATCCATAGCTAATGTCTCGAAACTCGCGGGGTGCTCAAACTCGATAGATCTCCACATATTCTGGCCAAAAACCCATTGAGAACTCGGGTTATTCGTGAAAAGCCGTGTTTGCTTGTTCTTGACTATAATAGATTTCCCTTCTTGAACCACATGTTTGACGTATGAATTAGTTATAAGGCTCCTTGCGCGGTTGTGAAAAGTGAGCTTATAATATCTGTTCCCATCAGTCTCAACCACAATTTCCCACCAGACATTAACTCCTTCGTATACGTCTCTTACTTTAGCCTCGTTTCGTTTCAACACCAAACCTTTGCTTTCTTTAACCTGGCTTCCTCTGAGACGTTTAGACTTGTCGGTTGATTTTGACTCAAGGTAGGTCTCGATGGCCGAGAAAGCTTGGTTGAAACTGTACTTATCGCTCTCCGGGAAGTTGATCTCGACATAAGGAGAGAAGAGGTTGGTGAAATGGTCGGAAACTCTCTGAGCAAAACAGAGTTGTTGAAATAAAGACAAGAGAAACTCTTTGATTGTGATCTTCAAGTGGTTAGGGAAGATTTGTTGAATAGTTGCCCAAAGAAAGAACAAACTTGCCATGCTTGAGCCCATACTTCCGAATGAATCACCCATCATCATCGTATTTCTTACCACCAATGAAACAATTTTGGTTACTTTTTGTGTTTTCTTCTTTGTGTTTATATAGTGTGGTATGCTTTTCTCTGTTATTTGGTTTGGAGTGTGTATATTTATAAAGCTGAGAGACTAGCCAGAGACTAGCCTTAAAAGTCTTTTATGATATATTATAAAGTCTTACTTGGTTCAAACTTTTGCATTTTTCGTCGGTGGTTCCAAATTTAAATAATGTATCACGCGTCTCTACTTTCTAAGAAAGAAATAGGTAAATCAGAAAATGATAAACTAAACAGACCAGTCTTTAAAGTTAAAATCTTTCAAAGACCAACATTGACTCAAATTGCAATTAAGCACATTGTCGAATTATAATTTATTTTGAGTATTAATCTCGTTAAATCTTTAAAGATGAGGCTGGTTCCTTCCTGGATCTTTTACTCTTCTGCTACCCTGTGTTTTCCTTCTGCACTCATTGCAATATTTTATATTTGGTTCTTGTTTCATAATATCAAAGTTAAAGACTTTCTTAGGTTCTTCATCGTATCATCTCATAACCTTTCTGTGGGTGAATTTGCTCATGTACTATCTACTTAATAAGGAGCCTGTTACCAAGTTTTTTTATATTTCTCCTGTTATAGGTCTAATTGGAAAATAATGTTTCTACATACACAAATATAACAATACTAGTCTTACAAGAAAATTATGATCCTATCAATACTTTTCTGTCTGTAGAGCTTCTTTTGTTACTTGCTGCTAATTTGCCGATGTTTGTGCCTGCGATATATCCACCTGACCAAGCGTTCTGCACATAACAATACTTGCATCAATAATTCATATGCCATTTTTCCAAAACAGCTTAAATGTTTCGATGTTATAATTAAAAAATATTCACCTGGAAATTGAAGCCTCCTGTAACTCCATCTACATTTAGTACCTAAAACACACAAATGTAAGTACAGATATGATATGATGTGTATATATGTATGTCTGCTGCTCCATATGCATTGGTGTATGTATGAATGTGATCAGTTACTAAATGCACAAATAAATATGCTTGAAACATTGTAGCTTACCTCTCCTGCAAAGAAAAGATTCGGAACCAATTTGCTCTCCATTGTCTTCAAAGAAATCTTGAAACATAGAGAGGCAGTTAAGATCAGATCTCGTAAAGAAAACGAAAGAGTACGTTTAAGTTTGTAGAAACCGAACCTCGGATAAAGGAACTCCTCCTGCTGTCACAAACTCATCTTTGTATTGACCCTTTGCAGCAAAATAACAAAACACAATGTCATCATCACCATCTTGACTAGCATATTATAAAAGCTGAATAATTTTCAATCATGTTATACCTTTCCAGTGACTTGAAATGTACAATGTTTAAGAATATCAGAAATGGAGCTCAAGGAGTTATTTGACACTGAGGCCCACAAGGTGTCTTTTGAAGAACCCTGATGGATCAAGTAGACAATCAAGGAAATTCGTGTAAGATTAAGAGGTTTTACGATATGGAAAAGCTATGACAGAAGGTTTTTCACAACCTCGCGGTCTAGAATGTATCTCCAGAATCTGTTGACAAGACCAAATTGAGGAGGAAAGGAATTGGATACCTTGTGCTTCTGCATTACACAATGCTCAAACGTTTTTCACTTTATAACCAAACACAAGAAACAAAGAGAACGAAAGGATAAAAATCTGAAACGTTGTTACTGAAAACTGCTGCTTGTGTTGTTTGAGTACAGATTTGGCAGTTTCGATGTTTATATCCGGTATGAAATCGACAATAAGATGCCCTGCAGCCAAATTTAAATATGTTCTAACTTCATAGAGTTAACAGGATAAAACATTATCTCCTTAGAGATGAAAGATTCAGACCTTTGTACTTAGAACTAAAGAGATGTCGTGCACCCCATGCAGAGAGTCGAAGAATAACCGGTCCACTAAGTCCCCAGTGTGTCACTAGCATTGGACCAATCTTGAGAGAAAAGAAGTAGTATTTGAACTTATCCTCATGATATAAGATTTTAAACAAACTAGCAATAGCAAAGGGTAAACAGATGCACACCTGCACGAGGTTAGACAAATCCGGGCATGGATTATCAAATGTGAGTTTGGCTTGGACTTTGGAGAAACTAATCTGAGCAAGAGCAATAAAAAATGTCACATATGAAGGTCGGTTAAAAAAATTGTGCTACGGAAGATTCTGGTCTTGGAGGAAAATTTACCCCTGCTAACTCGGTCAGCAATGGATCATTGATCTTAAACGTGAATAAGCTTGGTACTGGATCTACAATGGAATGACCAAATTTAGTGGCTAAAGAGTGCCCCTGTAACATAATACAACAAAAACATCTTAGGAAAACATGAACATCCCTTTATTACAAAAGAGCTTTCCAAAATAAAGACTTCATGTTCTTAAAATGGGATATTATATAAACCTGTTGGCTACTTCCAGTTGCAATCAGAAGATAAGTAGCTTCAACAAATTCAGATGTGTCAACACTTTGTTTCCCAACTTTAACAAGGAACTTTCCATCGGGTTTAGTAGAAGCAGCCAACACAGACTTGCCTCTCTCAAGCCTAACTGGTTTAAGAAATTGAGTTGATATATGAATGTGCAGTCACAATAATTGATAAGAATAGGTGTTTCAAAAGATGTGTTATATATACTACCTCCTCTAATATTTGCTTCATTTAAGAGACAATCAATTACAGAAGATGAATTATCACTGACAGGGAATACTCTTCCATCATCTTCAGTCTGTCAAGAGACAAGAATTAGGCAAAAAATGCGGAGTAAGAAAAACATCTCTAAAGATAAATCGGATGCAAAGTCACAACCTTTAGTGGCACTCCATGCTCAGAAAACCATGACATAGTATCAGCAGGTCCATGTGTGTAAAAGAAAGAACCTTTAAACTCTTTATGACCACGAGGATAATGCCCTGCCAAATTCTACATACAGATTCCATTTCTACGTTACCAAAAGGTCAAAACTCAAACTAAACCAATATGCTTCCCAAGAACAAAACTACAAGAAAGCTTCATGATTCTGCAATTTTCATGTATAAAGTTTGAAACTTTATCAATGAACAAGACTCACAATAGTATCATTACAATGCCCATTTGTCACATTGCATCTACCACCACCAGAAATCTTCACCTACGAATCGCAAACGATAAACGAAATGAACAAAACTCCCTTTTTCACCAATAGAGTTATAAGTTCAATGGAAAGAAGAGAAACTAACCTTAGAAAGAAATCTCCCTTTTTCAATAACCAAAACTCTCAAATCAGGTGAGAGAGTTTTAGCTCTGATTGCTCCATAAACTCCAGCTGCTCCACCACCAACAACAACCAAGAGCTCACTCTCATCTTTTTCCCCCTTTTCAAAAAAAACCAAACAAATTCAGACAAAACAAAGAAAGAAACGAAAATTTCTATAACAACAAAGCAAAGTTTTTACCTTGTAGGCCGAACTAGTTATAGCAGCGGCTGTGAAAATTTTCCTTTTATTGATTGTTCTACATAACAAAGCTTTTACAGGAACCCATAAAGGATTTGCCAAATTCAAGCTCATTACAGTCTCGAAATTTCTAAACTTTGATTCTACTTATCAATTCCAACGTCAACGACTATTGCAAAGAATGTGATTCATCAGCAAAATAAACCCCAGAGTAATCTAAACTACTCGTTAAACCCTTAAGTTCTCTTTCTTTTTGGGTGAACCAAACCCTTTAAGTTCTCAATTTGAAAAGCCAGGTGAAGAATAAAAAAGTAAAGATGATAATTGATGATTCGAGACTTTAAATGACGTCATTTCTTCTTTCACCAAACGATGTCGTTTCTTCTGTTTGCTGCCAAACGACGCCGTTTCTTCTTTCGCTGCCAAACGACGTCGTTTCTTCTCTTAGCCAAAACGACGTCGTTTCTTCCCGCCAAAACGACGCCGTTTCTTCTCCTCATTAAACGTAGTCGTTTCGTCTCTCGTCCAAACGACGTAGTTTCGTCTCTCGTCAAAACGATGCCGTTTCTTCTCTCGCCAAAAACGACGCCGTTTCTTCTCTCGCCAAAAACGACGCCGTTTCTTCTCTAGCCAAAAACGACGCCGTTTCTTCTCTCACCAAAAACGACGCCGTTTCTTCTCTCGCCAAAACGACACCGTTTTTCTCTTCGCAAAAACGACGCCGTTTTTCTCTTCGCAAAAACGACGCCGTTTTTCTCTTTCGCCAAAACGACGCCGTTTTATTTCTTCGCAAAACCGACGCCGTTTTTCACTTTCGCCAAAACGACGCCGTTCTTCGCTCGTCAAAACGACGTAGTTTCTCCTCTCGCCAAACGACGCCGTTTCTTCTCTCGTCAAAACGACGTAGTTTCTTCTCTCGCAAAACGACGCCGTTTCTTCTCTCGCCAAAACGACGCCGTTACTTCTCTCACCAAAACGACGTAGTTTCTTCTCTTTTCGTGAAAACGATGTCGTTTTAAATCTCGAGACAAAATATGAAACTTTTTTTGACGCTTCGTATTCTCAACACATCGGTTTACGGAAAACAAAGTTGGAAACTATTCGTCTTCCTCGTGCCTCTTTAAATTCCAAACGTACAAACTCAGTGTATCAAACTTCTTACTTGTCTTTGTGAGAACCTGAGATAGAGTTTCAACATATCGTTCGGTGGTGAGTTTGGTCCTCAAATAAGACAAGTGAAGTTAAAGAAACAGAGCGAACTCAGGATTAAAGTGCAACGAACTTCGCAGCCACTCAGGCTCCGTTTACTCGATGGCAAAGCTGAGATCTTTGGCTATGAGCTTCCACATGAAGTTTGGCTCACATTCCCTCCTCTCATGATATTTGCGGTATGTTTTCACATATTCAATTTCAAATTCATCCTGTGGCCTTGTGGGTTAGATAAAGATCTAAGCTTTAGGACATAAATGTAGCTATAAGTTGGTTAAATAGAAAATTATACTCTTGATGCTTTATTGTTGAAGTGGGTTCTTGAGTTGAGTTACACACATGAAGATTTATAATCTTTGATATTGATACAAAAAAATTTACTCACTTTTCAGGTTTTCACATGGTATGGTGCAATAATAGAAATCGATGGCATTGCAGAAACTAAATGTACATCATGTGAGGTAAGGTTTTGCTGCCATATCTACTCTTAGTTTATATATTTTATCAAGTGTAACTGTGTTGTTTACTAGAAATGTCTCTGTTTTAGACACCTATGATGAGCTACCTTAGAGTGCACAACTCTCTACAAGTAGAAAGACATCGTTCTACTTCCTCAACAAGAGATTGTGTACCTTCACAGGTTCTTGTTCCTTACTAATTAACTCCTGTTCTTTTAGCAACTTGAAATCTTTGGTGTTCTTTACGGTTTTGCTCAATGTAGGGACCAAGGGTTATCATTGTAGGGGATACAGACTCTGGGAAGACCACATTGGCCAAGATGCTTCTGAATTGGGCAGCAAAAGATGGTTGGAAACCAACATATGTTGACCTTAACATTGGTCAAAGCTCAACAATAACCATACCGGGAACTGTTTCTGCTACTCCTGTCGAAATGCCTGTGGATCCTGTTGAAGGGTTTCCTCTTGATAAGGCTATTGTGCACTACTTTGGTCACACATCACCAAGGTAACATGACTTCAAATTCTGAGTACTTAGGTTTTCATATAATGTGTCCTACTAGCTTACTAACTTTCCTTTCTTGGACTCTCAGCATCAACCTTAGACTGTATCTGAAGAAAGATCTAAAATTCAAGAAGAATCTACAATTCTTGAATCTTGAAATGTCAGCTGGAGTCTTCACTAGGAGCTCTCACTTTCGCAAAACATTGAGGAACTACAGCATTCAGGTAAAAGAGTTTTCACGATTTGACGATTCCATCAAAACCCCTTTCCTTTCTATGTTTGATTAAAGTAAAGGTCTCTTACCATTTGCTTATGCTCAGAATTACTTTTATGGAGTCACCAATGATCTCACCGTCTACACCAAAATCTTAAAGTTCAGTGATGTGCATGTATATCGAATAGGTGACTTTCCAGAGAGTGGTTCATCAACATCAGCTCAACGAAGAGGAAACAATCCTTTGAAGATCACACATGTGACAATTGACGAACATCTTGTGAACAAAGTTCTTTCTATCTCATACGCCAAACAAGATGATCAGATCATCTCAAGGTATAATATCTCCCAAGTTTTGTATAATTATACTTAAAACTCTAGATGAAGCTATCTTTAACTTTGCATCAAATGTATATATTGGATTTGTGCAGCGTTGTTGCTGGATTTGTGTGTATCAAAAACGTTGATATTGGTGAAGAGAGAATTACATATATCTCTCCATCAGCTGCGGAGTTGCCTAGTAAGATACTGATCTTGGGGACTTTGACATGGCATGTAACTTGAGAAGCAAGCAACTAAAGAGTAGATATCAACTTCTATTTAAAGATGCTCTAGTTTATTCTCCTATGTAATCTGTTTGTTTAATGGAAGACTTAATCGAAAATTTGGTTGTTTTGTTATCTTTTTTTATGATATTACTATATTCCAAAAATACATATTTAATTTAAAATATCGTGTAAATATAATAAAATCTACAAGATAAACTAAAATCTTTAAATTTAACCCAAAAAATCAATTTTAGATTTTGTAAGCAAAGTGTCATTTAAATAGATTGATCAATGTGCAACTTTGTTCATTAGGTTAGAGAAGAAAATGGCAAAATCCGTAATGTTCTTAACATTTCTTCTTTCTTTAACTCTCTTCAATACTTTTCAATTAGCTCAGTCTTATTCTTCTATTATTAGTCGTCGTTATGATCGTAAAACATTCAATGTTCTTGATTATGGAGCAATTGGGGATGGATCTTTTGACGATTCAAAGGTTTGTTTTCATTTTATTTGTTGGGTAAACTAATATGAAAACTTCACAACTTATATATATAAGGTTTGATGATGGTTTTAGGCATTCAAGGATGCATGGAAAAAAACGTGCAATTTCTTTGGAGCACAAGCAACTATGGAAATACCTCAAGGATACACGTTTCTTCTCCAACCTATTGAGTTCCATGGCCCTTGCGTATCCAAGAAAATCAATTTCTCGGTATAATGCATAACTCATATTCATCATACTATCTAAACATTTGAATATCTTTTTTCTTATTTACTAACTAGATTAATGCTTTAAATATTTACAAGTTTTAAGCTAGTTATTTGTTTTTTATTCTTATGAAAATCATTTTTTTTGTACCTAAAATCTGGTTATTGGTTTTTATTCTTTTGAAATTCTAATTTTTTATCATACAAGATTTTTGAAAACTTAGGGTTCCTAAAATATAGAGAAGTAGTTTTTGAGTGGTTTTTCGTATATCACAAAAACAAATAATTATATAGTTCTTTTTCTCAAATTACTGTTATCCTTTAATTTCTACGAGTTTCATCATACAAATTAAAATGAGTAGGGATTGGTTAATTATAGATTAAAGCATCTAAACTTACTCAGTTAAATATAGGATATGAATTTCATTTTTCCGCTTTATAAAAAATGTGTAAACTATAAAAAAAAAATAGATTAAGAATCTTTTTTGGATAAAATTTGTTAAAGAAAATAATGAAATATTTTTAAAACGTAACAATTTGATACAAGTCAAAAAACTGAATCCCGTTTTTTACTTTTTACACTAAAGCATATATATACAAAATCATATTTTTAATTTTTCGACATCATATAGAAACACACTAACTTAAATTTATGCAATACTACATTAGTTTAATTTTCCTTTTTTTTTTTTTTTTTTATGTAGATCAATGGAAACTTAATTGCTCCCGCATCTCCTGATGAATGGGATTGCAAGAACGATCATTGTCATCAATGGATCGAATTCGCTCATATAGATGGACTTTATATCGATGGTCATGGTACTCTTGATGGCCAAGGAACACAATGGTGGTCTCTTAATTGCACAAAATATAAAAAAGTATGCCAATGTCGATGAGTAGACTACTCATTTACTTTAGTTTCTATTCATTTAAACCACAATATTAACTTTTCGTTCTTCTTTGTAGGCATGTCTCAAGAGACCAAGGGTATGTAAACAAATCTCTAAGCAATGATTCAGAAAATATCTCTCATATATAAGGTTACTAAGTCGCTGCAATACTTTTGATCGTTTGTTTTTGGGTTTGTAGGGTGTAATTATATCGCATTCGAGTAATGTGCATATAAGCAACATTATGGTGAAAGACAGTCCAAATTTTCAAATGTCGTTGGAAGATTCGAAATGGGTTACTGTTAAGCAACTCACCATAACCGCTGATGGTGATAGCCCTAACACTGATGGCATTCACATTCAACGTTCTCAAAATGTCATCGTGTACAATAGTAATATTCGTACAGGTGATTTGATTCATCATTGATCTTTTAACATCATGCAAAGTCTCTCATATATAATTAGGTTATTAGGTTTATAGCACAAACCATAATCACAACTGTTTTTATTGGGTTTTGATTTTCTTTAGGTGATGATTGTGTATCTATTGGTGATGGTTCAAAGTTCATTAACATATCAAGAATCTCATGTGGTCCTGGACATGGAATTAGGTACTTTTTCTTCTAATGTTTTGGTTACCTATAAGGCAAACTTAGTATAAATTGTGTACGTGATCATGTTGTTTTATAATTTTTAAACAAGTATCGGAAGCTTAGGTCGGCATGGAACCAAAGAAACGGTGGAAGATGTTGTTGTGCAAGATTGTACGTTTAGAAAGACAACTAATGGGGTTAGAATCAAGACATGGCAGGTAAGAACATAGTTTTATTTGTGTTTTGTTCTCTCTAATCAAGTAATTACAATATCATTTTTCCTATTGCTTTGTATTATTTAGGGAGGAAGAGGTCATGTGAGAAATGTATTATTCCAACGTATAAAACTACATGGAGCAATCCGACCTATTATTATTGACCAATTCTATTGCCCTCACTCACAATGCAAAAACTATGTACGTAATTCTTAATTACATTTCCTTCTAGTGATTTTTTCTTTGTATCAATCTATTGCACTAAGTAATATGTTTATTTCATATTATATATATATATATACAGACAAAGGCAGTGGAGATCAAGAATGTAATGTACAATAACATTTATGGAACATCAATCAAGAAACCCTTTGTGCAACTCTTATGCAGCAAATCATTCCCATGCAGAGATATTTTCATGAACGATATAAACATTCGCGACGAAAACGAAGAAGAAGAAGAAGAAGAAGAAAAGAAATATCATAAATCCCATCATTATCATCCTTATGCTGAATGCATCAATGTTAAAGGAATGTCTAATGGTGTGATGAAGCCAAAACTAGCTTGCTTGAAATCATTTGCCTAGAACACTTTGTTAGGTTTTTTATTTATTTATTAGAACTACTACAATATAGTGCTTGTGTTTTTCCTTTCTATCTACTTATCTTGGAAAACAAAATAATAAAATTTGACATTTTTAGTGAATTTTTTTTAATTACAACTTGTCTTCTTTCTTTGATGATATACCACAAATTAGTTTAACTATCAAATAAACATGTGATCATATAATTTTAGTGACTTCATTACATTGTTTTTTCGTGACAAAAGGAATACTTTAATTGTGTATCCATGAATAAACTAAATAAATCTATTATAAAAAAAAACTAAAAATTGCACGGGATGTCAGTTAGTTGGGCTAAAACCCAATTGGTTTACATAGTAGTATTTTTTACGGTCTCATTATCCCGTGACACTACTTGAAGTATTCTTCTTTTTCATTTGCATATTTGACTCAAGGATTTTAGGACAGACAGTGTGATGACTCTTTAAACAGTGGAATATTTTGGTGTATTTCTACCGAAACTAACCGAAACAACTGATGAAATTAAAAAAAAAGTAGACAATCCGATTCGACCACATTACCACAAAACTCACATTTCCACTAAACTCACATTTCCACTAACCACATCCAATTTAATAAGATTATGGATTTAACCAGAATAAAGTATGGTAGTGAGCAACAACTTAACCACTAAAATTTTGTTTGCTAAAACAGCCAACGAAGATTACGGATTAAAGTATCTAACCAATAGCTTCAATCTGGTTCGGTTAAACCACTCAATAACATTGGTTATTGGAAATCCTCTGATACGCTGTCGTATTATGTCAAAGATGGTTTCCTCTAACTTCGTCGTGTTGTTTGTTGAAAGGCTCCAATCTCACTGCTCCGCACAAAACCCCCCAAATGGGTTCTATGTACAGAGCGTCTAAAACCCTAAAATCATCGAGACGAGCATTCTCAGTCTTGTCCAACTCACTCAAATCCAATCGAAGAGATCCTCTATGTATTGGATTGTACCAAGCTTACGGTTTCAGCTCAGATTCTAGACATAGCTCAAAAGAACCCACCATTGATTTGACCCAGTTCCCTTCCGAAAAGATTCGAAATTTCTCCATCATTGCTCATATTGATCATGGGAAATCTACTTTGGCTGATCGTCTCATGGAACTTACTGGCACAATCAAGAAAGGCCATGGCCAGCCTCAGTATCTCGACAAATTGCAGGTAATTCTTCAAAGTTTGTGTTTTTAAGTTGTAGATTGAGATGAAATGTTCCATAATAATTCTCATTTGGAGGTTACATGTTTAGATTAAGTAGTAAGGACAATGAGAGTAGATTATCTCCAGTAAAGTTTTGATTTTTGAATCATGTTTTGGGTTTGTCTTAGGTAGAAAGGGAGAGAGGGATCACTGTGAAAGCTCAGACAGCGACGATGTTTTATGAAAACAAAGTAAAGGATCAAGAAGCTAGTGGGTTTCTTCTGAACTTAATTGATACACCAGGTCATGTTGATTTTAGCTATGAGGTTTCTAGATCTTTATCAGCTTGTCAAGGAGCTCTTTTGGTTGTTGATGCGGCTCAAGGTGTTCAAGCACAGACGGTGGCTAATTTTTATTTAGCTTTTGAATCTAACCTTACCATTGTACCTGTCATTAACAAGATTGATCAACCAACAGCTGATCCTGAGCGTGTCAAAGCTCAATTGAAATCGATGTTTGATCTTGATACAGATGATGTGCTTCTAGTGTCTGCTAAAACCGGTTTAGGTCTTGAGCATGTCCTTCCTGCGGTTATAGAACGGATTCCTCCTCCTCCTGGGATTAGTGATTCGCCTCTACGGATGCTTTTGTTCGATTCTTTTTTTAATGAGTATAAAGGTGTCATTTGCTATGTTTCTGTTGTTGATGGAATGCTGACTAAAGGGGATAAGGTTTCGTTTGCTGCATCGGGTCAGTCTTATGAAGTATTAGATGTCGGGATTATGCATCCTGAACTTACTTCGACAGGAATGCTTCTTACTGGACAAGTTGGTTATATAGTTACCGGCATGCGAACCACAAAAGAGGCACGTATTGGAGACACAATCTACAGAACAAAAACTACTGTTGAGCCTCTTCCAGGTATTATTATTTTCTTTTAGTCTCCTGTGCAACTCCTAAGAGCTTTTGTAATTAAGATTAGATCTCGTTTTGAGATCCTCGTTGGTAATGAATAACACCAATAAGCTGCTTAAAAATCCGGTTTCAAGCTCGCTGACTGGGAATTAATTCTTTGGAATATAGGTTTCAAGCCGGTGAGGCATATGGTGTTCTCAGGCGTGTATCCTGCTGATGGATCTGATTTTGAAGCACTTAGTCATGCCATAGAGAAATTGACATGCAATGATGCAAGTGTATCAGTTGCTAAGGAAACAAGTACAGCTCTTGGAATGGGATTTAGATGTGGTTTCCTCGGTTTGCTTCACATGGATGTATTTCATCAACGGCTTGAGCAAGAATACGGTACACAAGTAATCTCCACAATCCCTACTGTTCCTTACACGTTCGAATACTCAGATGGAACAAAGTTACAAGTTCAGAATCCAGCTGCCTTACCCTCAACCCCCAAATACCGAGTCACAGCTTCTTGGGAGCCAACGGTAATCGCCACAATCATCCTTCCAAGTGAGTACGTAGGAGCTGTTATCAACCTCTGCTCAGATCGAAGAGGTCAGCAACTAGAATATACGTTTATAGATGCACAACGGGTTTTCTTGAAGTACCAGTTACCCTTGAGGGAAATAGTTGTGGATTTCTACGATGAATTGAAAAGCATAACGTCAGGTTATGCATCTTTCGACTACGAGGATGCAGAGTACCAAGCATCTGATCTAGTGAAGGTCGATATTCTATTGAACGGGCAAGCAGTTGATGCATTAGCCACTATTGTTCACAAGCAGAAAGCATACCGTGTGGGTAAAGAACTAGTTGAGAAGCTTAAGAACTACATAGATAGGCAAATGTTCGAAGTCATGATACAAGCCGCTATTGGTTCAAAGATCATTGCAAGAGACACAATCTCAGCGATGAGAAAGAACGTGCTTGCAAAATGTTACGGAGGAGACATAACTCGAAAGAAGAAGCTTCTTGAGAAACAGAAAGAAGGAAAGAAACGTATGAAACGAGTTGGTTCTGTTGATATTCCACATGAAGCTTTCCAACAAATACTCAAAGTCTCATAGAAGTCTTCCAGAGAAGAAGACAAGGCTCAAGTAGTTTATGAAATCAAAAGATAATTTTCTGGAAAAATTATCATTCTTTTGTTTCTTTGCTGGAAATTACTGTTTGTAAAATTGTCAAGCCACAAGTTTTGACGTTCTCACGATTTATAAACGTTGAGAATATTTCTCAGCTTCTCATAATAAAGACATAACCCAAGAACTGCTGCAACAATGTCAAAAAATGGTGGGGGGTTTTGTAATTAAATTTCGAAGTAGTGGGATTCTTTTGTGAAGCGTGCAAAAACTAGTGGTCTTTTTGAAATTTAAAATTCTTAAGAAGTCGGGTGAAAAAATGGAGATGCGGGGTATCGATCCCCGTACCTCTCGCATGCTAAGCGAGCGCTCTACCATCTGAGCTACATCCCCTTTTGATTACTATTCAGAATCATTAATATTTATACTATTATTTCTAACATATGAGACAAGACATAAGACGACAACTACTAATGTTTGACCAAAACAGAGAGACTACAACATTCCGACAAAGCTGTACTTGTTCTTACCTAAATACTAGATTTGTCCTTTGTTGTGTGTGTACTTTCAAAAACCTCTTTTTTATATACAACCAAAACCCAACACAAATCAAGAAAAACACAAAAAAAAAAATGCATCTTTTTCTGGTTTGCTATGTTTCCATTTACATTCATTCTTTGATGGTTGGTCCACTATACATCATTGCTGTAACCGTCAAATCCTCTGGCTCCTCTTCCCTTTCCTTCAACCACTCATGACCTTCTTTCTCCTCTTCCGCAATCGCAACTCCATCCACTGAACATTCCCAAAAAACACACACAAAGATCTCAAAACTACTAGATAAGCGAGCAATGTATTATAGTTTTCGATATCTAAGTTCAGTTACCTAATTGGTCTAGTTCATTGTTATCGAATCTAGCACAAAGCATAAAGAAAAGGTTTCAAAAACGTTACCTGAGAAACTGGAGAATGGGAGATCGAAATAGTAAGTACAATGACGTCCTGCGGGATCAGAGTAAGGAGGACCAAGAACATCAAGAACCGCACAAGCTGTTTTCGCGGTGAAGCAATGCATATTGCCTCCATCCGCTGGATAGAGTATGGAAGTGTCACAAGGTGCTGTGAAATCCGAATCAACTTTCACTTTCGCCAAACGAGTATCCGAACTCGGCTCTGCATTGAACCAAAACAACAACAAACAATAATCAAAAACACGAATCCTTACCAAATACAATGTTATGGTTAATGTTTGTAATACACTTACGGGGACAATCAGCAACCCAATCATAGGACTTGATGTGCATTGTACCAAACAAGAGCTTACTAAACACAGTCATCTCCGGGTGATTGTGAAGAGGGATTACACCAGATGATGGTAAACAGAATATGCCAATCTTGTAACACACATACACAAAACAAATAAGCAAAACAAGAAACTTGAGAAACAAAAACTGATTCAAGATTTCTCAAAGATGTATATATACCGAGAAGCTATGACATGCATAAATGTGAAGATACGTCACTAACGGAGATCGACCAGTCAGTTTAGATCGAAAATACGGCATTTTAGGACTCACACCAACATCCTCAGGTTTGATTTCATCTGATCAGACACAAAAACAATGAACTCGTCAATAAAGTTTCAAACTTTATAACCCAAAACTCAAAAAACAGGATCATGGACATTACCCAAAACGCTTCGAAGCATCTCAATCTTGTCTAGAGACGGGACGGTTCCAGATTTAGCATTAGCGAAAACTTTCTTACAAGTATCGACCAGTTTCTGAACAGGAGAGATTAGGGTTGTCTTGCTCCGTCTTTGTATCTTCTTCTTACGTGAGTTAGAACGAGTCTCGGCACTAGTAGATTTCGTCACCACAGGAAGATTCACATTTGGATTCGTTCTTGAAAGATCTTTCCTTACTCGTCCAGACACAACTGTACCAGCTCCCATTAAGAAATAAAACCCTAGTTTTCTCCGACCAAACAGAAAATAAAAACAGAACCTTTCAATCTGGGTTATCGAACACTGTTGGATTTAGGTTCAGAACAGAGAGGAAAAGAACAGTTTTTGGGAGAAACGAGGAGAAGGTGAGAGAGTTGTAAAGAATAAGAAAGGGATTGGATAAAAGTGGATTGTTTTGAGGTAGAAGAAGATTATAGATAGATTGATTCCAAAGAGAAGAGAAACTAGGGGCCATGCTTTTTTTTTTTCTCAGTGAAGAGAATTTTTTTTTTTTTTTTTTTTTGTTCCTATGGGCGGGTTTGTTTCCAACGGCGGGTTTTTGTTTCTCACTAAACTAGGACTCTTTTTTTCCCTTTTTTTATTTTTTCTTTAACAATATAATTTTTTATTTTATTCATTCTTTGTAGAATTTTGTTGACAATGAAAATACAATGGGTTCAAATCTGTGTAAATGGTAAAAGCTAGCATGATAAATAAATTGTAATATATTAGCAAATTGTTAAATTATTCAGAGAAATTATGTAAGTTATTATGGTATTGAAATAATTAGGTAATTAACGTTTTTCTTAAGGATGAGAATATTTTAAAAGGTTTTTAAAAATATAGAAAACATGTAATTAACGTTTTTCTTAAGGATGAGAATATTTTAAAAGGTTTTTAAAAAATATAGAAAACATGTAAAATAAATAATAAAAATAATTTAGAAAATAAGAAAACTAAAACTTTTATTTGGAAATGAGTGTTTACAAATGAGAAAAATCAGATAAGAATGAGAGAAAATATAAAATAAAAAGCTTCTGCTATTATGTATGATTCGAAAAAGTAATGACGGATATTAAAAACGTATATATGTCCGCAGAGATTAAAAGAGAGATTGAGCAAAATAGGGAATTGTTGGGTAACTAACGTTTTTTTAGAAATGAGAAATTGAAAATATTTTTTAAACAAAAGACAAAAACAAATATAATAAATCACAATCTGGGAAAACATATAAAATAAATATACATAACACGAAATGGAAATCTAAAATTAGAATTTCAAGATGAGTGTCGACAAAAGAGAAACATCCGAGAAGAATGAGAGAACAAATAAAAAAAATATATCTTCTGCGAACGAAGGTAAGTTTGTCATTGAATTTCAAAAATACCCCTTTTCATATACCTCTTTTTAAAAATACACCCTTTTCAAACTTTATCAAAAAATCCACTAAAAATGTTGAAATTTATCCAAATATGTGTGTAAGCTTATAAATATATACACAAATTACTTTTATATGTGTCTAAAACTTTATACACCTTTCATATATAGCGTAAAAATAAATTATAAAAACCTTATAAAAACCGTATAAACCCTTTTAAAAACCTTATAAAACTTATAAAAACGATTTAAAACTATTTAAAACATTTTAAAATATTTGTATCGAATCTCCCAGTAGTAGTTATTATATATAAGTATCTTATAAACTATATAAAACTTTATAATTTTTTATATTTAAAAAGGGGTATTTTTGAAAATGGATAGATAAAGGGGGTATTTTTAAAAAGGGGTACACCAAAAGGGATATTTCTCAAAAATTCTCTTTATTTATTTCACAGTTACTTTACATATATTTTTATAACATACTAATAATATTCAAAAAATAATAGTTTGACATTATTCGATGTTACAAACAGAAATGATGATAACAAAAATAAAATTAATTATATTTACATTTTTACATTTAGAAAAACATATGTTCTACATACATAACATCAATTTTGTTTTTAATGATAACAAAACTACATAAACCATATTATATGGGAATCAAATTTTAGATCTAACATATAAACATTAAATATATCCCATTGTCAATCGTATTCACATTTTTTATTTATTATGTTTTCCAACATGAAATACATCCCAATGTCAATTACATATATAAACATTGTTTTTAGTGATAATAAAACTACATAAGCCAAGTATTTTGTAAATGTAAATGTATCATATACTTTTTTTCCTTTTAAGTTGATATTATTATAGTTATAGGTGGTATTATTTAAGAGAAAAGATTAATGGTAGACTGTAGACGTGCAAAAAAAATTGAAATATCTCTGGTCCAATAAATGACAAATGGATTTTTTTTTGTTTTTTGTAAACATAATGTTTTTTTCTATTTATGGTTTTAATTAGTGATGTTAGATGTGTGACAACCACAAAATGAAATCCCTTTTTATCCAATAATTAACAATTATTTAATATTTCTACATTAGATGTAGAGTTTGATTCTCATAACATTCGATTTATGCAGACTAATGAGGGTTAGTAACATTTCTAGCGTAGCAAATGTAGAAAAGTTTACTGTAATTTTGTATGTAGAAGGTATAATTTGTTAATGGTTAATGTATATAATTTGTTAATGGTTAATGTATCTTAGATTAGATTATTTGGTTGTACATACACCATATGAACTGTTGATTTTTCAATGTTTAGAAAGAGGTAATTTCGCTCATCTTAATAAATTAAAAATATATGAAAAATCATAAATAGTGTAAAAATATATGAAAAAATGATTTTGAAAATTTGCTCGAAACAAATAATTGGAACATTTTCGGTTCGGTAACTAATCCCTGTCTTGTTCTTCATATATCCATAATGCTCAAAACATATTGCAAACTGTCAAACCCCCTCTAAGATATATATATGTAGCTGAAAGAGAAAGAGTAAGTGTATTAGTGGTTCTCACATTTGTTTGCATTCTCACTAGATACGGGTTCGAGTCCGGTCTCTATCGAAGAGAGATTTATAATTTGTAATGATGTCAAAAAAAAAAAATAAATATATATATATATATATATATATATAGCTGAAAGTATTAAATTTGTAGTGGTTTAAAGTTTTTTCACACATTTAAGAAAAAGTTTAATTTTTCTGTTCTACTTCTATCCCTAATTAATATTGTTCTATGATGTTAAAGGTTGTACGAAATTATTATTGTTCTTTTTATAAATTAAAGTATCATTTATTATCTGTTTAAAACAATTTAATCAATATATAATCAACGAGCCAAACTCTAAATGAACCCATTAAGTTGAGAACCTATGTAACGATTTATTATTGTTAACCTACTAAACGTTATGAATGAAAACTCTTAACTAAGTTCCATGAAGCTGTCCTTAGCTATAAATAGCTTATAAGAGTTTAAGAACAAAACGCACTTCCTTTGTATTTCTCTTTTTAGTGTTTGTTTTCTTAACATTAACCTTTGTTATAAGCAATACAACCATGGCAAGGATCTCTCTATTGTTCTTTTTGTCCTTTGTTCTAGCCCTCGGCTCGTTGTCCCTATCCGTTTCCGGAGGTAGAACTCATGGAAGAGAACTCTTTGACTTTCCCGCTGATGCTCCTGCTTTGTCCAAAGAGGAACTGGCTATTATTGACGATTATTTAGGCCGACTAAAAAATAGTAACGGGAAAGGACCATACAACAATGTAGATCCGTTAAATGGTGTAGCCGAAGGGTCATCACTTGAAGACTTTATTAAACTTGGACTTACAGGTCAAGGTCAATACGATGCCGCCGGGACTGCCAAAGCTGGCGGAGGAGACGGATTCAGGTCATTGAGCCCGGGACATTATAGAGGTTTTAATCCGGTGATAGGGGAATAATTTTTGTATGCATATTTCACAAGAACAGAAGAAGGAAACCATGAGTTCATCTAAATTAAAAATTATTTGCTTTTTTATAACAATAAGAAGGAAGAGAAATGCCTTGCGATATTTATCTAATTTGTAACCATATAAAATGTACTAATATGCAATAATTTTTAACTAATAACGTTCTTATATCGCATGTTTTAACAAATGGCATGGCAAAGTGATACAATATAATGTAACTAGTTGAACTTTGCAAATTCAGCATAGTGTTTAAATAACATATCCACGAAGACAAATTCCACGATACACTCCCATCAATAATTAATTTTGTCCACCCTCCACTGGGTGGTATCCACGCAATTAACCTTTCTTCTCTATCGACCCCATTAGACCAGCTCCCACATTGCATATGTACACTCATCTCCTTAGTTTTTTTTTTCACTGAAATGATAATATTGATAACGGAAGTTTCAAAAAAGTTAAAAATTACAAGAAAAAGACGAGAATGAAATTACAGAGACACAATGATCTTTCCATAACCTACAACAAAAAGAGAAAATAATTTTTCGAATACATTGCTTAAACCAAAAACATCTTGTCTCGAGACGATAAAATCTCTCAAAATACCATAAAGACTTCCCGTAAAACAAATTTGAGAACGGGTTTCAACACAAATGGCCAAAACAAGAAAATGGAATTTGGCTTTCTATGCCGAAGATGCATCTTTTTCTACGAATGCTTTGTCACCTCCTTAGTTATAGATGATATTATTATTCGAGAGTAAACATTAATGGTAAACCTTAGACGTGCAAAAGAAATTGACATATCTTTGGTCCAAAAAATGACAAATGGTTTATTTTTGTTAACAATAATGTTTGTTTTCTATTATGGTTTTAATCAATGATGATAGATGTGACAACAAAAAATGAAATTCCTTTGATCCAATAATTAACAATTATGTTTAGTATTTCTACATTAGTTATAGAGTTTGATCCTCATAGAATTCGATTTATACAGACATACTGTGGACAGTCCCCTAGATATACGTACGTAGCTGAAAGAATTTATCATTGTGGCAGCCTCTCCAACTATTTTAATCTCATGAACTTTTGCGTTATTCAAACCACTGACCAAATTTGGCTGACTATTTTACCAATTCTATTCAATAGTCAAAGATTGTGTCTTCCTTTTTGAACAGTGGTTTCATCTAAATAAAAACCAACCCACTATATTTTGTATTATTTAGTTTTCTTGGATCAATGATTTCGATTTAATTGTCACGTTATATTGTATAGCCATACCATTTCTTAAAACATGCGATGATATTATAAGAAAAATATCAGTTAAAAATGTTTGCAACATTTTATATCGTTACATAATAGATAAATATCGCAAGGCATTTCCCTTCCTTCGTATAGTTAAAATTAAAAAAAAAAACATAATTTTTAATAAAGATGAACTCATGGTTGTTTCCTTCTTCTGTTGTTGTGAAATATGCATTAAAGATTAAGCCTCTGTACTCGGAATAAAACCTCTATAATGTGCCGGGCTCAGTGACCTGAATCCGTCTCCTCCGCCAGCTTTAGCCTTCCCGGCTGCATCATACTGACCTTGACCTGTAAGTCCAAGTTTAATAAAGTCTGCAAGTGATGACCCTTCGGCTACACCATCTAACCGATCTACACTGTTGTATGGTCCTTTCCCGTTGCTGTTTTTTATTCGGCCCAAATAATCGTCAATAATAGCTAGTTCCTCTTTGGACATAGCAGGAGCATCGGCGGGTATGTCAAAGAGTTCTCTTCTGTGAGTTTGATCACCTCCAAGAAAACCATTAAAGAAGTTAGATACTTTCTCGTAAATGGATTCAAATCCTTTAACGTCAGCACCAACGTAAGAATTGGTCTTGTACTCAGCTTCAGTTAGCTCTCTTCCATGAGTACTTTTACCTCCGAGATAATCACCAAACTGTTTGAAAAAACTTTTGAAAACACTGCTTACTCTACCATCGTGTTCTTCTTCTTTGAGCGCTCTTGCGTAATGACCTAGTTTCTTGGTCTTGCTCTTCTCAAGATCGCAGACCACGTTCATGAAAGTGTTGATCGAATTCTTGAAGTTTATCATAGCTTTGTTGAGCTTTTTCGATTCTTGAGCGGTGATCTTTGCCTCGGCTTTGAATTCATGTTTGGCTGATATATCTACAATCGTTTCTTTAATCTGAAAGAACCCTTTTGTGAAATCAGCGTAGCTTTTCTTTAGCTTCAAGGAAGTTTTCTTGTTGACTTTACCGCTAACGCTAGCTTGTGCAGCAAGAATCGCTTTGGTCATTAGGGCGTATCTGGTCTTAGCAATTCCTAAAACATCTACAATGGGATTCTCAAACTTGTAGAGGCTCTCAAGGTAAGCCACGTAGCCTTTGCACATTGTGAACATGGCCTTGAACTCAGCGGTTTTCGGGGCAGACCGTGCTTTGCGGTTTAGGATCTCAGTGATTTGGGTAAAAGGTAAGGTCTGGAGTTCAGACACAGTTTTTGGACATGGCTGTTTTCTCGGTGACAACGGGAGGGCATGACCGGAAACGGAAAAGGACAAGGAGCCAAGGGCTAGAACAAAGGCTAAAAAGAACAACAGAGAGATCCTTGCCATGGTTGTATTGCTTATGACAAGGCTAATGTTAAGAAAACAAACCCTAAAAGGGAATACGAAGGAAGTGAGTTTGATGTGACATATAGGAATGGTATATATACTTTGTTCTTATTTTCTCATAAGCTATTTATAGCTTAGGACAGCGAGACATTCATGGAACTCTGTTAATATTGTTTCTGTATTTACGAGTTTTCAGTTTCAAACAAAACGTTTGGTAGGTTAACATTTAACAATAATAAATCGTTACATATGGTTCGACACCGAGATTGGCTTAGTGTACAGACTACAGACTACATAGTGTAAACGGAGATTATATGATCTCTATTGATTAAATTGTTTTAATCAGATAATAAATATAATTATGATATTGATTAAATTGTTTTAAGCATCCTTTAACACCAATGAAAACATACAAGTACTAGGGAATATACTTATACTTCCTTTAACACCAATGTTTTTAGTACCCTTATTTCTTTTTTCACGTTCTCATAATTTGTGTGCCAATATTTTGCAAAAAGAGTCGAACACGACATACTATATTTTTCTCAGTATTTTCCTCTAAACTTAAATTAATGAATTATCTTTGTATATATATAGCATTTTTATTTTAACCCAAGTGAATTTTGTACATTATAGAAACATAACAACAATAGAGGTTGTGGGATTTAGTGCATCTAATCCAAAATCATTTAAAAGAGGAGAACCATTAGATTTTTTACTATTATTGTTCACCTTCAATTTAATTTATCCACCAAGTTCTCTGAATTAAATCCCTTATTTCCATGATTCTAAAGATAGAGTACTCATTCATACATATCTCTATATATGAGACTTTAGAGTCTCTAAAACTTAAAAACAAAATTCTCAATCTACGTTTCTCTCATACAATGCCAAAATTTCAACTCTTGTTATGTTTCACCATCCTCGCTGTAACCATAACGTTCTTCAATGTAGCTTCAGCTCACGTGACAATTAAACCTGTTTTACCGCAGATTCAAGATCCAACGACTGTGAAAGATGTCGAGCCTTATACCATTAAAGTTGTGACAAATTTCTTGGTAGACCTCGAGAAGGAATGTCCTAAAACAGAGAAGTTTAAGGTCTTTTTCGAAACCTTTAAGGCGTATTCCAAATATGTGTGCCCGGTCTCTAAAGCGCGAGGCTACGAATCTGATATGAAGGCCAAAGCTAGTAGCCTTTTTAAGGCAATGTCAGCTCTCAATTCCGTTGAAAATAGATCTAGAGGAGGACAAGTAAGTAACACAATTTTGAAGTATGTTACTATACAAGAAATTAAACTATATGTATATATAAGAATCAGGCTACTTGATATACTATTGGTTAATTTTTCTTAACACCAATATGATTTTGGAAAAACAAAATTTGGTTCTAAGTTAATGTACAAATCATCAATTGGCTTAATAGATGTTGGTGTTTCCTTCTATCGATTTAGGTTAATATGAGTCTAGACCGGGAAAAAGTGGAAGTCATGAAAACTGTTAAACTACTACAATCCATCGGTGAGAAGATTGCGAGTGGGAGGAATAACAAACTAACAGTCGAACAACAGAAAGAAATCAAAGATGGGATCTTAAAATGGATTCAAGTAGTTACTCGAATCGCAAAGATAGGCGAAGAAATCGACTCGAAAGATTCATCAAAACCTCAAACAAGTCAAGATGGGAGCAATGAAGAGAAATCTTCAACACAAACACAAACCAAAAGAAGAAGTCTAAGAGCAAGGGCTCAAATCACAGCGTTACCGAGAGGTAGCCGCCGGACTAAGGTAGGAAACAAGGATGATACCTTAAGAAGAAGAAAATCAAAGAGGCACACAAATATCAAGAGTAGCAAAAACAATACCTAAAGAAGTGGAGGCTAACTACATGTTGTAACTATAACGAGTTTTTTTTTTTAGTTTTTACGATACAATTTTGATAGGAATGGTGTGAATCTAAACAAAGCATCAAGTCTCTTTTTTTATTCTTTCACTAGTGATGGACCCGCACGTACGTGCGGAGTTATTTTTACAAAATTACGATTTTTTAAGTAGATGTTATTTCGCTAAAATTTTGTTATATGAGTTTATTTGATAAACTATATATAGACATACAGTTGTAAAATATAGATATTTTATTACATGATAAAATTTTAAAATTACAATTTTAACATTTTTTAAATGAAAATGATAAGTGATATTACGTGTTTATTTTTTAAACTAATCAAAACATTTCTAACTGTTTGCTTAGAGATGTTCAATCGGATTTGGGTTTGGCTTTAGTTTGAATTGTTTTATGTGTAGTTTAGAATGGAAACCCGTCTTGTTTCTTTCCGTCTCGTCCTGACCCGTCCCGTCCCTTCCCGTCTTCTATCTATCATAAAATTTCTGTTCCATAATCGTTTCTTTTTAAAACATAATCATTTGCCAATGTTTATTATAAGAAACTTGGCAAAAGATTTAGACGGGATACTCTTATTCCTCGTTTAAATATTTATTTTTATCAAACTAATAAAAATCTAATTATCAATCTAAGTCACATGCTCCCACCATTTTCATTCACAATGCACTGTCTGTAATCATAGCATAGACAATCCTTGTTCGATTTTTAATTTTATTGATCATTCAGTTTCATCTTTATTTCTCGTTACTTTCTTCAATTCAAAGATTCACGTTTTAGCCTTTTTGTTTTCTAAAGATTTAGGTATTTCTATTTTTCTAATACATGGATTTATCGTAGTTTTGTTATCCGAAATATACGTTATCTTCTTGTACCTGTCATTTCATGTCTAAATATTTGAAATAAATAAGAAAGTGGAAATTAAATTTAGCAATTTAAATTACATGTCCTCGTATCTTACTCGTAGTTTTATATTTGAAAGTTGAAAGTGAATTTAACTTTATGACCGTGTCTCATAACAATTATATCTAATCATGTTTTTTTTTTATGTGAAATAATTCAGATATTGTTTGTTTCGAATTATATGTTCCCGTCTCGTATCCATTCCTATAAGTTTATATATTTTTTTAATAAATAACACCATTTATATGTAACTAAATATAATTTTAATATATGTAAAATTTCATATAATTGTCCAAAAGTAGAGATTTATACGTCCCAAAGTTGAATTTTGTTCAATATTTTGAGATTTTAAGAATTAAATATAACTACCAATTTTTTTTATTTCAACCGGTTATCCAAAACTTATATATCATATTTGTCAAGGATAGTTTAAAATTTTACGTATATGTGAGATAATGTTTGTAGATGTTTATTTATTATATCATTTATATCATACTAATTTGACATTTTATTTGTTTTCAATTAGATTGAATCATTAAAAATATAATCCATTTATTATTTAAAAATTGCTAATAAGTCGTTAAATTCATTTAAATGTGATATATCCACTTGTTATTTAGTTTTAATCTTAATAGAAATTATATATGTTTATAATCTCAAAATGTAGTTTATGATTTGATAAAACAATTATTTAATATTTGATAATAGTAATGATATGCAAATTGCCAATGTACGAAGGTTTATTTTGTTAAGATTGTGTGAAATTAATAAGAAAAAAGAAGTTTAGAATAATCATTAACTAACGGTTTGACCAAATAAAAATCATTAACTAATTGAATTAATGATAAATTTTGTAGATATCATTTGTGCTATAATTGCTAGATTGATATTTGAATATGAATATTTTTTATGTGAAAATAAGAAATTTATGTGATATAGAATGTTTATTCGCATGATTTTAGCAAACAAATATTTAATTATTGATTTAGTTAAATTTTATTTATATTTAAAAATTATATAATTTTTAAAAATTTTATGATATGATCAGTTATGTATATATACTATGTAGAATTTGATTAGTTGATTATTTCATATGCTAACATATTTTTTTATCTTTTTTTATTTTTCTAAAAAAAGTTATCTTTGTTATTTTAGATATGATGATTTTGTTTTATTAGATTTCATTCTATATAAATTATTAATTTCGAAATTATATTAACATATTAAATTAATAATAAATATGTTTATGTATATTCAAAATATATTTGTTTACATATATTTAGTTTTGAATTTAATTGTCCACTTTTTATGTTAAAAGATTATTATGATTTCCATAAATATAGATTGTTTTTGTTTTTGTTTTGTTTTTTTTTTTTGCTGTCATTAGTTTTATCTTCATGAAATGTTTTTTTAAAATTAGGGGGTGTTTGGCTTTAAGTTGTCCTTCCCAATTAATAGTATAGATTTGTAAACATGTACAAAAAGTATTAAAAATTAAACTCACAAATATAATTTTGGTTTTATTCGTATGTAATCATGTTTTTTGGCTGGCATATAACATCATGAATATCCAAAACGAGCGATTCAAGAGATATATAATAAAGTCTACCATTATTATTTGTTTGTTTACCGATGGAATATAATGAAGAAGAAGATGCTTATTAACTTCATGTGTGCATGACCAATTAATTATTAGATGTTTGGCAAAGTTCCTATGACTTTATTGTTGACAAATTTTGCCAATTTCTCTTCTTTGAAAAAGACAACTTATGCGATAGTATATAATGATGTTATTATATAGACATATATATATATAAAAGATCATTTAAGTATATGCTAGCTGAACATTTATAATGACTAAAATAATAATGTTATTCCAAAAATTTATCCATATTTGATTTTTTTTTTGAAAAATGATTTAACCATATTTGATTAGACGATATTTTTATGACATGATCATCGTATGATATATGTTTAAAATATTTTAGAAATCATTTTCAGAAGAAAAAAAATTCAATGTCAAAACATTAATTGTATCATATAAATTGAATTTGATGTGTTTGATTAGTGATTGACATATATCATACTTACCGAATTTATAACAAGTACATATCAATCTTAGTTTAGATTTAATGTGGTAGATTAAAAAAATATATTTACAAATTTTGAAAATGTATTATATATATATATATATATATATATATTTTGAGTATAAAAATGAAATATTAATATAACGTTCTTACCATTTAATTTCTATTTTGAAATATACATTTCGATTGGCCCGAGAAAAAAATCTTTATTTCGCGACACCAATTTTTATTCGTATATTCTATTTGCTAAACCATAAATTAAGCTCCTATAAGATGTAAACTGGTGTGGATCAAACTTTTCAAATCAAAAGTGTGAAAACGTATTAGCTTAATTGGACGGAGACGAAGCAACCACCATTAGTTTTGATTTCTCACCATTAAGCATTGTTTTATTATGTAGCGCATATATTAATTTATCAGATCACTTCTTGACATGACTGGTTTATTAATATAAACAAACATTAAATTTTAATTTCTTGTATGATGTGCGTGTGCATGTATTTTGGTTTTAAGCATATATAGGAAAAACAATAATTGTTGTGACAAATCCACTTTCTGAATAGTTTAAATATTACATTTTCATTAGGCATTGTATTCATTGAGAAAATTAAAAGATTTACTTATTAATTGCAATTTTTAATTAAAAAAACTAAAGCTAAACATATATAGAGGAAAAATAAATCTTTATTTAAATTCTAATTTCACAAGGATTTATGTAAATAATTTAAAATATATATTAGATTAATATTGTTTTCCTAAGTTATTGCCAGACAAAACACATAAATTTTCCAGCCAACGCCAAGTGTTAATTATTAATGTACTAATCAAAATGAGATTTTCATTAACGAGAAAACGTTAAGTATTTAAAATTCAAAAATCATAACGGTAAAAAAAAAACACAAAATTCAAAGAAGTCTTTTTTCCATTATGCAAAATTGCAAACAAAAATATTTCCTAAAATTAAGAAAATTAAGAAGAAGAAAAAAAATATCTTTAATTGATCTTGTGAGGAGCGTAGATCACGCGACTTAGAAAATGACACATCGTCAAGCAGAAGTCAAATTTTGTTTTTGTTTTTTTTCCTTTTTTAATATACAAAAATATTTACAATTTAAAAATAATAATTACTAAATTCTCTTTATTGCACAATTTTTTCCTCTAGTCTCTGTACAACTTTTAAGAAAAGAAGAAGAGTGGGTCATGACAACGAAGAAGATGATGATCATCATGGTGAATTGTTGATTACCACCTTTAGATCACATTGCTCCGATCTGATTTGATCTATTCCTCAGAAATCATTTGTTCAAAAGCTTAAAAAGTTTCCTCTTTTACGATCTGTTTCATATAGATTCAAAGAAACTCTATTACTCTGTTTCGTAGATTCAAAGAAAAAGCTCTGTTTTCTCTGTTGTTCTGTTTCATAGATTCGAAGATAAAAAGCTTTGATTTTTCTGTTCTTGTTAATGACAGCTATTATAATTCTTACAAATCTCATCGAGTTTAGCGAACCCTTTTTGTCTGAAATCTCGAAACTTTTCTCTGTTTTTCGATTTGATTTGATTTGATTTGATAATGGGTTGTGCGAGCTCGAAGCATCGTTGCCGTAATTGCAGAAGAGAATTATCTCCGGTGATTGTACCTCGAAGCTATTCAATGCACGTTCATCATCCAGCACAACACATCGGCGATAGCTATCACACGGTGGCTCTCACTTCTTCCACCATTGGATCTCTTACTCTTTGCGATTCGTCTTTCAGGCAATTTCACAAACACTTGGAAGACTCTAGTTATAAGAAACGTGTTTCCGAAGAAACTGGTGAGGAGAAAAAGATGAGTTCGGATTTGCAAGATAAGGTTATTGAAGCTAAGGCTTGGTCAAGTATGATGAACGAGAGAATCCCAAAGATTGTGCCGAGAACTCCTATTGCGACGCCTCAGGGAGAGCCAGAGACGATCAATACATGGGAATTGATGGAAGGTCTTGAAGATGTTAGTCCTTTACGATCACCAAATCACTTGAGAAGCTTCTCCTTTGATGTTGTTCGTATCCAACCTAGTCATGATGATGATGATGATGATGTTGCGTTTGATCGTCCCAAATCAAGGTTTCACAATAGCAGAGTTGATGATTTGGAGATAGTTTCAACTTTCAGGAAATCGCTTCAAGAACTACCAACTGAGCAACCTTTTCATATCCGGATACCCGAGATGAAGACAAATCCGCAATTCGGGTCATCAGACGAAGAAGAAGAAGAAGAAGGAAACTGCAAAAGAAAGACTTTAGGTAAAGAAAAGGTTATATTTTACTTCACAAGCCTTAGAGCTATAAGGAAGACATATGAGGACTGCTGTGATGTAGGGATCATACTAAAAAGCTTAGGAATTAGGATCGATGAGCGCGATGTATCTATGCATTCGGGTTTTAAAGATGAGCTGAAGAAGAGATTGGATGATAAATTAGACAATGAAGTTGGAATAACCTTGCCTAGAGTTTTCTTGGGGGACAAGTATCTTGGCGGAGTAGAGGAGATTAAGAAGTTGAATGAAAATGGAACACTTGAAAAGCTTATAAAAGGCTGCGAAAGAGTCGAAGATAGCTTAACAGGGTTTGGTATTGAATGTGAGGCTTGTGGAGATGTTCGGTTTGTGCCGTGTGAGACATGTTCAGGCAGCTGCAAAGTTTACTATGAAGGTGGAGAAGAAGAAGAAGAAGAAGTAACAGAGTATGGATTTCAAAGATGTCCATATTGTAATGAGAATGGATTGATAAGATGTCCTGTGTGTTGTGACTTGTGACTGTGAATGAGCCAATATACAAAACTCAATTTCACTTTTTTTTTGGGGTTACTAATTTTTCATTTTGTAGCTTTGAGTAGGTTTATAATAGATTGTTAGTTTGTATAATGGGGGTTCTGATTGATATGGAATGCTACTAAGTAAGGTCAAAACAAAATTTATGTAATTTTGATAAAATTTGAGGTTGGGATGTTGTTTGTAACTCAACCTTATACATCAAAAAAATTTAAATACTTCATGATTGATAACCAGTTTACTATTCAATTAGCTAGAATACAATATGCAGAAAAAAAAATATAGAGTTTCTCAATGTGCTTAAGATTTACAATTTTTTTTCTTCTTATAAACAAATGTATACTTTTGTATAAATCTAAAAGTTCTCTCTATATAATTTTGGGCCAGTTGATGAGATGGTCTTTTTTTTTAAACGCTGTTTTTTAGATTTGACTTAATTATTTCATTTTCAATATATAATTTTGATTTAATCTCTATTTTGAGGGTTCTATTTGCTACCTCTAAATAAAATGATTATTATATCATTTTTGGCTCACAATATCTTAGGTTTACCATTTTTTGTTACTAGAAAAAACTAAACATATTAGAAAATCCGTATATATTTTTAAAAGATGTAGCAGAAAAAGCTCAAACTATTTTTTTCCATAAAATACATATTTACTGCCAAACACTTTACTCTTAGAAAAATGAAAAAGAAAAAACCAAACATATGTGTAACCTGATGTTTTTAAGTATTGAAAAATAGCAAATCCACCAAATTCTTGCCAAATAGCAAAATCTACAAATATCACTAAGAAAAATATGGCCATTTCTAAAAATTGATATAAAAAGAAATTTGTCAAATAACTTTTTATTAATTCCTTACAAAAGTATTAAAAGTTCACAACTAACAATTTTTCTTGTCCTTGACTGACACAATCGAGTTCAGACATCACAATCTCTGATTTTTATGTTTTTTCTTTGTTAGGGAGAAAAAAAGAAGTAAAAAAAGATTCTTCTACACCAAAGTTCATCCCACTGGTTTATTATAATAATGCACCTGCTAAGGCAACGCTCATGCAGTTCTGCTACGCACATATATATGTCGGAGACTTTTGAGTTTTGACTATGGAATTAGCCCGACAAAATTCATATATATGATTAAAGATCAAGCTAGCCCATCTCTTTGATGCTTATATATACAATAAGAAGATTAGGCTGGAAATTAAAAAAGAGATAAGATCATTATTATATATAGAGTGATCATTAAAGATTACATGAGTAGGGCTTAGCTTGTCAAAAAACCAAAAAACAATAACAAAAAAAAAGTTACATGAAGAGGCTTCTAATAACGGCGGCTTCAGGGCTATCTTCATCGACAGATTCAAGAAGCTGAGACAAACGTTCACTGAGGTTGTCAACTTCTCTGTTCAAGTTTCTTATGTAGTTGCATGTCTCTTGCAACACTTTCGAGGCTGATACCTTCACCAACATTACAAATCAAATAAATAAGCTTTTTTTTTAAAAACCCAATAATATGCGTATTTAGATGCATGCAAGCTGATGAATTGGTATAATGTATGATACCTTATCTGAACGACGTCGTTGACCAATCTCAGGCAATATCTGCCTGAGCTTAGTAACTAGGTCGATCATTTGATCATCGGAGATCCTTGGAGCAGTACTTGAAGATTGTCTTGATGATCTTCTGTTTGACATCTCTTCAGCAATGTGGCAAGAGAACGACCCTAGTTAAGTTGTTGTGTAGTACTGCTTCTTCTTCTTCTCTTATATATTGCTCTCCCTCTCCCACACTACTATATATGTGGCAAGTAGGAGTTAGTAAGCTTTTATTATGATTTGATAAGGTTTCTTTAAGTTGACAAGAAACGACCAAGAAGAAAGAAATATGTAGAGAGATAATGAGAAAAGTGTAGTGGTGTTTCGAATACACTTTGAATTATAAAGAAGTTGAGAATGTGATAAGAGAGATTTAATAAATAGACCAAAAGGACCACAAAAGAGAGAGAGACGAAGAGCAATAAACCTCGACAATGATGTCACGGGAGAAGAAAGCGATAGGTTTGAATGCTCTTTTAACCACAAAAAAAAACTTCGAAATCAATATGTTTTTTTTCTTTCTATCTTCTAACTACATATATATTTCTTTAAGTCGAGACTAGTTATTTCACAAACGTTTTCAATCATTGGTTAGTTATAGTGTATATTTCAAATGACAAATATATATAGTTCTTACACATGTTTCAGGGATAGTTAAACCCTTAATCAAAAGAAAAAGAAATTCAAGATTAGTTTGCACTTTGATCCATAATCTCTCAACTATCCCAAAATAGGGAAAATAAAATAAGACTAAACTTATTCACAACATGCATCCTCATTTTAATCAATAAAACTAATTAACCATCACTTCGATTACTTTATATACCACTTACTTTTATCATAACAGCTACTTCAATAATAAAAAAGAAATAATAATTTTATATCGAAAAGTTACATTTTTATCATTTTTAAATTTCATATTCTACGGTTTCCGCTCACTTGAGTAATGGTTGAAGCAAAAAAAAATCAGAAAGTAACAACAAACTTTGATATTGTCATTAACCATAGCAAAAGAATGTATAGTTTGGACTACATATTGCTGCATAAATTATCATTTAAACGATCAACTTCTCCCGTAATTATATTTATGCTACTATCACCAATATCATTCTTTTAACTAGTTCAGGACGAATTTGCAATCAGAAATTATATGTTACACTTCAAATGAAAAGAGAGAGAGAGAGAGTCAAATAGTATGTTCATCAGTCATATTTATATCATATAACTTACATGATTCATATACATAGGCACTACAAATATATACATATGCTTAATCATTGAGAAATTCACAGTATACCTAATTTCATATACATAACGAATAAACAAATGGTACTAAAAAGGTTTGAATAAGTGGAGGAGATTTGAAATAATTAAATAGAAGAAACTAAGAGTTCCCAAAGATGGGGTTGATGAAGGTCAAGATAAGTGTTTCATGTTCATCTAACATTGTGGCCCTTCATCTGCAATGTCACAAAAAGGCAACTACCATGTGATGACATGACTCTTTCTTCATTCATTAATTTTTTTTTGCAACATTAGGATTTCATATTATGGCCTAAATTAATCTCAGCCTCTATATATTTGCCAAATAAATCATACCAAATTTGTGCTCCACATTATCTTTTATATGTCTCCATTGGTATATTTTGTGATATAGAACATTTTAGTGATAGAATTAGAGATCCGTTGATTTTAAAATTATCCGAAAACTAGAGTTCAAATTTTTTTTCTCAAAACATATAAAAAAATCTTGAGTTTGTAAATACTCTTCACAATAGTTTACAGTGACTTATCAAAACTTATTTAAAAATTTCAGTTAACCAATTCGAGTATTTAAACTATTTTCTATTTAAACTGTCCATTAGTTCATGTACCCAAGAAATAGTAAATATAAGAAAAAATAACAACTTTTTATAAAACGTGAAAACCAATATCAACGCTTAATTTAACTTCGTCGGTCACTTTAACTTTCGACAAAAATATTCTGGTAATAATGAAACCATTTATTCAAAACTTCTTCGTACACTTACACTTCGACTAAAATTCTAAAACTATATAACTTATTTTAAAATATATCTTTTATTTTGAAGTGATTAAAATGCATGTCTCATTGTTCATAATTCATATAACTTATTTTTAAGAGATTAATTGGTTCCTCATTGGTTGAGTATTATTCTCAAAAACATGGACTACGTCACGTGTCAACACCATGTCTCGTGCTACGTACATGCTGCCCTCGGGTCCATAAGATCAAAATTTTAGATATCTTGTTGTCCAATAACATTATCAATAAAGATCCGACAAGTATATATGTATCAGTCGAAAAAATAATAAGTATCTCTATGTGAACGTATTGTTGTATATATAAATTTATATTAGTATAAAATTTATATATAATCCGAAATCTCTCATTATCCCTCCCCAAAAATGTTTTATTTGTGTGGTAATTTATCACTACAATGCTAATAGTAATCAAGTGAAAAGTATGGTAAAAACTTGCAAACAAAACGTGTCTGTTATATAGCTAAACATTTACTTTAATCGACATCATCCGACAAGAGATTCACACTGATAATTACATAGTCATTGTGATTGATATGTGGATCAGACAAAAACCATAAGTATATCATTCTATGATCTATCCACCACAAAATATTTAACGCAAACATTAATTATTTTTTACGCATTTTCTTAATAAATAATGCATGCTCGTATATACTTTTTACGGTTTTGTGCAAAAAGCCATCCAAATCTCTATTTTTTTTGTAATTTTATTCTTCAATTTTCCAATCTAACCCATCTTTGTCATCGTCAAAATTGTATAGTATTGATAAATAGTATGTTAAATCGAATTGCTGATGGGGAGACCAAAACTACATTTTAAATATTAAAAATCTAATTTATGTGACTTTATAAACGTTTAATATATATATATATATATATATATATATATATATATATAAATAAGTGTTTATTGCATATTATTTGATTTCGTGTGAGTAATATGCATTTTTGGATATGAAAAATAAAATATAAAAAAATTGCCACTCGAAATTTTATTTACACAAAACCCTACGTTTTATATCATTAATGCCCGTAATCGAAAACCCTACTTTTTTATATCAATAATGCACATAATCGGAGAAAGCATTAACTAGTTTTCTTATATAATGTGTGAATACAAGAATATAATAAAATATAAGTGTGTTGGTGTATGTGTGTTATTGTGTTTGTGGTTAATATGATGAAACAAAATACAAGATTAATAAAGAAAGTGACCATTCTAATATAATTGCAAAGGGGAGATTTAACATGTTAGTCCATGTGGGTTCGGGTACTAAATGTTTGGTCTCATAGGCTCCACGATGTTTTTGTGTCTTATCTTTTTTTCCAAGCAATTAATATTCACACCTTTACAAACATGTTGTAAAAACGACTAATCATGTAGAAATGAACGACTCGTTCTATAAGTAATTTATCTAAAATAAAATAAAATAAAAAATCACTTTGGACAAGAATAAGTTGAGAATACGATTTAATATGCATTAATGCAACCAATCATATCATTATCATCACGGTAAACAAAAATGACACTTAAAAATGGCATCTTCGATTCCGAAGATTTAAATTGTATTCAGTTTTTTTGCATAAATATTTGATCATCTCTATTAGAGTATTAGAGTTCCTTGTCCAAAAAACAAAAAAAAATTGAATAACATATAAGTGTTGTTGTAATCTTCCTTTTTCAAACTAGTTTTTCATATGTGAATTATGTCCACACTAATATGGTATAAGAGTCGATGTTAAAAAAAATCGAAAATGAGTTATCACCAATGAATATCCAATCTTACAAACTTCATGCTTGAGATGTCAATTCTTGACTCTTGAGCGTGAGAATGATAATACCATATTGGAAAAACCAAAAGAAAATAGGGCAATATATAAATGTTATGGCAACAAAGATTTCCATATATCTTATTTTGGAGGGCATTATTGGATCATTGATTTTGATGGATTTGGAAATCCAAACAAAAATCATATGTTGTTCAATCATTGATTTTAAAATAACTATCAAAGTTATACTTGCTTTATTTTTTTGGTGAGAGAGAGGGAGACAAAGCCTCCCTCATATTATTAAACTAAAAAAAATAAACTTACAACCGCATAAAACGTAAATGTTCAACCCCATTTGCATCCTCCAACAAAATGGAATGCACAACATCAGGGCAAAAATCAAGAGCAAGAAAACCTAAATCCAAAGAGAAAGCATAGTTAGCTAATCCGTCTGCGAGACGATTAGCTTCCCTATACACATGCGTAACTCGAACTATCCAGTCCCGTGAAATAAAGCCATGGCACAATCGTACCAGGAAAGACAGCGGATGATACTTGCTTTATGGATTTAACATATGAGTGACTATTAGAATTTATGAAATGTACAACTAAGAATTGTTTTGCCATCACATCCCAAGCAAAGCATAGACATATATTGTGTAGTGTAAATAGTAGACTTTTGTGGTGTTACTACGCGATAATTTATAAATATCGTTCTAACACTTTCCACACATGCTAAAAGAAACATATATTAAAATCTATTTCATATCTTTCAAATTTTGAATCGAAGTTTTGATATACATATATATTTAAAATTTTGAAGTTGAATGAAGTATTTTGATCCAAATTTTATATTATACTAGCAGTTGACCCGCGCTCCGCGCGGGAGGTTTATAATTTTGTTTTGTTGATTTTTTATTCATATTGTGATATTTTATTATTTTTTAATTGATTTTCAAAAAATGTTATAAGTATTTTCTCTTTAATTATTATCTTTCAATACTCAAATTTGGATTAAAAGCATTTGATTCAATTTATGAAATATCATTTTTTTCTTTTTGATCATGTTATAAACTAATATTTGACTTTCATATTATTTTTCCTCTTTATAATTTTTTATATACAATTACATAAATGCTGTTTTAGTCTACCATAAATTTAAATTTTACTTCCATTCTAAAACTCAGTAACATATTTAAAATATTAAATTATGATCAATTTAAAATGAAAGTTGAATTATATTATTACCACTAATAAAAAAATTAAAGTATTGTTTTTCTTATTTTAACATTTCATTTTTTTACATAATTTATTTTTATGTATAAAAACTTTATATTAATTAAATAAGTAACATAAATATGCAATAAATGAATGTTTTAAATTTATTTTAATGTTTAAACAAAAATGTGGCTTACGTGGATGCTTAGGTGGCATCATGAGAAGAGAGAAAAAGCTAACTTTATATATATACTAGTCGGTTGCCCGCGCTACGCGCGAGAGTTTATTATATTGTTTATGAGTAATTGGTTCGTATTTTATTTCCAACTTATTTTTTTCACTATACCATACTTTACTTTTTAAAACTTAAATTGTGTTTGTATAGAAAAACTATTGAGTTTTACCTTCATTAGTCGTTGAGAAATTAAGTATGTATAGTATAAGTCGAAGTGTGGGCGTCAATGGAAGTGCGGTTGAGAATCATTGAGAAACGTGTGCTATTAGGGTTTTTACCAAATATAGATCTAAATGCTAATATTTTGGGCCCTTTTATATGTTGGCATGAAATTTGAACATGATTTGTGGGTTTCGGGCGGATTGTTGTATTTTTAATTGTTTACATTATCTCTTTATATATTGTCATAATTTATTATTTTTTGTTTTGCGTTTTCCTTTTTTGGATTTGTCGTACTTTATATCTCGTAATGATCATTTATATACTATTATATATTTTTCTGATTTTCTGTTTTATATATTTTTTTGTTTCTTCATATGGAACAATTTTTAAATTTAACATATTAGTATAATTTACTTTATATTTAGTTTATTTCATTTAATAATGTTTTATTTTAATTTTCAATTTTATGAAATATAGTTATTTTTTTATTTTGTTTATTAGTTTAACATATGTGTTGTATTGGAAACAAATAGTTAAATTCATATTGGAAACTTTTAAGGAAATATTATTTTTATTTTTACCGTTTTATATGTTTATTAAAAATAAGAATTCATGTTTCGGTCCGACCTATCTCACTTATGTTAGAAAAATTTTTGAGACATAAATTAGATAGATTTATATTCTCAAAATTTCTTACTTTTTGTTTTATTCCCGTTAAATCCCATTATATTTAGGTTTACATTGTGTAAATATAATCAGATATATTTTAAACATTCACTAAAAACTATAATCTATTACTTATATATTTGTTAGTATAATCGATAATTAGTAAGTTTTTTAAACTCTTAATCAATTATCTTTTTTAGTTTTATAATGTATAATATAAAAAGACCTTTCATATTCATTTTGAAAAAACTTATTTACATAGGTTTAAATATTAAAATTAAATGATAAAATGGTATAATTAATTTTAAAAATTAAATAATAAAATGAGGTGGATGATGATGTGGCTTAAGGAGAAGAGAGAAAAAGTTAACTTTATATATATAGATAATCTATAAAACAAAAAAAATCTTATGATATCAAAAATTTTATATCATGATCCAAATTTCACTGGTTTATATATATTCGAGTAGGGTATCAAATTTTAATAATAAGGAAGACGTAACACAACACACTATGGTCCAGGTCGAGACCAACATACATACATGGTCCCCTTTAACCCAATTATCTCTCATAATGACACAATCATGCTTCTTGCATATAGGCTTCTTCTTGAGTTCTACAAAACAACGAGAACCTCATCTACAGCAAAAAAAAAGCTTCAATCTCATTATGTAAATAACTACACCTATTCATTATATTGTTTCAGTTGTTGTTACCTAAGATCAGAAGTTACATCACTTCAGAATTGTTCGACCACATATACAAATGTGGTGGACAAAATTACGTATGCTATGTATGATGTATATACAAGTTTATATATTGAATCATATAGGTAAGAACATTATACTATATCTCTTATTTGAAATTATTTTATATTTTTTTATATTTTTTTATAAAGGATAATTTCTTTATTTTCCTATACCTATGTCATTTTCGCATACTGGTCCTTTATTTATTTAGCTCTAGATTGCATTTTTCTTGTTTCATTTTTTTCGAATTAATATATTGGATTAAGCTTTTTGCTTGTAAGCAAATTAGACACCGGACATAACATTGATCACTACTATCTTATAAGAAGCAAGATCCGAAAGTGACATGGTTTCAAGGTCCACTACATAAAAAAACCAACATGCATCACCAAACCAACACACTTAACTTCTTCTACTAATTAAGAAACTAACGAACCAAAGATCTCATAAACAGAGGTAACGATAACTAAAACCATTTTGGTATATGTTTAGATAGTGTATTTATCTTAAGGGTTTTAGAGGGTTTTGATACTTTTCACTCTTCATCATCCTCATCTCCATCACCACCACCAGAAGCTTTCTTAGCTCCAGCTTTCTCATTCCTTCTCTTCACTCTTCCTGGTCGTCCACCACCGAATGGACTAGTCAGAGAAAAGTCTATGTGCTTTTGCGACTCTACTCTCACCATGAACGATGGAATGTTCACAAGTTGCCTCCCAATCCTAAACCAAATCCAACAAACATTAATAGGTCAAGAATCAGCTTTTGTAACAATTAGGTTCATCTTTGGCTAGTGCAACAAATTCGCACTGATCTAACCATATGATTCTACCCGAGTTAAGCAAGACACAAAACCTATAAGCCTTAACACAATTGAGTTTGATCAGAGCAGTTAACTAAATGTTGTTACCAAGATTTACATGTTACCAAACAATGTTCTCAAGATTATACTAATCCAAAAGGAACGATCTTTGGTATGTACAATGAATGTGATACCTGATATGCCTCTGTCGGATAAGAACACGGGCATGGTGAATAGACTTGGCCATACCAGACTTGAAGACAATAGTTTGGAGACGACGTTCAAGGAAATTCTCAACAGTCAAAGCAAGAACGTAATCAAGCTTGTTCTGGCTTTCATCAAGAAGACCATATCGGTTCATTCTCCTAAGAAGAGCTTCACCTTCAAAGATACGACGAGGGTTCTTCTCATCAAGTGTTAAAAGTTCCCTCGCAGCGTTACGGATACGGCTAAGTGCGTATTGAACCCTCCAAAGCTCTCTCTTGCAGCGAAGACCGTATTCTCCAACAAGCTTTAACTCTGCATCAAGACGCTCTTTCTCATAAGGACGTCGTGGCTTCTTGAATGTTTTCCCATCTATACAAGAAAAAAAAAACAATTTCACCGTTAAAAATCAAATCTTTAAAACATCAAGATAACTACAAAACAGAGTACAAATAAAAACCCTATTTTTCACACATAGGAACAGAGCATAGTTAAAATTTCACCATCAAATTACAACACCTTACAAATATTTTGCATGTATAAAAATTATTAATGACAAGCTTTGAATGAAGAGTACATAGAAATTAAACGAATAATAGAAGCAATTACAGGAAAATCAAACTTTAATTAAGTAAAATTCGTGAAAAAAACAGAGCAGCATGGAAAATTAAAATATGGGAAAACATAAGAAAATAGAAGATAGAGAGATGAGAGCTTACAGTTGCGGTAGAATCTGACGTTCACCATAGCTGCTACTGCTGCTCAAACAAAGACGACTTGATCGCAACGAAGAAGACGAAGCACTTTTTATATTACAGAACTATGAAAAAAACCTAAAGCGGTTTAAGGCTTAACTCAATGACTCATATATTTTGTTTGGGCCTTTATAACATATGGTTTAGCCTATTGGGCTTTCTTTATGGATATATAAATGAATTTGAAAATGAAAATAATAATAATAATAATGAATTTGATTTATTAGAGAAAAATATACAGTAGTTAGCAAAATTCATATTTCCATTATTATTTTGAGAATGCTAATTTTGATTCTTAAATTTTGAAGTGATATTTTAAACCTACAATTGTCATTCTTTTTAGATGTATTTCATGGTATTTGCTATATGCCATGAAAAATATATCCCATTATAATGTATACGAACATAAAAATAAAAATAACTAAAATTTAATAATTTTCTATGGTTATTAATTTTATTTTACCAAATCTTGGCTGTTTCAACTTTTAAAATAAGAAACAAAAATCACCAAAAAAAAAAAAAAAGTTTCATGTGGAAAAATGCAACTTTTTAAATGGTCCTAACTGTTACACTTATTAATTTACATATGAGCAACATCAAGAAAACATCTTTGATGATGCCTTGTCTCTTCTAACAGGCACAAAAAGAAACAGAGACGACTTCAGAACAATCAAAATCAAAAGAATAAAGAATCCATCGATCTTTTACTTATGAAACTACTTTATTGGGAGTTTCCTTCAAACCAAACTCTTCTTTACGCCTGAAACAATACACAGAGATTTTAGTTAAATCAACAACAATTGTATCATCAAAACACACAAAAATATTTAGCAAGTTCTTACTTATTGACTAACTTGATTAGTGAAGCAGGTCTTTCATATCCTCTATCTTCCTTCTTCTTACCTTTCGCTTTCTCTTCTTTTGACTCCATCTTCCAAGAAGCTTTACACAACGATTCACCTAACAACTGTTCGATATCTGCGGCCATTGCTTCAACCTTCTCCACAAATGGGAAGTTCTTCTTTTCAAATTGATTCGATAACCAAAGATACGTAGACAATATTTGGTGTTTACTCTCTAAATTTAATAGCTCGGTGTCATTCTTAGCAGAACCCTTTGGCATCCCCATAGCAACATTAACCGGCAGATCGTTGCTATATGTTGACGCAAAGCGAAGTAGATGGTACATCGCTTGCGGATTCCTGATATTAACTGGTGCAAAACAGAAGTTAAACCTGTCTTCTAGCGACAATCCTTCTACTTTCTCCAACATGTTTGCTACTTTCTTCACATGATCATGACGGCACAGGAAGTAAGAACCGTCTAGTTTACAGTGAGTTCCAAAATGCTCTAAGAGCTTTGAGAAGGCCATATCAGGAACTTTTGCAGCGAAAAGCTCAATCTGTTCAAAGAACGGGAAAAGCCCGACCTTTTTAACTTCATCAAATGGTTGTTGCAAACACTCAATTAGATAGCTTAGATCTTCTAAGTGTAGTGTCGTTGTAAGTCCATCTGGATAACTACTTCCTCTCCTTCCAGCTCTCCCAGCAATCTGTTTTACCTGTGACGCACCAACCGGAACCATCTTATCACCGTTATACTTATTCAAACTGTAAAACACAACCCGCCTTATGTTAAGATTCAATCCCATTCCAACAGCATCACTTGCAACCAAAACATCATACTCGTTGTCTTGATCGTTAAACAGATTAGCTTGCTGTCTCCTCGTTTCAGGAGGCAATGCACCGTAAATAACACAGCATCGATGATTTGTATGTTTTTCAATAGCCATCTTAACTTCAAATATCTCTCTTCTAGAGAACGCAACAACACAATCCCCTGACTTAACATTTTTCAGTTCTCCTAATAAGGTCTTAGCTTCTACGACTAACGGTTTGAACCTCTCGTAATGCTCTTCAACTAACTCATCCCCTGTATCAGCACACATCTTACGCACAATATCCAAAACACTCGGGTCTCCACACAAATGAATCTCATCAGCTTTTAATCCAAGCAGAGCTTTTGTCCAAGCGTGACCTCTACTAAAATCCGCCATCATTTGTATTTCATCGATCACAGCCACTTCATATAACTCATCTGTAGACACCATTTCAACTGTACAGGAAACATGCTTGGCGAACGGAACATGTTTCTTCTCTTGTCCAGTCAAGAGACTACAGTATACTCCTGAAGCATTTACTTTATCAAAAACTTCCATGGCTAATAACCTAAGTGGGCTGCAATATAACCCGTTCTTAGCTTCCATAAACCGTTGCAAAGCATTATACGTTTTCCCACTGTTAGTCGGTCCACAATGGTAAACGATTTTACGCTTCATAGCTCGAGCAAAGGGAAACCAAGCCGCGGGTTTCGTGAGGTCTGCAGTATCAACAATACTCTTAAAACGTTTGATGTCATCAGGAAACTCTTCAATACAGAATTCAACAAACATAGGGAACAAAAACTTAATAGCTTCATCTGTTGGCCCAACACGAACTAGATCCTCAACAACCTCAATTCTACATTTTTCAATGAAGAAGTCCCGGAACTTGCTAACAGCAGTTGGGAAAAACGATTTCCCAATATAGATTGCAAGAGCCTGATTCGCCCCCCAACCCGACTGCGCAAAATACCCGAAAATCTCATGTAAAGTATCAAATTCAGTATGCTGAAGCTTACAACGCACTTCACTTTCCCTAAGCTCTCTGTACAAACCCACAGGATCCTGATACCGATCGTTTAAAGCACGGGCAGCCTCACTTATCTCTGCAACCGCTGAATCATTCATCAAGCGTTCATCTACATCAGCAAGTTCATTAATCACACCTTCCTCATCAAAATCATCACTCTCAGAACCTTCACAAGCTTCCTTATCATCATTTTCGCCATTATTATCCACAGTAGAGGAAAAGCCCCTAACTTTACCAATCACATAGCTCCCAAATCTGTAATCATTCCATGGAAGCCGAATCCGAACCGGATTATCCGAACAAAACCGGTTCGTGGGCACATCAGAAACAGGATTACCAAGAAACCTAGATTCAGTTTCTCTAAAAGAATGTAACTTTCGTGTCGACAATATAACCCTAACCCTCGAAGTATATGCTCTACGCAAAACTCCAGCTACGCCTCTCGCCATGGTCACGAACTCGAATCAATAAAGAACTGAAATTTAACAATTTGCAGTGTAGTTTTGAACCTAATCGAGAAAAAGTCGCCGCCTTTATCGTATTACTTGAAATGGGTTTGGATTCAAAGGAGACTAAAAATAGTAAAACGAGCTCGAAGCTTACCTGAGAAGAGAAGAAACAATGATGGTGGGCGTTTAAAGCTAGAGAAGTAAAAGTGTAAAACCCTACACCATTTTTATTCCCCTTAAACCCAACAATTGTACACAATTACTAAAATACATTTACGAGAAAATCAAATATATTTTTTTAATTCTTATATATTTACAGTATCTTCGTCATTTGTTTTGTTTTTCTATTAGTTTTTTAACATTTGAATTTAGAAATTAAATAATCTTTTGCACAAGAGAAAAGGAGAGAAAACCACATTAATGGGTGCAATTTGATTAATAATTCAATTGTATTTTTTTTTTTGTCAACATAATAATTCAATTGTATATATTTATATGAAAACATCAATTATATATGTTAGAAAAGAAAAGAGATTAATACTGAATCTGATATATAACCAAAACAATGTTAAATAGTTTTTTTTTTCTTTCAATTGACATACATACAGTTTGGAGAGAATTGAGACAACAATTGTAAATTTTGATATTTCTCATGAACTCTTCTCTTCCAGTGAGATCTGTAACTCCAAATCTTCATTTCCTCTCTTGATCTTAAGTTTCACCTTATCACCTACACTGTACTCATCCAATATCTTCATCAACTCAGCTTTGTTTTTCACCTGATTCAAACCACAGAACAACCAAAACAAAACTCAAAACCTCAGTTATAAACTTGAAGATCTAAATGAGAAAATCAGAAATATGTTCTTCATTCCAAGAGCAAAAGATAGACAATCATAAAGGTAAAGGGACAAAACAACCAAAACTTGAGAAGACAATCATAAAGGTAAAGGGGGAAAAACAACCAAAACTTGAGAATCAGTTTCTTGTTTTTATCTAAGAAGTTGATCGAGCTTACAGGTTTGTCATCAACTGCAACAATGACATCTCCAAGCACTATATTACCAGCGAAACCCCGAGATGTCGGATGTAATCCTGCTTTTTCTGCCAGACTATTTGCCGGTACCTGTTTTTGTAAGAAAGAAAATGGCAGTTGTAATCATGATCATCAAATAAACCAACTGGTTTCAAGGATTTGGAGTACAAAATGTTTACATACCTGAAGGACAAGGGCTCCATTACGAACATTGAGTTGATTAGCTACTGGATCAGGGGCTAACTCTATGTTAATACCAGCTCTAAGGACCTGGGGTTTTGGATATAGTAACAACATATTAAAAATCAAACTATGCAAGGCGAAAGAAAGCGCGATTAAGAAAACAGAATAATGGACTTTTTCCAATGCTTACTTTGCTGAACTGGATTAGTTGAGGAACAATCTTCATTACAGTTGATGACGGAATTGCAAACCCGACACCAGCAGATGTTCCTGTCGAAGTCAGGAGTAAATATTATAATGGATTATTACATGATTCTGTTGTGAGTCAATGAATCTCACCTGTCTGTGTGAATATGGCTGTATTGATCCCAATTAAGTTCCCTTTTGAATCGAGCAGAGGACCTCCACTGCAAAATTCAATAAAGAAAGATCCATCAACCCCACATTGAAATGCTTTTACAAGATTTCCTCTTTTTGTATGATTTCTGTAGACATACCTATTTCCCGGGTTAATGGCTGCATCAGTTTGAATTCCACCACCAATGGTAACTCCTGTTTGGCTAAAAATGTCACGGTTAAGACCGCTGATGACACCAACCGTAAGGGTGTGGTCAAAACCAAAGGGGTTTCCAATTGCTAAACACTGCTGCCCAACTTTTAAAGAATTTGACTGCCCAATGTTAATCGGTTTCAGGAGAATTTCAGGGGCTTCTACCTGAGTTTTTGTGGTAACATCAATATAAGCAGTTGAAGCTTTTTTAACGTTAGTCGAAAATTATTACTTGACATATCCACATATATATATACCTTCAAGACAGCAAGATCTTTAGCACGATCAGCACCAACAAGTTTTCCTTCAAAATTCTTCTGTACCCTTCAAGATTTTCACAAACAAGCAGAGATGAGAATAACTAAAGACTGTAAACGGCTGAAATAATTCATCACCCAGAAAAAAGCTCACCCATCAGATGCTAGAATATTCACACGACCAACCACATCCCCGGGGCTAGGATTTCTTGCAAGGGCATTGCCAATAACTGTTCAGAAGAAGATAAGTGAAACTTACAAAATTATCATATGTCTACAATCAGACCATCTCAAGCACTTGAACACTCAATCACAGTTCAGTCAAATCATCTTACCGTGATAATTGGTCACAATGTATCCCTGTCCATCCCAGACTACTCCAGAGCCATTTCCTTCGGGTATCTACGATTACATTTTGAGTTCAATTATATGTCAAAACACTCGATAACAACATTAAAAAAGGGATACTCTTTTAGTGCTGAGAAACAGTACCTCAACCACACCCGTCATTTTGAGCTGAGGTCGTAATGTCACATCAAATATGTTGACAACAGAATAAGTATTCTTCTCAAACAATTGGACAATTCTCCCCTGAAACAGAGAAACGATATAAGAATCTTACTATAACCAATCAAAACCTAAAACTACCATTACAATTACCCTCATCAAAGAAACAAACCTCAGTAGGGAAAAGAGGTCCAGCTGGGAAAACAGGTGGACTCACATCTTCAACTGTCGCAATGGATGGATCACCAAGTGCTAAGGCTGTAGTAATTCATCAAAGAGCATATTCAATAATCAAACTATATCACTATGAATCAATGAAAACCATCTCACTATAAGCAGAAAAACTAAAAGTGTTCTGAAAAGGCTAAGATTAGATCATGATGACTCATGCTATCTACTAGAGCAACAAATCCTATTAGATATATGCTTCAATACTGAAAATAATGTTTCTTTTTGGTATTTCTAGTTCCATGAGCTTCTGAAATCTAACAGAGTGCTATTGCAAAATCCTTTCAAGCAAGAACTTTGGATCATAAACTAAGAACTACAACGATATAGTTGTTACAATTAAGCTTCTTATACAAAATTTGCCTCATCGAACTGTTGAACACAAAGAGTTAGAAGAAGAAAGAAAAAAAAAAGATGAACTAGGTGCAGACCTGATAAGTACCTTGAAGGATTATAACACAAATTCATGAATAAACTTGTCAACAAGATTCGTCTTGTTGTCGAAGGGACACTTTTCACAGCCAATTCATGCAAATTCGACTTCCAATCTCGAGTAATCCTATCGAAAGAAACAAACAGCCAAAAAGCTAACATAAACATCAAAATTCCAAAGAAATCAACAAATCCTACACTAATAAATGACTAATCCAATTCCAAAGTTTGAAACAGAGAGTTTTCTCCATAGCACAAATTCCAAAGAAATCAACAATTCCAAAGTTCAAAACTGAGAAAGCTTCAATTTTTCGTTCAAAACCAACAAAATCACCAGTTTTGACTAAACACAAATTGAAAAGATAGTCCCAAAAGTTAAAACCTTTACGGTGGTTTCTCACTACTCAGTAACCTAAGAACCATCAAATAAAGTCATAATCTTTGAGGAACCCAATTCAAAAGGAACAATTTTTCAGCAAAAATTTGGCAATGCAAGAAGCTTAGAACGCTTACTTGACTGAAGAAACGGGTGGGTCTGAAACGACGTCGCCTTGAGAAATCCTGGAACAGGCGGAGGAGAGAAGTTTCCGTCGACCCACAAATTCATTCTCGTCTGAATTGATCGGATTAGGTTTCAGAGAGAAAGATGCTATTACCTGCATCTTTCTTACAAGTTTCAGGAAGACTCTCTGAGACCAATCGATATTTTTTTATAAAATTGTGTAGCTGAGGAAGAAAGAAGCAGATATTTTTAAAACCGTAGTAACTAGTAGTAGTAGTAGTCTGGACCGGTTTAAAAAAGAACCAGCTGCTTCTTGTTCTTTTCCTCTGTTCTTGTCTCTCCTCATGCGTCCTCTTCATTTTATTCTACTTCTCTTTTTTATTACTTGGCTCATTATAGCCAAGTATAATAAATTATGCCGATTTCTCAAACGAAATGGTTGTATACACCTAGAGAGAGGTATAAGGAGAATGATTTATAGTATTGGATCAAAACTCAATCCAGCGGTTTTGCCAAAGAAATCACTGTATGACCTGAACCAATCATAAAACAACATGTTTGATGACTTTTTGAAGAAGAAAAGCTATATTAGAAGCTACTATACATGTTACATGTGTTACTGCAGGAAGCTGAAGAATGAACCTATACTAAATAGAAACTACTACATATCTATCCACTCCTGTGTATAGATCAGTTTGAGTCAATGAGAAGGCTACCTTATCAGAGAGCAAAGCAGTGGGCTTATGTACTCAATGATTGGTACAAGAGAAAACTTGGAGTAGCCAATTGGTTTGATCAGTATGTTTATGAGTTAACCAACTAAATTGCACTAGAAAGCAATTTAATGGGTGATCATATATGTTGAGGGATCTGGTTCTGGTCAAGGGCCAGTTTAGACTAGTAAAAATAGTTTGGTAAAGTGAACCTTCTACAACATGTTGAGGTTTGATCTTCTCTTCCACCGACTTAGGAATTTTGAAAATTAAAATACTGTTTCTACCCCTTTTTTTAAGCGAAAACGGGGATGAATAAGCCATTTCTAGGAGACGAATCAATCATTGCTTTTCTCTTTACATTATTCTCCATAGTAAGATTATGTTTGTTTCCTCGTTCGGATGAACTATTCAGATATTTTTTGTTTAAGTCTGAAAAAAAATATCATCTAACATTATCTAAAAATTATCCATATGATCTATGGAATGAGTTTATAAATTTGAGACAAAATTTTAAAAGTCATTTGGATGACTCTAATTAGATCATTTAGATAGAGATGAGTTTCATCCAAAAATGATAAATGACAAATATACTTTTTTTTGTCATCGACAAATATATTCTTATTATCCAAATAATATATTTGTTAATAAAATTATAAATGATATTTTAACAAATATCTCATATTTTAGTAGTAAAAATTGTAAAACCTAAAATCACATTTTCCGCCAAAAACACAAATATATATTTTTCCACCAAAAATGCAAAATTTCTCTCTAAAAACATAAAAAATGCAAAATTACGTTCTACCGCCAAATATGCAAAATTACATTTTCCCGCCAATACCGCCAAATCTTATATTTCATGATAATAGAAATTTAGAAATGTCAAAAATATTAATTTCTAAATTATTTAGGTGTATAAATATGCTAGATAAGTAATCAAAATTACTATAATTAATGTTGAGATGAAAGAAATTATTATATTTAAACATGGGCATATCAGTCACTTTTAATCAAATCCATCTATAGATGAGAAATGTAATTAATCAAACAAACACATTTTCATTCAAATAAATCATCCGATTGTCTTGTTCATTTAGTTATTTGGCAATTGACATTCAAATGGATCATTTGAATGAATCATTTACAAATGATCCATTTACGTGGAAATGCAAAATGGAGAAACGAACATGGCCTAAATCTGAATCCAGTATGAGTTATCTCTTATGAAAATTTGGTTCAAACAAATCTAAGGCAAGTTGTATCTATGGCCGCAGTTTCTATGCTCGCGCTGAAAACTTGAAAACTTTTTTATTGCTTGATTGCTTCCTAAAAGGTTTGCATTTGAACAAAGTGATGAACAATTACTAATTTATTATTTGCCGAGGAAGATGTTGAACAATAGCTATCCTAATGCAATTTAGAGATTTCTACGACCATGATCCTTGGGGATTAATAGCTCCGTCATTTGCTGCTATTGCGTTGTGACTCTCATATTCGTGACTACGATGTAAATAATATTCATTTATTTATTTCATAGTCACTTTTTTTTTATCTCACTTAAATGTCGCCCTCATTTATATTTTATAGGTTGAAGAGACCAGTTTGGAAAAGCAACTCTGAGATACATGAGAATGTAGTATGAACCTAGACGCAAGTATACCTCTATCATTGTCTTCCTCTGATGATAAGTCCCCAATACAAGATGATTGTGTGAGTTTATGTGGTTTCAATTTTTGTACAATTGAAAAACTATAATCTAAAAAATCGAATTCAAAATCAAATCGAAAAACTGTATGCGCAATCGAGTCAAGATTTTTTTATTTATAGTATTAGATGTTAGTTAAACATGAATTTAGCTGTAAAATCCAATCTTGAACCATTTTATTTTTGATTACTATATATATATGATTTTTTTTGTTTGACGTGCTCTATTTACACACATATACACTTGGATTTTCAAAGTCTATTAACAAATATTTCAAAACGAGAGTTGATAACTTTAATGCTTCACATATAAAGAGAAATACAAATCTTAAGTTTAAAGCTATTGACCAAACTTCCAAACTTGTGTTGCATTGGTTTTGGACTTCTCTCATCTTGAATTGTTTTTAAAAGTTTTTACCACGAGATCTCCATTTCTACATTTGTGTTTTTACATGTCTCAAACTTGGAAACATATATAGCAAGCTTAAGCAATGCCTTCGATTTTACCAATGCCCATTTTTGACTTACCATGCATCTTTTAAAGAGAGACAAAGAATGGGATGAAGTAATTTTGGGGAACTGCGAATTCATATTTTACAAACCTTTTGCAATCACAAATTTCAAGATTCATACTTAATACTATCTTTCTTGCATAAGTCTCCACTTATTCTAAGGGACGGACAACAAACATTGGTCTTATTATATATATCTACGCATCACTTTCTGGTCCAATTAACGTTTCCCTATGAACACATTTCTTCTTCTCTAAGAAACTTCTTCCTTCTTCCCCAAACTCACTCCCTCTCTATATTGCCATCTATAAATCTCTTTGTTTCTCTTCATTATCTTTTGGTTAAGTACTAATTCTCTCTCTGTGTATGTAATGGTTCTAGTTATGGATGATGAAGAGAGTAACAACAACGTAGAAAGATATGACGACGTCGTCTTGCCAGGGTTTAGGTTCCATCCAACTGATGAAGAGCTCGTGAGTTTCTACTTGAAACGCAAGGTTTTACACAAGTCTCTTCCCTTTGAACTCATCAAGAAAGTGGATATTTACAAATACGATCCATGGGACCTTCCAAGTAAGCCACAGAACTCTAACTTCTGAGTTTTTGGATCTTTTACTTTGCATTTTCTTGAATCGATGTGTGTTTTTAAAAGAGCTTGCGGCAATGGGGGAGAAAGAGTGGTACTTCTACTGTCCAAGAGACAGGAAATACCGGAACAGCACGAGGCCTAACCGAGTAACGGGAGGTGGATTCTGGAAAGCTACTGGAACAGACCGTCCTATATACTCATTGGACTCAACTCGATGCATCGGGTTGAAGAAGTCGCTAGTGTTCTACCGTGGTCGAGCTGCTAAAGGAGTCAAAACCGATTGGATGATGCACGAGTTTCGTCTCCCTTCTGTCTCTGACTCTCATCACTCAACATATCCCAATTACAATAACAAGAAGCAACACCTTAACAACAATAACAACAGCACTAAAGAGATACCTTCAAACGTAAGTTATTACATTTTGCCCTAACTTGTGTTACCCGCATCAGCTTATTTTGGAACCCAACACTTGTAATAAATAAGTTCTTTTGTAGGATGCGTGGGCGATATGTAGAATATTCAAGAAGACGAATGCAGTATCGTCACAAAGATCAATCCCACAATCTTGGGTTTATCCAACGATCCCTGACACTAACCAATACAACTCACACAACACTGCAACTCTCTTAGCTTCATCAGACGTACTCAACCACATAGCAACAAGACAAAACCTTATCCCTTCTCCAGTCAACGAGCACACAAGCTTCACAGAATCAGCAGCTGCTTACTTCGCGTCTCAGATGCTTGGAGTTCCGTACAACAACACATCAAGAAACATCGGAACAGGGGATGCTCTGTTTCTGAGAAACAGTGTAACAGGGGATGCTCTGTTTTTGAGCAACAATGAGAATAACTACTTCAACAGCTTGACCGGAGCGTTGACTCATGAGCTTCCAAACGTAAGATCAATGGTGATGGAGGAGGAGGAGACGACGGTCAGTGAGATATCGGCGACGTCGTATTCCACTAACAACTAAAAAGATCATAGCCACTACTATTAACACTTGAATTAATGTAGCACATCGCTAATAGTATGTATTAATTTTTAAATTGTGTTTTATATAAATGTTGCTTCGCTTTTGGTTTCTTGAAGACCTAAAAGAAAAAAAAAATGATTAGGAATTAATATTTCATTTTCTTGTATCAAACCCCTCAACGGCTAATTACGCAATCTATGCAAGATATGGAAATCGAAAGATCTATCTAAACAATCAAATCTTTCCTTTTTATAGATCTCATTAATGTAACCCTTAACGGCTAATTACGCAAAATCTTTGCAAAAATAAGGAATCGAATCTTTACGCGATTTGTTTCTAACTCTAGTGACCGATGTTTTCTATAAATATATCACTATTTCACAAAGTTTCTCTCTGATCACTTTCATACTTCGTTCATCTTTCTTTACAAAGCCGAAGTTTGTGTCTGAGATCAACAAGAGAATCACCATGCCATCTCTACTCTGTGCCGGAGATTGATCAACCTCTTTTCTTGCATCTCAAGGCTTCGTCATCCACTACGGACCAGATGGAGAACTTCAGATATGGCCTAAGGAGAAAGCGAAAGTGAGAGACATGGCTCTGAGGTATAGTCAATTAAACGAAGCCTTGAGACTAATATTTGTCCTCTGATTTTGTTAATATTTTAATTTTACATAATAGATTTCTATTACATACTACTGTAATATTTAGAGTTTTGGTAAACACAAACGTTAAAGTTCTCTTCATAAGATACTAGTATTTTTATATATATATATTAGAAAGTTGTCCACGCAACGCGTGGGTTATATTTGAAATATAAATAAAAAATTACATTAAGTTATATATAGTGGATACGTAACTGTTAATATATGTGTTATGTAGCTTCATATATCTTCTGTAGCTTAAGTTAGAGAAAATACCTCATAAGTAATTTGAAATATAGATTAAAAATTACATTAAGTTATTTATTATTTTAGCTAATGTAGCTTCTTAGTCTGCATTTAGTATTTGATCTCGAGTTTTAACTCTATACAGAAGCAGACTCCTTCCTAAAAATGTCCAGGCTTTGCTCTGCACTAGAAATTGGCTGCGTGGTTTTTCAGAATACGAAGATAAATTCTTATTACAAAACTAATTTTATAACTAAATAGCAAATTTATATGCTTCCGAAGTTAGATGCTTCCTAACTTATATGAAATTGCCGGTAACATTGAAGATAACTTTGATTTTGATGATGAAGATGTTAGAAGAACCCCGAGTAGCTCAGGAGTGGAGTGTCAAGATGTTTGATGAATCAATGTTGCAAAGATACAATTAAACTTATATTTAAACTTTTATTAGAATATTTAATTTGTATTGGATTATTTAAAATTTTATTGGAATATTTAAAATTTTATTGGAATATTTAAAATTTTATTGGAATATTTATTGAAAAATCAGCATACATAGACGTAAATGTTAATATAGATATTTGTGTTATCATTTTATGGAAATATAAAGGATAGTAAGAAGACAAGTTTCCCAATTAACGATAGTGGCACCAACTTTATTTTTTTACAAAGCCACAATTCATATATACTGTACTAGTTCCTTTTAAAATATACGTAACCAATTTGAATTAATACTAAATTACTATTCGATTTAGAAGATTACATTAATGAAAAATATGTATCATAAGCCTTGAAGAACGAATTGAAACCCCTCAACGGCTAATTGCACAATCTATGCAAAGATATGGAAATCGAAACATCTTTCCTTTTTTTATAGATCTCATTAATTAATTATGAAGAAAAAAAAATGTAAATCTTTCCTTTTTATAGATCTCATTAACGGCTAATTACGCGACAGAAATCGAATCTTTATGCGATTTGTTTCATACCGATGAGCGGAGGATGAAAAATAAAAACACACTTAAATTCTAAACCCTAGCCACCGATGTTTCTATAAATATTGTATATCTCAATTTCACAAAGTTTCTCTCTCACTTTCATACTTCGTTAATCCGAGAGATCAAGAATAGAATCACCATGCGATCTTTACCTTTTTCCTCGTCTTCTTCTCCTTTTTCGACAAGTTTGAGCAACAGACTTGAGACCATCTTCAAGAAAGGTGATTGAGGTCTGCATCATCCATTATGGACCAGACGGAGAACTTCAGACATGGCCTAAGGAGAGAGAGAAAGTGAGAGACATGGCTCTGAGGTATAGTCAATTGAATCAAGCCTTGAGACGCAAGAAAAGCGTTAATCTTTCTGAGTTCCCGAACGAGAAAAAGCACAAGGGTTTGGAGAATCTGAACAAGAAGAGGAAGACGACGAGTGATCTTGAGAAGAAGCCGGTGGATGTATTAAAGTATCCAATGTCTGATCATTACTCTCCCCACCAAATCTCCAAACTGATTCAGTCCTTAGAACTCAATGTCTCTAAAGTACAAGAAAGGCTTCGCTTTGTTGAGTCGCAGAAACTTCAGAGTTTAGCATCATCCTCTCTGAATTATCACAATCTTCAGACGACCCAATCAATGAACCCTAGCCAGTTCTCGCTATTCATGTATAACCATGGAGACAATACTCTCTCTCAGATCCCAGTCTCTGCATCAAATCTCAATCAAGATTTCTCAGCGTTACTTTAAGAACCTCAGTTGAAGAATCAGTTAATGAAGCAAGAGCTCTGTGATTATGATCACAACATAAGCATAAGTGACATGCACATCACCAACAACAGTTTTCCACATCCTTGCGTCACAAACAAAGAATCTGTGAATAACTTTGGCTCGATAAATCAGTTGATGCAGAAGGATTACTTTTATGGTGCTGATCAAAACATGCCTAGTATGTGTAACTTCAACAGCAACAGCTTTCAACATCCTTGCGTCTCAAACACACAACATTACTAGACAGTACAAGAATCTGTGAATATAACTCCAGGTTGAATCAGTTAATGCAAAATGCAGCATGAACATTACGGTTCTGATCAGAAACATATGTATTTGTTTTAAGACTTGCTAAAGAATTTAGTATGAACTTCTTGTTGGGTCGTTGTTGCTATATCTTAATACTGTACAACCCAATCTTAATCTATTTCTGACTTCTCTAAATGTTTTCCAGTTGATTTTAGAACAATTTTTTCATATCTTTATTAAAATGTTAAATTATATGATTAAATGACATAAAATTTCTTATTTTAACATAAATCCCTTCTTGACATTACCAAAAAAACATAAATCTCTTCTTGATTGAACCTAATAAACTTGTTCTTTTGTTACAATTTACAAATTTAACAAAAAAATTCACAAGAAGCCCAGCCCACTCTAGGTTTTGATCATGAGTGTTTTTAATAAGGTAACGTCGTCGCAGAGAATTGGGAGTTTGCGATTTTGATTTTCGATCTTAGACCGGACTCTTACAGGTTTCGTCTCTTCTCTATGGTTTTGTCTGGTTCCATCTATCAAATTTCCAGCTTGTTTCTAGGGTTTTGTCTCCGTTCCTAAGTGTGTGTATCTGTGAGTTTTCTCTTATTATGATTAATTCGTTTACTTGATTCCTTTATGAGTCTTATTATTGTTTTCTTGTGCCGTTTTTGTTTTTCTTTTCTTTTTCAGTAACTATTAGCTAAGATATGGACACAATCAGTGGATTGCCTAATGACGTGCTGGTGAAGATATTATCGTTTCTTCCAACAAAAGCTGCTGTATCCACTAGTGTTTTGTCTAAACAATGGGAGTTTCTTTGGATGTGGTTGCCTAGACTTGAGTTCTCTTCTTGGTTGGTTAGTAAGCCTGGACTTCGGGAGTTTATCTACAAGAATCTGCCATTACATAGGGATCATCCCGTCATAGAAAGATTGTGTCTTGCTATATATGATCATAGCCCAGATGTTAAACCTGAAGATATCAGACAGTGGATTGAAGTTGCAGTTTCTAGCCATGTGCGTGAGCTGGATATGTATTACTATACAAAAAGTGATGAAAACATATTACCGAGTAGCTTTTTTACCTGCAAATCGCTCGTGACCTTGAAACTCAAATTTTTGCCCCTCATGGCGGGTATAATTCCCACTATGGTTTGTCTTCCCTCTCTGAAAATTTTAGAAATTGAAACTTTTTCATTCGCGAAATCTTTGCAACAGCTTCTATTTGGTTGTCCTGTTCTTGAAGATCTATCGCTGCGATATCTTGACGATGAAGATATAAAAGAGTTCACTATTATTGTCCCCTCTTTGTAGAGATTATCACTTTGTAATTGGCTATTAAATAGGTACGAGATAGATACTCCTTCTTTAAAGTATTTGAACCTTGTGGATTTGAATAGTCGGGAACACTACGCTTTGGCTAAGAATATGCCTAAGCTGAAGGAAGCATATGTAGTATCCTATAACCCCAAGAGTCTTATTGGATCAATCACATATGTCAAGCGTCTCACGTTATGTTGTTTATAGGTAATGATATATTAGTGTTTTCATATATCTAGCTATTGCGAGAGTTCAATCTCATTTATAGAATCCCTTGGTTAATAGTTTGGGCAGGATTTGTATGGTGATGGTTATGTCTTCCAAGAGCTTGAACATCTAAACCTATGTGTGTGCAAAAAGGATTCGTCGAATCTCATTGGCCAGTTTCTCAAGGATTCTCCTAAGTTGCGAGTATTAGACATCTCTTTAGTGGAAGTAAGTTTCTTTCAATAAGCTATATTTTTAGTTTACCTAATGATGCCTGCCCATTAATTATGGTTTTAATCTAACTCTTCTGCTTGGCCTTTAGGATCATGAGATCCATGAGCATAATGGTATGGAATTTTGGAATCAACCGAGTCATGTTCCTGAATGCTTGATGTCGAGTCTACAAACATTTAAGTGGTCACCATACTTTGGGAGACAACAAGATAGAGATATCGCCGTTTATATTTTGAAAAACGCTCGCAACTTAAAGATGGCAACAATCTTGGCTGATACAAGGAGAGAATTTGTTCCAAACCTTGAGATGATCATCGAGGAGTTGAGAAATTCTCCCCGAGCTTCAAGCACATGCCAACTAAGTATTCGCAGAAGGTTACTTGACCATATTATTGAGATAGATGTGTTTCTGTCATCCGGTAACAATATCATCGTTGAGTTTGTTTAAGAATTGGGTTTCCATTGAACATCAGTTCACACAAGTTTTGTGTTAATTTATAGGGTTTTGTCCATGTTCCTCTGTGTGGCTGTGTTTTTATATGTTACTAATACCGTTTTGGTTGGATTAAGAGAAAACCCTTTTGAGTTGTATATAGTGTTTGTTTTGTCAGAGGCGGTAATAGTATCTTGGTGTTAGTAAAAGATATGGACAGAGAATCAGTGAGTTATCCAGTCACTTGCTGGTGAAGATATTTGTTTTAAGGTCTCTTAAAGAATAGATAGGAACATCGCCTAACTTGTCACCCCATAAGTCATGTTCTTAGTTATTTTGGAATTCTATATTGTTATTTAGTGCATATTTGTATTATCATTTCATAAAAATATAAAACCAAGTCTCCCATTTTATGGAGTAGAACAAAAGAATTAAGGATAGTAGAAGACATAAATTTCGTAGAACACAGGCCTTGCCTTAAAAGTATATGAAATCATGGAATTTCTGTGATCGTGACCTCGTGGAGTTTATGTGATCGTGGAATTGTGGATTCTATGTGATCGTGACATCGTGAAGTTTATGTGATCGTGAAGTAGTGGAGTTTACATGATAGAGGAATTGTAGAGTTTATGTGATCGTGCAATTGTGGAGTTTGTGTGATCTTGACATTGTGGAGTTTACGTGATCGTGACATCGTGGAGTTTATGATTTTTTTGTTTGGTGTGTGTTTAAGTTTGATCCTTTTTTGTATTTTGGTTGGAGTTTATGTGATCGTGGAATTGTGGATTCTATGTGATCGTGACATCGTGAAGTTTATGTGATCATGAAGTGGTGGAGTTTACATGATAGTGGAATGTGGAGTTTGTGTGATCTTGACATTGTGGAGTTTACGTGATCGTGACATCGTGGAGTTTATGATTTTTTTGTTTGGTGTGTGTTTAAGTTTGATCCTTTTTTGTATTCTGGTTGTGTTTTTTGTTTTTGTTAAGTTTACCGTAACTCATTCACGCCATCCAAGAGTCACTTCTTCTCGACTACATCAAATAATCTCCAAATCCTTTGCTGCTCCTACAAGAAATAGAACATTGTTATTACTTTGAGCAGAGTCGTTTTTCAGAAATATAATCACAATATAATGTTTATAGAATCAAATTATTCGCCAAGAAATAAAACATAATATACTCAGACCAGACGAGGTTGCTTCTCGTTCATACTTTTAACCTGGTCAAAGTAATGCAAAAGGTTCAAACGACAGACAAATTTGTCAGTGACATCTTTCAGTTGAAGCATTATGTAGATTAGTAAACACCTGGACAAATTTTAAAACCACATAAAACCATAAAAGTAAAGTGACATAATACCGTGAAATCAATTTACCTTAAGAGGAAGTAACGAAAAGATGTTTGGCTTTCCCATATTCACAAGCCTTGTAATTCGTACTGTCATCATTGAGTGTTGTGTTGTAAGTTGTTATGGCCACGATAACGCAATACCTAACAAACAAATCTACATTCCGTTGTTGCACCGTCAGACGAAGCTCTGCCTGCAAACATTTTACACTTTAGCAATCATAAAACAATATCAAAACTTATGTGATTTTGGTTTATCTTCAAGGGTGTCGACGATATACCAAACCCTCCTTTACAGATCACTTAGTTGACGTTGTTTGTAATATACATGCTTAACTAAAGTGAATTATCTCTTGAATACACTAGGAAAGTAAATACTTTTACTAACCCATTTAGTTATGACCTTACTTATTTCTTTTCCTTGGCATGATGCATATCATAACTATTGCAACAACGATTCTGTTCCCATCCCCAAATGAACGTGAGTGACCAATGCTAGGTTCATTCACACATGAAACCTAAGATATAAACAAACTTCAGAAAATGGTAGCACTGCAGATTGACTTAAAATGATATTTGACAAGAAAATGTACCTCACTACATGTCCTCACTAGCTATTGTTGTTTTCCTAAGAGATCTTGAGGACACACCTAGTCAAGTTATTTCCTTGCTTTCCTGCTGCAAAAATAAATGTCAGAATGATTCATTATGCTTTTTGTCAATATAGACTTAAATGAAAAGCTTCATCTATGTTCTCGACTTACCAGAACTTTTAATTTTCTAGATTAACCATAAAATCCGGCACCTCTAAAGGTTTATTATTTGAAAAATCCCTGTGAATACACTGCACACACTCCTATACTTATGTTAATAGAGAAGTGGAAAGTGGAAAATATACTAAGGAAACATGGTACCTGAAATCAAATTACCTTAACGAGAAGTGAACAAATGCTTGGCTCTAAATTGGAGTTTCAATTAAAAAAATGTTATACCAACTCTTTTGCTGATACATCAGCATGCTCACACGAAGTTATATTCCTGAAAGTTACACTTCAATAATGAATAAGAGGACAAGCGGTTTATTCCTTTTTGCTGATATTCTAAGAAATTTATATCCCAGTACCAACTAGTTTCAAAAGCTTACCTTATTCAAGCCTCTCTAGGCTATACCAACTCCTTAATAGATAGATCAACAGGCTCACACGAAGTTATATTCCTGAAAGTAGTTACACATCAGTAATAAAAAAAAAAGGACAATATCTAGACAGAAACCACACTACTTAATTTGAAAACAGACAAGAAAACACTAAAATTCTCATTCTCTAATCTTAACGTATAATTATGAATCCCGGTGAGAGCTACCCTCTGAATAAATTGAAGATTATAACTGAAACCCCTGAATACTTAGAATATTCATTGAAGTAGTTTACATAAACTCACATTGGAACTAATAGAAAAGAGTTTGAAGTGATGGAAAAAAGTTTAGCATGATTACCTTATCATTCATGCGCATATGAAACGTATCCTCTTTTCTTATTGAAAAGCTGGTTTAAAGTAGAAATAAGTAAATTCAAGCTACATAAAAAAAAGGTATATATATCTAAAAGATCATGAAACCAAGGAAAACAAAGTCATCGAATCCTCCCTGTCGCCATTTAGTTGCTTGCTCAACTCACATTATATTGACATGTAAGGCATTGTTGGAAGCTACTAGAAATTGCAAAGCTTCATCTTCACTAGTCCACCTTATATATTTTTCTCTTGAAATCAATGACCTTTATTAGTAAGTCACACAAACAGAATAACATAGAGCGAATAAAATACAAATGTTTTGTTCATACATATTGTCTTAACAAGAAATGTACCTCAGTGTAAGTCCACCACCAGCCATTGTTCATTTTTTTTCTGCTCTCGTTCCCTCTTGAGATATTTGAATTCTGCAAAATAGATGTAGGCACAAAAGAGAATATTTGGATCGCCTGATGTACAGGACATTCCGAATCAGCTGTCTTAATCCAAGAGACTGGAGTGTACGAAGCCAAATACAGTCATACATATTCTATGTGTTGCAGAGGAATCAAAGTAGCAAACTCTATGTGACCGTGAAGTGGGGGTTTATGTGAACGTGAAGTTTATGTGAACGTAAAGCTGAGTTAACGTGGAGTTTATGTGAACGTGGAGGTTATGTGAACGTGAAGCTGAGTGAACGTGGAGTTTATGTGAACGTGGAGGTTATGTGAATGTGGAGTTTATGTGAACGTGGAGGTTATGTGAACGTGAAGCTGAGTGAACGTGGAGTTTATGTGAACGTGGAGGTTATGTGAATGTGGAGTTTATGTGAACGTGAAGTTGTGTAGTTTATGTGATGGTGCATTTTTGTGTTTTATGAAGTTTTTGTTTTGGTTGTGTTCTTTTTCTCGTGCGTTTAGTGTTTTTCTTGTTTCGATTGTGTTTTTGGCTGTGTTTTTTTATGGGAGAGAGAGAGAGAGGGCGATACCGTGACCCACTTGTGTCATCCAAGCGTCAGTTACTTAGCTGTTCCAGCTAAACCAAGTCGCCTCCAATTTTTTTTGCAGCTCCATCTTCTGAAAACAAAACATTTTGCGATGTACTTTGAGCAGAGTAATACTCGAACGAAAGTAACAAAAATAACAGAGTTATACTTATGTCCACCCAAAGATATTCCAAGAATAAAATTTCAAAATTTTCTAATCTGACCCGTTGGCATAATCAAGAGTTTTTTTGTTTTGGTTAAAGGCATAATCAAGAGTTGCTAACTACTAATAATCAATTAGAGAACCAGCTAACATCTTATGAACATCACAATGTAGTTATTTCATAAGCATAGGCCAAGTTTTGGTGATATCAAGTCTTAAGACTATCGTGTTTGTAATAATATATTACCTTTGAAGCTCTTTTTGAACAACTCTCTTTATCTTCTCTGCTACGAGAAGCTGATCAGCAAGCTTAGCTTTATGATTTTTTCCCGCAACTCTGCAAAGTATACACGAAGAGAATATGTAACTGAGCCACAAAACAGCTTGAAGAGTTGTGGATTTACCAAAAAGTGAATTACGAAACTGAACCACAAAACTTAACAACCAAAGTTATACAATTGCATCGAGATTAGGCACACACATGATGATAAAAATTAAGACAAAACAGAGACAAATCATCACAAAATAGTTCTTAAAATGTCTCTTTGATTTCATAGTTAATGAACCAATTCAACAAATCAAACACAAATGCAACCAAAACCTAACAATGCGTTGATCAACCAATGTAATCAGAAGGAGGTTTATATACCTGAAAGATTTGTGCCTAATCAAAAGGATTCTCTACGGATTTGTGCATATTCAGAAGGATTTCGAAATCTAGATTCAATCACACATGAATTGACTATCCCTGCATAACAACACCAAACAAGAACCAAAATTTCAGCGAGAAAGACAAAGACAGACACAAAACAAAATTGAGAAAAAAAAAACTCAATCATAAGTGAAAGACGCAAGAACAGAGAATGATCGATTGCTTTGCTTGGGTGCTACTACCTCTATCACACCACCTTTTAGAGATTTACGAGAAGGGGAGAACAAATGAGAGCAAACACATGAAAGCTTGGTACCTGTGTAGAGTCGATATATAGGGTTTTGCTGTTTGAACAATGGAAGAGGCGGCTTGTAGGAAGAAGCAGAGAACCGCAAACTGATTGGCTTTGAGGTTCCACTTATCGGAGAATAGATTCCGGTGACCAACCGGCGTTAGTATTCGTCGCATGTGACTCTTCAAATCTGTTCTGAAATAATCGGAAAGATAATGAAATGAGATCAATGAATAAGAAAAACAAAATCAAAATCGATAAGATCATCATTCATAGTTACCTGATTCATCAATCGCAGGCTGGATTGTTCATCATCAATCTGTGATCTATCGTTCTTCATCGATCGATTGATTCTACATGCTTCGCAGTACCGTTTTGTTTGAGTCGGTGATGAAGAATGAGAAAAAGATAAAACGTATTTGTAGTGGTTTTAGTAGGGATGATTAATACTTAATTACTAAAATGCCCTGGTTTATTCCGTTAACCCATTTGGATTTCAAATTGAAAACGATATTTTTTCCCCCCTAAGCTGAGTTTTTACTTCAGACCGTTAAAACTATTTCGAATCACCGGGGAGACTAAACCGTGTTTTCCGGTTTGTTTTCTTAACCGAAATATTTCCAAATGGTTACATTCGATTTTTTCACGCTTCCGACGCCGTTTCGCTTAAACATGGATCCTCTCCTAATAATATTGCAATTTCAACTAATAGAAAACGACGTCGGTGCATTTTAAGAGCCCGATTTGAGATCTTATTAAGGCCCAGGCCCATCAGTTTTGTATGGTGATGCCTTTGTTTTCAACAATCTTGAAACACTGAAACTGTATGCTTGTCCGAAATGGCTTTCTCGAAACTCTTTGCCCAGACCCAATTTTATTTTTTTTGGATTTTACAAAGCCACAATTCATATATACGTAGTTCCTTTAAAAAAAATATACTTACCAATTTTGAGATACTATTTGACAGAAAATTATAATAATGAAAAAATTATATCATAAGCTTTTGAACGAATTGAGTTTAGGAATTTATTACATGAAATTTTCTCAAGCTAAGTATATATATTTTCATTATATGTAATCATCAAACCCCTCAACGGCTAATTAATTAATTGCGAAATCTATGCAAAGATATGGAAATCTATAACAGCTTTCCTTTTTATAGATCTCATTAATTAATGAAGTTTTCCTTTTTATCGAACCCTTAGCGGCTAATTTCACAAAATCTTTGCAACAATATGGAAACTTAAAAACACATTTTTTTTCAAACCCTAGCGACTGACCGATGTATCTATAAATATATTTCTGTTTCACAAAGTGTCTCTCTGATCACTTTCATACTTCTAAATTCATCTTCTTCATCTTTCTTTCTTCACAAAGCCTAAGTTTGTCTCTGACATCAACAATAGAATCACCATGCCATCTTTACCTCCTTCTTCTTCTTCTTCACTTGCTTCGACGAGTTTGAGCAACAGACTTGAGACCATCTTCAAGAAAGCTGAACAGCTTTCCATTCTCTGTGACACTGAGGTCTGCGTCATCCATTACGAACCAGGAGGAGAGCTTCAGACATGGCCTAAGGAGAGAGAGAAAGTAAGAGACATGGCTCTGAGGTATAGTCAACTAAACCAAGCCTTGAGACGCAAGAAAAGAGTTGATCTTTCTGAGTTCCTGAACGAGAAAAAGCAAAAGGGTTTGGAGAATCTGAACAAGAAGAGGAAGACAACGAGTCTTGAGAAGAAGCCGGTGGATATATTAAAGTATCCAATCTCTGATCATTACTCTCCCTACCAAATCTCCAAACTGATTCAGTCTTTGGAACTCAATGTCTCTAAATTACAAGAACGGCTTCGCTCTGTTGAGTTGCAGAAGAAACACAGACAGAGTTTAGCTTCATCCTCATCCTATCTCAATCATCAGACCAAATCTTTGAACCCTAGCCAGTTCTCGCTATTCATGTACAACCATGGAGATAATACTCTCTCTCAGATCCCAGTCTCTGCGTCAAATCTCAAACAGGATTTCTCAGCGTTACTTCAAGAATCTCAGTTGAAGAATCAAAAAGTAAAGCAGGAGCTTTGTGGTTATGATCAGAACATAAACATAAGTGACATCACCAACAATAACAGCTTTCAACATCCTTGCGTCTCAAACAAAGAATCTGTGAAAAACTTTGGGTCGATGAATCAGTTGATGCAGAAGGAGTTTTATGGTGGTGATCAAAACTTGTATACGAGTGATATCACCAACAGCAACGTTCCAGATCCTAGTCTCTCAAACACAGTTTCATATGAGTTCTGTTCTGACACTTGTGGTAATAATATGGTCGGCAACACTAGCTTCTCTCAAGATATTACAGATATGTCTTCAACCTATGATTTTAACTTTGATGAGAGCAGTCTACTGCAGAAATCTAATCTGCCATCTGCCTCCACCATTCCTGACAGCTACCTTCTTTCCAACAACATGGGTAACTTCAACAGCAACAGCTTTCAGCAGCTTTCGAGGTTTTTCTGATAACAAACCGTCAATAGAGTAGTGAAAAGCATATGTATTTGTTTAAGACAATTGTTAAAACTTAGGAACATCTTGTTGTAAGAATTTATGGTGTCGTTGTTGGTATAATCTTAATTCAACCAATCTTATATTTTTCTGGCAAAGAAATATACGCATACGTTGTTGGTATGAATCGAAGTTTGAACTTTTAGACCTTCACATTTAAGGTTCATAACTCAATTAATCAAATGAAGTTGTGAACATCTGAACTGTCAAATGAAAATGTTATATATTATTTTGTAACATTTCATGAAAATATAAAACCAAAATCAATCTCCCGTTTTGAGAATAGCATAAAACGATCAAGGACAACAGAAGAAAATTTTAGTAGAACACAGTCCTTAACTTAAACTCAATGAAGAAGACCTAAGAAGATGTTTTTTTTTCTGGCTGACTATTTTCACTTGGAAGCTTTGGTTGACTCGTTTGTGTTGACTTTTATAGGGCACTGAGATACATATGGTTTGAGCTGTAAAATCCAAAACAATATATATGTTCATCAGCAGAGCAGCTAAATCACATAACAAGCTTAATGTAAATAAAGTAAGCATTCCCATTTCAGGTTCCTAACACAAAAACTTACAACGAACCAAGATATTCATAAGGATCAATACGACTTGTAAAAAGATTTCTCAAGGATTGTTCTCATGTTCAATTACAATGCAGTCAACACACTATCGGCTATTCATACTTCAGCAGAGCTTAATGCATTAAGTAAGCAAGACATTACACATTTCCTAACACAAAAACTTACAACAAACAACACGATTTTTTTGGATCACAAATCTAAGGAGTTTCAACCAAAAAGATTTGTAAGAAGATTTCTCACTAATGTTTGGTTCTCACATTCAATTAAGATGCAATTAACATAATGGAGGAATCAAATACAAAAGGAACAAAAGAGTCTCTAGAGGGTGAAATGAAAAACCTTAAAGCCAGTAAGATCAGGGACTACGTAATTCGGCAATTTATCTGGCTGCACAACATACCCTCCTGCAACAAACCATGTCACAAAACTTAGAGAAAGATAAAACGAAGTCTCGAAAACTGTATACTATCTACAATTCGGCCTAAGATACCATATTCTTTAGGTGTAAAGTTAACAACTTTAACTCAATTTTGGCAATTGTACATCTCGACAATTGAGCTCTGATCAGTCAAGCTACACCATGTCCCAAAAATCAGAGAATGGTAAATTCAAGTCTAGAAACAAATTCAAATGAAGAGCAATAATTCTTTCCAAAATGGAGTTGAAGTTGTTATCATTCCACCTAAAGCCAGTCATGTAAATTCCTGAAACTTAGCTGATAACAGCTTCACCTTAAGTTGCATATACGATATATCTAATTCAAAACAACATGGTAATTAACACCAACTAACAACACTCAATTATCAACACTACTACAATGAGCATGAATTGAGTTCAAAGTTTGTATCTTTAAGCCATATGAAACTAAACTGACAACATAACTCTGCCTTAGGTTCCATATATCTAATTCAAAACGAGTAACTCGTTGGCAATACCACCAAGAACCCAACATTCAATCATCAACTAACTAAACAAGTGTTAGATAGAAATGAATTGATTCTAAACCAAACTGTTCAAGTTACAGTGAAACTTCTTCAAAAACAGAGATGCAAAAGAGAAAACTACAAAATTAGGATGAAATGTGGAACCTTTGCGGGTGTGGAAACCAAGAGGTTTACAGTTTTTGCCCTTGTAGTAGTTTCTAGGAGCTCTTTTAGGGGAGAGAATATCAAGTGAAGAAGCTCTCTTCCTTCTGAATGATCTTCCTATCCCAATTAACAATCCTCCTAACGTCGTCATCCTCCACCAAATCTCTCAATCCCAATCTGGCAACAACGATGGAATTAGAAAAAAACAAACCCACCATTAAAAAAAGGGAGCTTGGTAAGAGAAGAGAGAGATACGTTAGTACCTGAGCGAGTTACTGAGATCAGCACGACAAAAAATTAGGGATTTTATTTTAAGTGTGATGAGGTTGATGAAGACGACTAAGTGCAAACGACGTCGTTTTCAGGTGAGATTTAGAAAAATTGTGTTGTTTTAGGAAGCTGTGTGACTCTATACCAATGAAAGGGAAACTATAGGGATCACATTTGCAAATTTAGCTTTCTTAGATTTACGCACGTTGTTTATTGATAAAGGAGAGGAAACAAAAAAAAGAAAAGATTTTTATTTTTTTGGTTCAGGGGTTTTGTGAGTGTATTCATCTTCTTCTTCACAAGCTTCTTGATATTTGAAAGATTTTGTAAACCAAATCAGACAGTTCTATTAATTTTGTGTAGAGGAAGACGAGAATAGTCTAATCCAATCATGGGTAAGTCGAAAAATCATTCCTTTTTTTTTTTTTGTTCACATTGATTTACTCAACACCCATTGCTTTATCTGTTTCTGCAACTTTCAATTCACAACGATATGTGTAATTGTCTATATGTATGTAGTTGAATCGGAGATTAGTAACATCTTGCTTTGTTTTGAAAAATTACTCAAAATTGGATGATTTGAAACAAAGTTCAAGTTTTTGATTTTTGTGAATGTTCTGATGCAGCAGGTTGTGTACCCAGAATTGAATTTGGTTGTTCAAGGTACAAATTTTCAATCTTTTTTCTTATTCCAATTCACATTTTTGTTGCTGTGTAAAACCAAACTTGTTTTAATTCATCATTGTAGGATTTTAGTTACTAATTGAAGTGTTTGTTCTTCTTGAACAGTCATTGTCTTGAACAAAGCCTTACTCTTTCATGGAACTTAAGAGCATGGAATTTGGGTAGATTGAGCACAAGCTCACATTTGCAGAAACTTCCTTATCCTTTGGATGTAGCTTCTACTCGAAAACATTACAAGAACAGTTTGCTTTTGAAAAGATTTTTAGTTGGTGTTGGCACAGAGGAATCATCATTGTCTGAAGATTCACTCAACGAATCTATTTCTCGACCTCTCACTAGCGGCGAGGTTAAATCTTCTTCTTTTTCTTTTCCTAAGCATTTACTCTTATTATGAAGGAACTATGTTCTGTACCAATTAACAAAATCTTCCTTTGGTTTTGCAGTTGAAGTCACTGCTCATTGATACAGAGAGATCAAAACTTGTTAAAAAATTGAGTGAAGCTAATCAACAGAATCGTTTCCTCAAGCGCCAGGTGTTTGTGTTATATTTATACACTTACTCTAGTTCCTTTGTCTGTCCATTCTCTTACATAATTTGAGAAACCTGCAATTGTATATCCTATTCTGTTTTAAGAAATCTTGTGTCTTCCCAGGAATACTAGATGATTAGCATCAAAAGTGATGTTACTTTTTGAAAAGTAATCATGATTTGACTAATTAATTCCTTTTTGCAGCTTAAGACGCAGGAGAATGAGATAACTAACATCAAAAGTGAGCTTGCGGTTATGGAGCTCGAACTTCAGGTCCATATCTACTTTTGATTTTAAAGTGTCACAGACTCACCATCTTATTCCCTTAAGTTGATTTGGTTGTCATATTTTCTAAATACATCTTGTGTTGGTTACTGCATTGGAAAGTTTATAGCTTCAGATTTGTGTATGGACAAGAACATATGTCTTTAGGATTCTGTAGTAGAAAATGTCTCATGATATCGTTCTATGGAGGAGTAGGCTTTGGTCAGACTGGCGGAAGAAATAGCAAACCTTGGTATTCCAGAAGGTTCTAGAAAAATCAGTGGAAAATACATTCAGTCGCACCTTCTCGCTCGTTTAGACGGTTTTTCTCTTCCCCTCTTGGTTTCATCATTATTTACGATTCTCGCCAAATCCCTGTAATGATATACTAATTTTTGTCTTTTCTCCAATAAAGCTGTTCAAAAAAAGTTGAAGGAACAAATAAAAGATGTCGAGGCTGTACAGACAAAGGAGGTTCATGTGTTCTGGATTGGCATGGCAGAGGTAGTGTAGCAATATCCACATTAGGAGATGTTTTTACAAATGCACAACAGTTTAAGTTTTAATATTATCCTCAATATTAACTTCATTTATTAATGATCTATACATAAGAGTGTACAAGTAATGGGATCGTTCGACGGATGGAGCCAACGTGAGGACTTATCGCCTGAGTACTCAGCTTTATTTACCAAATTCTCCACCACATTATTCCTTCGTCCCGGGCGGTACCATTTCGTCGACTCTTATTCTTTTGCATGCAACATCAATTTTTGACATTTGAAAGTTGAAACTATACATTCTTTTTCAATCTATTGTGGAATTCTTGAAATTAAGGTATGAGATGAAGTTCTTAGTGGATGGAGAATGGCAGATCTCACCTGAGTTTCCTACTTCGGGAGAAGGGCTGATGGAGAACAATGTCTTAGTGGTGGAATAGCCACTCATCTTTCTGCATCACATAATTAGGTAAATACACCCTTAAACATATTCAGACTGGTGTGGATGAGATTCTAGACATAACCAATATATACTATAAGTTTTTTGGAGGGTTTTGCCTTGCTAATATTTTATGCTTCAATGGAATCTGAGCTGTTTGATACAAGGAATAGTATAAATAGGTGAGAGGAAGAAGATACTAAGTGTCTTTGGATCATAAACTATTCTTCATTTTCTTCTAGTTTGTTTATGGTTAGTCAAGAAGTATTCTTCTTCGTGGTTATCATCTCCTTTTGAGTAATATAAAGTGATGAGTTTACTTACAATACCATGAGGCCAAAATTTGTGTTTTTATTATTACTCCAATGTACAAATTTGTCAATATGTTAACAAGGGAAGAGGCAAAAGGAAGGATCTAAATGTAACCTTCTATTCACAAAGTTAATCTTGGTCAATTTATTGCGACACCAGACCAAATGATCTCTAGTCAATTTGGACATATTCAAGACCCTTGTCACAAGTTTCATGTCCACTTGTGAAAAGAAGTAAAGCACTTGATCTTCTGCTGAATCTTCTTCTTTGTGCTTTTGGAATCTTCTTATAATACATCTCTCACTCTTCAACACATCTTTCAACCTTTTCTCCTTCTGCAACCAACCACATCAATCACACAACCATAACAATATCGGTAAAACTTCTGTTTTTTGAGAAAGAAAACACTTACATTTTGAAGTTGTGATTTAACCTCGGCGAACATCTCTAGATCTTCTGAGTCTTCTTCATGATCTGGTTCTATCTGTGATTTGGTTCGCGATTTCTGATCATGTATGGAGCTAGAAAGCTTATCACACCGTACATATAGCCAGAATAATCGAATTGTTTCTTCCATAAGTTCAACTAGTTGATCGCTTTTAATTGCACCGTCATCATTTTCCTCATGATCTCTTCTTCTTCCATTCTTTTTATCCTTGTTTCCATCTTCTGTAACACCAAAAAAGAAGTTATTCTCATCAGTTACATTCATCTCTAACCAAGTTCAATGACAGTTTTCTTCAATTTAACCGACTTAGACCAAACAAGGATATATATAATAAGGAAGATCTCTCCAGATTAGTTCACAAGCTTGATAAGTAAGTACACAGACAATACTTCAAGAATTTCAAGAATCGGTTAGTAACTTCTGAACCAGATTAAGGATTTGGTTTAAGGGTTCTTACCTCGAATAACCGGGACCTGAAGGAGATTACGAAGAACACAACGTCTCTTGATGTAATGTTGCACTCTAGGCTCTTCGAACGGCTCGTTTTCAAGAAATCTCTGTAGCAAAACCTGAAACTGTTGGAATTCTCCAGCGACTTCGTTATACCGACGAGATCCATACATATCAGACTCTAGTAACTCAATGGCCTTTTCATATTGCCAGTGAAGTATCTCCCATGACAAACACATGTGACCAACGTATACATTCTCTAATTCCCCTTGAATTTCTTTTATGAATTGAACCATTGGTTCAGTTTCCGATTTCTTCGGTTTCCATAACCGAATATTAACCGAGAAAACCGATGAAAAAGATGCCTGTGAAGGAGAGGATCCAACGGCCGAGGTTGCTGCTTGTTGAGGGTTCTTTAATTGAAGAAGCCCTTCAAGAACAATGACCAAAACAATACACACAAAAAAATGTTTAGCTTAAATTGTAGATAAAAGATAATCAGACAAATGATTACCTTGATTTGTATATTGTATATATTTCATTTGTTATTTTAAATTATGAAATTACAAAAAATAATAAGTTGTGAGTAAATTTATATAAGAAAGGTAGGTTCGCACTAGCAAAATAAGTTAGTGGTAGAGTGGAAAAATTAGGTAAAGGAGTGCCATAAGAGAGCAATGCAATAAAGAAGAAACATAAAAGCTAACATTGAAAGCTAACCCCAAAGAAACTAAAACACATTTGGTGAAGATAGGCCAATAAACATATGCATAATATATGCATGTGTGTGCATTTGCTTATAAAAACAGAGAAAACAAATTGGTAATAAAATTGAGTATGAACAAATACCAAAGAATAAATATTTATTTTTTTCTAACTTCTTCTGACACATGATGATTTTTATTCGTCACACTATTCCCTAACAAATTTATTCCATATTCTTCATGAACTAATAAAAAAATCTAAACACATCATTCAAGAAAAAAACATTTAATTTCATTAAAGAACAAAACAAAACTAGTAAACACAATTAAATACTAATGGTCAGCTTTTAGGTTTGGTGTAATGTTCATTTCAAAAACACTAATTCTATAAACCCTATTTATGACTAGATTTCGTAGGACCTCTAATTTTGCTCATCTTCTAACTTATAAAAACACTACAAAAATTTTAAAATCTAGACTAAGTTAATTTGACCAAAAAAAAAAGTTGAGAAATTGAGAGAACTAACCAAGAGCATAAGACTTTTGAAAACTCAAGATATCGAGTTTTCTCATTCTTTCTCTGTAACTTCTATGGAACTTATGAACTTCACCAATGGTATCAACATGTTTGAACTTCTTCTCTTCTTCTATCCTCCATGGTTTTAAGTCTTCCATGATCTTAGGACAATCATAATCATCTTCTTCATCATCTTCTTCTTCTTCACGAATTGTCGGAAGCCCACCTATTGCTTTGACTTTCTTCATCTCCATCTTGAGTTGTTCTATCAAATCTTGATGCTCCCATAAACTCTCAAACCCATCTTCTTCTTCTTCTTCTTCCTCTGAATCAGAATCAGAACTTTCGTTTTTACGGGTTTGCTCTTCTTCCGGTGATGCTTCTGCGAAATCTGAATCTGATAAGAACCCATCTTCATCGTTGCTTGTGAACGTCTGACTCGAATCAACGAAATCAGAATCCGATTCTAAAAAATCTTCCTCGGTTAAAAATCTGATTTTTTTATCATCCACTGAAGAAACAGAGTGATGATACTCTGTTTTCACACCATCCTCTCCGTGGAAAACAGAGTGATCCTCTGTTTTTCTTGCTTTCTCCTCGCCGTAGAAAACAGAGTAACATAAACCCTCTGTTTTTTCCTTCTCCTTCAAACAATCCTCAACCCTAAAAGTCGCCGCCTTTGGACTTTCCATAACAAAGGTAAGATTTTTCGCCGACGCTGTCTCGTATTTACTTGCCGCCGCCGTAAAAATCGCCGGAGAAGAAGAACACAAAACACTACCCTCGCTCTCCGCACCGGAACCATCACTCAACAACGATCTGTAACCTTCTCTACTCAACCTCTCGAAAGTTTCAGTCTGAAACGCGAATTTAAAAACCAGTTTCGGGGGAGATTCACTAATCTCTTCTTCTTCTTCTTCATCGATTCCAGAATTCTCTAATTCGCTCACCATCTTCACTTCTTCTGGTTCGGAAAAATAAAATAAAAATCGAGTCTTTCTTTGAAGTGTCGGTTTCAACAATTTGTACCTCTTTCTCGAACACTGTGTTCCCTTTTATATATTCACAGAAAAAGTTACAAGAAGAGAAAAAAAAGTTTCTATTTTTAATTAACGCGTATTTTATTTACGCGTAGAGAGGCATAATAATAAAATCGTTACCTGGAGAAGAAGATGAAATTTTGAGAAGTAAAAATTGGAAATTTTTTAAGTAGAAGAAAGTTTATGATGAAGAGTCGTTGTTATGTCGGTGAAAGTTTTGGGTTTTTTTTTCTTTTGCAATGGGAGTCTAATTATGAATTATCTACTAGTTTGAAATACATGCAGAGAAGAAAGTGTAAAATTGCAGAAAAAGAGACTTTTTACCTAGAGAACCATAAAGAAACGTTTGTGAAATCGAAAGGATGATGACGATGCATCATGAATGATGCATGAATGATAAAAATAATAAGATTTAGAGGTGAGAACTAACAGAGATTGAGAAATTGAAGGGAAAGGAACAAGTGAGCGGACATGTAATTGTCAAAATATGTATCAAAAAAAGTGTTGTGTTCTTTGAGCTAATCTTATGGTTGCTTTGAATTGAACCATGGATATCTCCACTCTGTTATTGGATGCCACATACCCATCTATCACTACCAACGTTACTCTCTCTCTCTTTTTTTTTCTTTTTTTTTATAGAAATTTTACTATAAAGTTTTGTCCTAACTCAAAGTTTTTTTATATGAAATTATGACTCACCTATTTGACTTTTTAGGTATTTTAATTATCTTATTTTGGTCAAAACCGGTTTAATTGAATTGAAAACCAAGATTCGTTTCATATCGAAGTTCTTGAAAATTGGATTAATAACAAAGCCTCTGTGTCAAACTGAGACTCTTGACTTATCATGTCACATCGATGTGTATTAGTCAAATCCCCAATTTTTTGAAAACTCTCAACAAAAACGCCTAAAGCGTTTTTTATCACACACCTCTCTAGCAAACCAAAGATCAAACCTTTGCAAGAAATCTTTTATAATGCATCAAGGAAAGTGAAAGATTATAAAACTCTTTTGTAGTGGGTAGTCATGGTTGATGAGAGAAGGGTACTGCGTCGAGAGAACCAAGGTTTAGCTGATTATGTGTTGAAGAAGAAGCGAGAAGAACACGCTGCTAGGCCTAATGGTTTGTCGGAAAACATGGAGAGGACTTTTGTTAAGGCGTATAGAAATGTCTGTGACGCCAAGGTTTCAGTTGACAGCCTCGAAGAATTGTCGCAGATCAAGTATGTTTCTTCCTTTCTTTCGTTTTCCTAGGTTTCTTTTATTACTGTTCTTTCGGTTATGGGTTAAAGATGTGACCTTTGTTCAATTTTTGAGGAATAGATGTGACCTTTTTGTGTTTCTTCGAAGTTCTCTGGTTTTTTCAGTATTTGATTGAGTTGGGTGATGATTCTGAATCTCTGTTACAATCTGTTAAGAAAAAGATGCGACCTTTGTTCAATATTTAAGGAAAAGTTGTGACCTTTTAGTGTTTCTAGTTCGAAATTTCCTAGTTTTTCAGTATTGATTGAGTTGGGTGATGATTCTGATACAATCTGTTAAGAAAAAGATGTTCTGATACAATCTGTTAAGAAAAAGATGTGACCTTTGTTAAATTCTTAAGGAAAAGATGTGACATTTTGTGTTTCTGGTTCGAAATTCTCTGTTTTTTTTTCCAGTATAACAGTATTGATTGAGTTAGGTGATGATTCTGGTACAATGTATTAAGAAAAAGATGTGGCCTTTGATACACACTAGTGTTCTTTAAGAAGATTGAGACTGTTTAAGTCGAAGGTTGTTTCTTATCGTTGTGATATCATAGGATCTCAAGATGTTTCATTGTTTCAATCTGTTTCTAGATGCAAAATAGTTAGATTTTGGGTTGCTTTGCTTGCATCCACGGTGGATAATGCACTCAAGTGTTTGGTTTTTATCTTTATTTTGGCTGGATTTGTTGTGTAGGGGCTTTGGTAAGTTGATGCTTAAGCTCATGCAAGGATATTTTGTTACTGGTGCTGCAAGTTCTCAGCAAGAAGATTTATCTGGTAATCATGTCGTATCTATTTTCTCACATTTTTCACATGAAATCAATGAAATGTTTTTCTTAAATAAGGTGCTTTCATTTCTGTCCAGGGAAGAAGGCTAAGGGAACAGAACGGTACATCCCGGGAAGAAATACTACGACTTATGCATTACTAATAACATTGCACAGGTTTAGTGACATGTTTGTTTTCATCGCAATGTACTATTTCTTTCCCCTTAGTAAACCTTTCTTCAGGACCATTATTCTTTTTTTCTTTATCAGAGAGACTGAAAATGGGAAGAAATTCATGCGTAAACAAGAGCTTATAGATGCTGCTGAAGCTAGTGGGCTTGCACACGAACCCATTGCGTATGATTTAATAACGTTTCAGTCTCTAATATTGTTGATTTTGTACTCAGTTATTGCTGTCTGTTTTATTCTTCTATTCTTGTTGATAGGCCAGTGAAAGGAAAAGGAAAAGCAGGGCGCGGAGACTCGAAGAGAGAGTGGTATAGCGGATGGAGCTCCATGACGACACTTATACAGAAGGGATTGGTGGTGAAATTTAGCAACCCAGCGAAGTAAAAAACTCATTGCTATAACCCTGTCTTATGTATATTGTGCTTTTGTCTTGTATTCGTTAAAGAAGTACATATTACCTTGAGGCATAAGATGATTTTTTATTTCTCTTAGGTACATATTGACAGATGAAGGTCGGGATGTAGCAAATGAATGTATCATGCGGTCTCAGTTATCTAATTCAGTGGACATCTTATCTGATGAGGAAGTGGATCCTGCACAGCAAGCAAGGAGAACACCTAATCAAAATCCAACCTTTACATTGCAAGAAGAACAACAATATGTTGATGCAAGATCTTCTAGAGCACAAGCATGTAGGTCTTTAGCAAGCATGTGATCAAATATCTTTACTGTTGTGTCTGTTCAATGTTGGATGTTTCATCTTATGAAGTCTTAGCTACAAATACAGGTCAAGTTGACCTTGAGGGATCTCCTGCTAAGAAGTTCCGATCTTGCAATGTTGGATCCACCTTAAATCCTATGAAAGCCAGCTCATCTTCTGTATGTAACCATTTGACTTCAGTAGATTATTTAGCTATATAGCAGCAGCAACTGGATTGCTAATTAGCGTTGGTTGTTCTTTATCGTGTGTTGTTTACAAAGTTGGCATCAAATGGAACCAAAGGAGTAACAACTATTCCACGTCTTCCACCTCTTAAATTTGGAGAAGCTTTTGAGGAAGCATATGATGTGATCTTGATACTGGATGATCGAGAACAGTTTGCCACCAGAGGGTTTGTGGAACTCTCTACTCATTTTATATTCATTTGATAATTCTTATGGCTTAGTTGTGAAAGTGTGATAATAGCCTATCTATGTTATTCATTTATTCACAGATCACGTTCCATAGTTGATAACATATGCTCTGTATTCAAGATTAAGATTGAGGTTTGCATTTGCTTTCTTTCTTGGATAGATGTCAACAGATTCCAACTTACAAAAGTTAACTGGAAAATGGGTGTTGAATCTGTAGGTTAGACGATTACCAGTTGGGGATTGTATCTGGATTGCTCGGCATAAGTATCAACATGATGAATATGTTCTGGACTATATTGTTGAGAGGAAGAGCATTGATGATATGCGCTCGTCGATTATGGATAATCGCTACAGGGACCAAAAACTTAGACTTCAGGTGTGTGTATTGTACTCTTAGTTCCTAAGTTTCCAACTTGCTCCATCTTTCGTTGAAGGTTGTTTCTCATTGACTTCTTGAATTGCAATTTAAATAGAGATCAGGAATCAAGAAGCTGATGTACATTCTTGAAGGGGATCCAAACCAGTCTAAAGCAGCAGAAAGCATTAAAACAGCGTAAGATCAATCTTTTACTAGAAGAATCTGTTTGGTTTTGCATTTTTCTTTGAGGTTTGGAAACCAAATTTGTGTTCCATCTATATGCTTTAGTTGTCTCACAACGGAGATTCTGGAAGGATTTGATGTGTTGAGGACAAACGGGCTGGGAGAGACGCTAAGAAAATACGGTTATCTCACTAAATTGATATTCCAATACTACAAGTCGCGGGTGAACGATGATGACCAGAGCAAAGTCCCAGCCTCGTGTCCTTCTTTCGATGATTTTGTCAAAAGGTGTCAAGACCTTGATAAAATGACAATCAGCGATGTATTCGGCATTCAGCTTATGCAGGTATTGATTGAGTCTTGCAAAGCTTTATTCAAGATCTTATATGAAAATTCACAAGAATGCTTTTTGTTACAGATCCCGCAGGTAACAGAGGAAATTGCCATAGCTGTTCTTGATACGTACCCAACACTTTTGTCTCTTGTTTCTGCCTATTCTAAACTAGTAAGCTATATACACTTGCACTGCTTTAAAACCACTTTATGACTTATAGTCTTGAACTACAACAATCTCTCCATGGTTTTGAAGGATGGGAATGTCTCGGCGCAAGAAGAAATGCTTAGGAATCAAAGCAACAATGTAATATGTGCGTCCGCTAGTAAGAACATATACAAGTTAGTTTGGGGTGGATGACTTGACTTATAACCTCTAGTGTTTGTGAGTTTGTCATTTGACCTTTTTTTGTTGTGTAGAGAGAGTGATCTGAAACTGCTCCAGTGCATGTATTAGCGACTAGCTCTATTAGATAGTCCTGGGCAAAATAACCGAACCAAAAGGACCGAACCGAAAAAAGAAGAACCAAACTGAACCGAAACCAACATACAATAAAGGAATAGATAGTAAACTTGAGAACAGTAAGAACTTGAACCGGACCGATATCAGCCCGAGAATCGAATGGGTACCCGAAATATCCAACACCTAGTTTATATATATATATATATATATATAATATTAATCATATTAAGACTTCATATAACCTAACAACCAAAATTTCAATTATAAATCGGGTTTGTAACAAATGAGTACTCAAATAATCAGAAAACTAAAAGCAAAGGTTTGATAACTTAAAATTAGATCTCTCTCCTCTTCCTAACGAAATTACTCTTCTACCCCTAAAAATTCTTTGGTTATGCAGTAACTTTTGTGGTTATATATTTGATTAACTATGTAAATCATATGTTACCGTTATACATTATAAGTTATTTGATAACATCATAGTTATATAATTAAATTATTTATAGTTACTCATATGCTACCGCTATAAATTATTTGATAAATTCATAATTATCGAGTTAAATTATTTATTATATGACTGATATCAACTAACTTATATATTAACATGTTAATTTATTATGATATTTCATCTGTTATCGTTAATTTATGCATAAGAAACATATAAATGATCCAACTAATAAAAAAAAGAAACATATACATGATATATAAATGTTAGCGTAAAATTTTATGGATATCTATTTTGTTATATGATAAAATATTTGTTATCCATCATAGGGGTAGCTTTATCTAATTTAAGTTGTCAAGAGAGAGAACTAATTAAAAAAAAAAGCATGTAGATTCTTAATTTTTTTTTTGAGTACACCAAATGTAGTTTTCCTTATAAATCCATAAATATCAAATATTTATAGACTAAAATAATAATTGTTATAATGATATAATTAATTATATATTGAGTTGAAATCTTTTTTTTAATGAAATAGTTAATTTTTGGTGGAGGAAAAAGGCATAAGTGTAATAATGTATCATAACACATTGATTAGAAGAAAATCAGATGAATTTGTTAATAGTTAATTTTTGATAAAAGAAAAAAAAAATCACATGTATCTAGTAAACAATAATGCCATTTATGTTTTACATATATCATTTCTTTCACTATGATTATATATAGCTATAATTATAAAAATCTCGATACTGTTCAATTGTTATTGTAGCACTCTTCTTAGATAATATGAAATTAAGTGTTTCGAAGATGATATCTGTAAAACATAAATGGCATTATTTTTTACTAGATACATGTGATTTTTTGACTCAAAATCCAATCTCCAATAATATCGACTATAAATTCGTCATTCGTCTCTTCAACCGCAGATCTTGCCTCGTCAACCGCAGATCCTGCCTCGTCAGCCGCAGCCGCAAAATTTTAATATTTTTAATCGTTTTTTATAAAGTTTGGAAAATAAGTATTTTTGAAAAGTAATTTTTGAAAAGGGATATTTTGAAATTCTCCAAAATTTCATCCGAAATAAATGTTTCATTTCTTAGAATGATTTTTTTAGTTATTTTTTCTTCTTTTTTTTGCTTTTCTTTAATGAGTTTTAATAGCAAAGTCCCAAAAATACAAATTTGCTAAAACTGTGGTTTTAAAATGGAAAATATTATATAAAGTAGGTTAGATCATTTTTATGATTCTGTGGTCCTCTCTAGTTGGTATTCAACTAAGGATGTGTTATCAAGATAGCGTTCACATGCTACTTTGTAACATTTTGTTTTTTTTTTCTCAAACAAAAATGTGTGTTTTATGCAAAGGGAGTGGGCAAAAGATTCACGAAATTTGAGTTTTGATTCTCCAAATCTCATCTTTCTCTAAATAAGCATATACATATCTTCCAACTTATGCCATCCAACATCATGTATAACTAAATACATATATACATATATATATATATATATATATATATGTATATAGATTTAATGAACTACATATGGTGGTAAGATGTTTTAAAATCTAGCAGTGGAATAATTAATGTTGGTTACTAAAAGAACTATAAAGGAAACAAAACAAACAAAAATAAGAAAAAATTAAGCAAAGTATAAGAAAAACATATTTCGAAAACTAAAATAAAAGTTTCTAAACAAATATTGTAAAAGTGACTATAGATTTATTTTATGATATATTTCAAAACTTAGATGTTTGTGAGGAAGTAATATTGTATAAATTCATGTGGATTACATATTGAAATATTGAATACCAATTAGAATATTTCAAATCAAAAGTGGAGATAATTCAACACTAATATATAAAAAGATACAAGTTTTTCTACTAATAATTGATTTGAAGTTAAAAATTCATAAAAATTCAACACTAATATATAAACATCACCATGAAACACAACCATCTCTTCCCTTAAGATCCGTGATAACGGGCTCTAAACACATTATATATTTGTCTTTTTATATGTAAGACAATTTTAATTTTTATCTCCTCTTAATTTTTTTAGTTAAAAGTTAATGAGTAATAATACCTTATTTCGTTTTATAGTATACACCAAACTATAACGATTAAATTTAATTTCAATTAAAAACCCTCATATTTACCATTTTAATTTGGTTTATTTATCCAAAATAAATTATAATATCATGTAACAAAATTTCGTAAATTTTGTATAAGCTTTATGAACGAAACTACATTGAAATTTTGTAATTCTTCCAAAAAATCAAACGTAGGGAGAAACACACTTACTATTAAATGTGTACGAACACTAAATGGACCAAACAAAGATAGTGGGAAAAATATCAAAAGCTATAGCATTTTTTTTACCTTAGGAAGTATTTAAATCCAAAGACCTAACCAATGTTCTGTGCTGGACCTGATTTAGAAGTTGTAGACTTTTCTTTACCTTACTCGTGTCTTTATCCCTCATACCATTTTCAACCAAGAAATTTTACTATTACAATAACTTTGAAACCAATCTATATATCTACAAATTAGTGTTGGAATATATATCTGAATTTGATATTTTTTAGAAATATAGATTATTCGACCTTTTCAATCGATTAATATTTTTCTTTACAATGCCTATACGATTATACATTTCAAACTCTAGTTATATAGCCTGGAACCCTATGTTTATAGAAACATAATTACACATATATATATAGTCCGGACCAATCTAATATCTAATAATTTATTTATCCAATTCAATTATTTCAATAAATGTACCTAATATATTTAAGATTTCTTACGAAACACTTTAATTAAACAGTGAAATTGAAATTAGCGATAATTATATTTCTTAATTGGGTACAATTCTATGGATGAATTACTTTTTTTTTGTGTGGTTTAAAGGTGTTAGATAATTTCACAAGTAATCTCCTAAAACGAAATATTTATATTGTCACCTTATTAAGTTGATGTCATACTTTATTAATTAAATATTTAAGGGTTTTTACTATATTGCTCAGTGTTGTTTCTTGAGAAATATAATAGATTACTGAATACTGATGGAAGATAAACTATGGTTAGGTGGTTAAGAAAGGTAAATGCCACCGCTAATTACTGTATATACATCTTATTATATGTTAGTTGTTAAAAGAAACCCTAACCACACCTAATTGTATACTAACTATTATCAAATTGTTAAAAAAAACTATCCATAACTAAATCTATAACTTCTATGAAATTGGAACATTAATATACAATCACAATGGTTATGTACGAGCACATTTAAATTTGAAAAATGTAGACATTTATGACAAAACATGATGGGACATTTCTTTTCAAGTCTATTACATTTGTCCATCATATGGTGGAACTGTACTTTATTTGATATTTGTAAAAAGAAATAAAAAAAACTTATGGTGAAACCTTTTTTATTTTGTCAATATATTAAATTTCAGCTGAAAAATAAATAATTCTTTACAATAATATTCTTATGAATCAACTACTAATTTTTATCTCGTATCCCACAATGTATGTCCAAATATTTAAATAAAAATATTAAATTCTTTTATTTCATTTATAGTGTTAATAAATTTTATTCTCATGTATAATGTCAATATATTAAATTTTAGCTGAAACCTCAACTGTTTATAATTATATTCTTATGAATGAACTATTTAGTCTATTTGTTATCTTATAGTTCACAATGTACGCCCAACTATTTAATAAACATCAAAAAATGATTTCATATATAGTATTAGCCAATATCCCATGTATTGTGTCATACTTGCTTTGATGGTTATAAATTATTTTACCAAAATTTTAATTATCATGTTAGTTTCTCTTTTTTATAATATCTTATAAATATTGGTTATAGTCTGGATCTACCTTCTTTTATTAAAAATAATATAAATATGTGATATTAATTATATCAATTATATGTGATATATTTACGGTATATCAAACATGCACCAAATTAAAATAACATATATATATATTTTTTTTGATAAACCCTATCGACTGATTTGTTCGTCTCGGTAAAAACACATCTATGTGCTTCAGAGTTGACTTTATTGGTTATTTTTTGTTTAATTTGAAATCAACAAATATATTTATTTTTTATCAACCAGCCTACTACATGTAATTCTTTATTTTATTTCTTGTTTCGTCTATTATATTTCATTTTCAGTTTTAAATATGATATATTTTGATAACTCATATATTGATGGCTAATTTTTGTTTTCTATTATAATAAATACGTATTCATTGCTAAATTGGTACGTTACGAAAGAAAAATAAATAAGATAATCAAATAAATAAGTGGTGCACATGGTATATGGCAGTTAGGGCCATAACCTCAGCTTGTGCAAAAGCTTTCGTCCCCACCCAAAAAAGATAATACTGAAAAAAAGATATTTTGTGACTTGACTAATGCGTTACACTTATCAATAAATCACTTATAAATACCACATAAAATATTAATAATGACTTTACTTAAAAAAAAAAAATTCTAACAACCTACAACAAACCCATACCCAATATCATAATCTCATCTATTTCTTTATTGTGTTGAGAGCCGACATATCAATTACTCATCCCTACGTACGTTTCCCCAAATGGAAACTTACTGTTTTTACATTATTTCATCAACTCTAATCATTAGTGTTAGTGCCACTCCTTAAACCCCTTATTTAGCAAAATTATATGATATGAATAATGTGTGCTACGAATACGTAGCGATGTGATATATGTATTTTGTCAAATGAGAATAATTAAAGAAACTAAGCATATATACCAAAAATGGGTTATCGGAATGAATCCTTGACAAGGACATAGTTTAACATGATGCTAATCATGGCTAATCATTTGTAATAGAATAAACAAATTACGTTTTTGTATCTTTTTTAAAGAACAGGATCTAAGAAAGAAAATAAAGTACACACCACTTTATCTAGTTTGGTCGTAAAAAAAGATAAAAAATCTAAATGAATATTTATAGTAAACTAATAACGTTTTTAATAGGTTATTAGTATAAATCTTTTTTAAGTATCATCTTTTTGTTTCTTGATCCGAAACAAGATCACCACATCAAAGTGTATTCATTTATTTATTGGAACTTAATTAAATACATATTTCATTAATTGAAATATTTATCAAATTAAAATAGAACAACATATAATTCGAAATGTTATGGTATTATTAAGCGAGACATCGACTAACGTGATAAAAGAACATTAAAATTAAAATTATTAATAGTAATGCAAAAAAAAAACACAAAATATAACTAAAGATTAATATTAATTAAAAAGTTATTAACGATGATAATACAAAGTAGCTTACTCTAAAGCTTCTTATTAATCTGAGAGCACGACTCTCTCATCTTTTAACATTCACGACGACGACGATCCATTAACGTTACCGCCGCCGTGAACTCCGCCGCTATCACTATCAAATCCTCCGCCACCACCGCCGCTGCTAACACTGTGGTGAAGCTCTACTCCTCCTCCTCCACCTACGCCGTGATGTCCATTACCGTTGCTGTTAATCTCACCCGTGAGAACCGGAGCGTGGTTACCTCCGCCGTTATCAATCTTTCGGATCTCAGCTCCGGCGAAATCACGGCGGTTGAAAGTGTTTTTGTTGTTATGCATCCAAACTTTGAGAACGCTTTTATCAACTCCGATCTGCCGGCAAAACTCACGGACGTCGTCTTCGTCACGTTTCTGCATCTTCCAGCCAAGTCTCTCGGCGAACTCGTGCATCTTCTCTTTCTGAAACTGACTAAATTTTGTTCGGAATCTTTTACGAGATCCGTGAAGGTTATGTTGGTGGTGGCCGGAGAAATTGAGATCGGAGAAAGAAGCTAAGTTGTTGTTGTTGTTGTTGTTAGTGCCGGAGAGAGATAAGAGCATGTAAGAGGAAGAGATTGGTGGAGGAGAAGCTGAGTTAGGACTACGTGGCGGCGGTGGAGGTAGTGGTGGTGGAGGTGGATGATGACGGTGGTGAGGTTGATACTCTACGGCGGAGGAAGGAGGAGGTGGGAGTAAGGAGGAGGAGATATCGTTGTTGTTGTTGTCAGGATCACGGCGGTGGAAGTTACGGTGGCAGCCACAAGCAGCACATTTGAGAGAAGTAGGATCGGAGGAGATTGACGACGGAGAGGGCATGAACTCGCCGCAGCCGTCGAGAGCGTGGCCACCTAAAGCCGCCGCGTGGTTCTTGAGACATTCTTTGTAAGTAAAGAGGATAGGGTGGTGGTGGTGGTGGTGGCGTTTGATGATGCCGTTGCTGAAGGAAATGGGTTTGGCTGGTTGGATCCGGGTCGGAGTTTCGGATTCGGGTTCGGGTGATTTAGGAGTTGGTGTTGTTGTTGTTGTTGTTGGAGGAGATATTGGTGTAGGAGTCATATCCATCATAGCTTTAAAACATTAATAAACTTAGGGATTTTGGGTTAAGGAGCTTTTGAGTATGAGTTTCAGAGATTGTGAATAGAAAAATGAAGAAGAAGAAATAAAAAGATAAGTAAAAAGGTTCTTAAGCTTTTTTTGGAGATTATTAAAAAAAAAAAGTTTGTAAAATAATAATAATATTCGTTTAGAGGAGAGGAAAAGAAGAAAATGATATGATGACGGTGACGACTGTTGCTGAAGCAAATAAAGAAATATATATATTTTTTTTATATAAAGGACAATGGTATTAAATTAAAATTAATTATAAAATAAATATTTGTATACTTGGGGTTTGGTTTGGGGATATTTTAATCAAAGTTAACTAAGGTTTGGGTGTGATTTAACCATGGTTAGGTGAAGAGGAGGAGTGTGCGTGTTAGATTTTGCGGTGAAAAGCGTAATAAATGTTAGCTACTGACTGACTACTGAGTTAAAGTGTGTTGTGTCTTAAACCTAAAGTCATAAGTCAAATATTTTTTTTTTTTTTAAATAGAGAGAATAAAGTCTCATAGTAGTAATTGGTGGTAATGGTTCTTTTATTTTTATTTTTTCCTCTCGTGCGTTCAAACATTTACTGTTGAACAGACGGACACATTCATACAAAACACAAGTAATTAAGACCACAATATACGTTCAGCCTTGTGGTGGTGGTCTTGTATCTTTTATCATTCCTTGTGTCTTTCTTTTCAGATACATATGGTTTTTGTTCCTCTCAAGGATAAATCCTTTTAGCCATCCGGAAATCAGATTACATGCGATAATGCAAAGCCATTTTTTATCGGTTTCAAGGTTAGAGAAGCTAATTCTTAATGCATATAGAGTGGCAAAGAAGCTTTCTATTTAAATGTTTAATATACTTTACCTAGATGGTTGCATTGCATATACTTGCATCCAACTTACTTGAGAGTTGAGACAAAGAAACCAAACTTATGTCTCGTGTTTTAGAATCCAAGTGGAGCATGACCATATGGGCTCTTGTTAAATTTAAATTTTAGCAACTAATTGTAATGGGCCGGTTTATTCCACTTCCACACATGCAATTATATTAGTTCCAACACTCCGACTTCTTTAATATCTCAAAAATATTGCTTTCTAAGATTGCTTTAGCACATGATGACCCATAAGAACATCTCTATCGATGCATTTTAGATAGGGTATCAAAAAATAAGAAAATGAAATATGAGAAAAATAAAAAGAGAGGGCGAGATACATGTCTTTATTAAGAATCGGTGAGCTCTAATTGAGATTAAGAACCTCTTATAACATTTGTTTAATCTTATTAGTTTATCTTAACTAATAAAAATTGCTTTAGTGTAAAGATTGTTTTCGCAGCATGAATTTTGTTTGTATACGTTAACTTATGTACGTAGCCATAATTGTTCTTGATTTTTCAGTTACGTCGAAACATTGACCTATTGTTTAAACAAAACGACTTAGTAATTAATTTTTGATGGATACTTAAAGCTTATAGTTTCTGAACTCCTTAAAATTTGTCCGACCAAGGATTTGCATGCTGACAATACATATCTAAATCATAAAACTACATATACTTTTATTATATATAATTATACATATAACATTGTATGTTGTGGTATATGATTTAAGGTGGAAAGTTTGTACAAAGCCTTTTTATTAAAACCAAATATATTAATATTCAAATTTTAAGTTTTACTATAAAATATTACTTAATTGATACACAAACAAATTATATATAAATTATGCAACGATATGAATACATATTAATTATATGTATTATCTTTTCAAATGTCATGCTTCAACATTTAGTGACAACATTATATAAATACACATGCAAATAAAATATAAAATTATTCAACAATTGGAAGACACATTAGTTTTATATTCATATAACTCAATTTAATACTTTAATAATACGTTTATTTTATCATGAAAAGTTTTGTTTTAGTTAAAATAGAACGTAGTTGACTATGCAATTAAAGAAATATGTTTTACACATTTGCTCATTTGAAGTCTTAAACCATAATAATAATAATGGATTTTTATATCGCACTCAATATGTCAATGCAACATAGAACTAATTAGACGATATACAAACCTTAGGAAATCCGACATATGACATGTATTATCAGCACATGCGATATAAGAATTAACGTGGGTGGACTTCGATTCGAATCCGTGATTCTACGTTTTATTTAGTATTTTTCTTCATTTTTATTTTTTCTTATGTTTGTATTATCTTAAATAAAATAAGAATTGTTTTCAGTTCTATTTACTTTTCTATAAACAGTTTAACTTTAACAATTTTAATTCATTTTTCTGGTATAGTACATATATCTCAATTGACAAAATGCGGGGATGATAGTCAATTATAAAATATTAAACAATAGTATCTTAATTTTTTGGTAATTTTTTATTTTAAAAAATTAAATTTTGTGTGAGATATATAGATAAGTAAATTTAAGTATAACGTATGTACTTATGTTTTAAAGTAAACTCTAAGTTTGTCATTGTGTATTTTCTAATTGAGATAAATTAATTATCTATCTAATATATGTAATTAAGTGTATTTTTAAACCAATAAAACAGTGGTTTCAATTTTTTTTCCTCATTTTTCAATTTAAAATACAAATTATACTATAATGCTATGCTTTGCATGGTGCAACATCATCTTGTTCGTACTTAAACACAGAAAATTCCAATAACAAGTATAGCACGGAAAGGTCTTCTGGAACCACAGAAAATTCCTATCCAGTAGCCCTGTCGATTCAGATTTTAATCAAGAGTTTACAGATTTTAATCAAGAGATAAAAACTCTGAAGTTTCTCTAATTAGTCAGAGTAAATACTTCATATCCTCAATGAAACGAAATGTTAAGGTCTAGTCTCTGGCGTTGAGTAAATCAAACTACACAACTATTGGACATGCAAATTCCTGAAAATGATGAATTTATGGAGGTGATTAAAGATAGTGATGAATTCTTCAAAGAAAGCATATCCTCGATATCAAAATCCTGAAACGCAACTAAAATATGAAAACAAAAACTGATTGTTTTGGTCTGAAAACACTTAGGTAAAAAGCTACTAAAGGGGCGAGAAGACAAAGAAGAAGGCTGGACTGATGATTTACTCTTCATCAGACACATCATCATCATCACCACCTGCTCCGTTCAACGCCTTAACTCTCTCGATCAACTTGTTCTTCCTCTCTTCGTAAGTCAACTTCTTCAAGTTGTACCTGTTTCAAGAAACCAGTTAGATACACCAGTGCAACAACAACAAGACTATTATAATAAAGGCAGTAGTGAAATTGCTTATTTATTTTTTACCTCTTGTGTTGCTTGGGAGCAGGTTTCTCGGTTTTCTTAGGGTTGGGGTCTGCTCGAATAGCTGCATGAACCTTCTTGTACATCTCCTCAATGCTCTCAGCTTCAACTCCTTTCTTAAGGTAAGCACTGAAGTGAGTTTGCAACTTCTCTGGCTCATCTTCCGCCAACATTTTCATGTAGTTTGAGACATGGCCACCATAGATGTAGTTCCTGTGGGTTTCAGCATTGAGTTGCTTGTTCTCTTTGTTGAAACCAGCAAATCTCTTGTCACTGTGTGGGATATCAAGACCTCCATCTAAAGCACCCTGTCGTTTCATGAAGCAAACCAAAAGAATTAACACAGAGTCATCATTTGCTAATGCAGCACAACAGATAAGAACACAGATAACCACATTAAAACAGATAACCATTTTAATACCTTGAGTGCACCAAACACACGGTTTCCGGTTGTGGTCCTGATAAGTCCAACATCAAGAAGTGCACGGAAAGGTCTTCTGGAATCAGTTGGTTCCACAGAAAAGTCCTCTCCAGTAGCCTGATTCGGTAAATTGTGAATCAGTTAATAATCAAAAGATGAAAACTCTAAATGTTTCTCTAATTTCAAGATGAAATCAAAAGCACAACATACCTCTAGGTTGCCCTCATACTCGTCATCCATTTCCAACATTTTCAGAACACGACGAGCCAATAGGAGGCCAGTACAGTAAGCTAGCATCACAAAAGACAAAGTCTTTAGGAAACCATACACACAGAATCAAACTTACAAATAGCAAAAGTATAAAACTAATTCATTACCTGCAGCGTAGTTGGTAAGACCAACAGTGAGACCATACTGAGGCAACTCATGTGCGTAAGCAGAAGCTTTAACAATGTCACCAGCAATGCTTGCAGACACAATCTGTGCCACAATGTCTTTGTTGGTAAACCTGACAACAAAACGGTACTTGGGTGTATTGTACTTGTTCTTGTCTTGGTTGATAAGACGGATCCTTGCCCTGTAATCAGTCTTGCCAGCTACAAAATCAAGAAACAGCAGCTTTTAGAACATGTTCAACAATGACAAGCACACAATATAACAATCGAAAACGAAAATAAGAATCAATCAATACCTCTCCTTCTCCTGAACTTCACTTGATACCTCTTGAAGTAAGCATTCGACTTGTCAGACTTCACGAACACCTAACAACAGAAAAGGAACCCTAATTTATTAGACTACATCAAATAGAAATCTAAGTCTTAAAGATCCAACAATATGCTAACCAAAGGGTACGAAAGATCATTCATTTAAAACGCATCAGTGACCTCTATAACAGAGAGCAAAAAGCTAAAGTCTCAAACTTTAATACTTAACACAGACGAAAACACAAAATTTGACTATTTCAATTCTCAAAACCAAAAACCCATGAAGAATATACATGAATACAACAACCACAGGCTCATGAATTCTTGTTTACCATAACTATCAAAAGAAATGTAGGAGATTTCTATACGAAATGAACCCAAAATCTGATCTTTTGAGGAGAAATCAAGAAGAAAACATGGCGGAGAGAGAGATCTTAGCTAAAGGCTTACCATTGTTTGCTGTGGAGATGAGTGAAGAGAAGGGAAGAGGCGGAATTGACGTAATGCGAGATCAAGCTTATAACACAAAAACCCTAGACTCCTCTTTCGGCTCTTCCAATCAACGGCCACGATTTACTTGGGATAAATTAATATGTAACGGCTTCGATTGGTTAACGGCCCAATGAGCTTTGTATTTGGACTTTTTCTAGTCCTTTCATACCGATTGAAAACGCTGTTAGTACTGGAACTAATACAGAAATTAACACCGAGTTTTTTTTTTCAAAACACTTCTTACTGAATGATAGAAAATCTTACAATTTTTTTATTCTGTAAATTTCTTATTCTCTCAATCTTAAGTTCCTAAATCACAATTCGATTTAGAACTTCTCTCAGAAAATCCTAAGCCCTCTTTAAATTCTTAACTCTCTTTCTTAAAAGCTAAAACTTAATTAATAGGAATTTTTCTCGTGATTAAGCTCAACTTTCTTCAAGTCTAAGCTCTCCAATTTATATGTCTATGGTATTGCCGCACACTAGGTCAAACCCCTAAACCATATATTTAGGAACATGTTAATTTCCATTTTACTATTTAGGAAATTAATATTATTCTTCTTGTTTCCTTTATCGCCGTAAAGGAAGTCTTCTAGACACTTCTCTTTGCTTCGTGTCTTCTAATAACTGCCCTTGGTGATTTCCTTCTTGTGCTCCTTTGCTTGTCTTTCACGCTTTGACTGCTACTTCACTTCTTGATATGATTATCGCCGAACAAAATCTGGAGCTCGTTGCCGAGGAACAGTCCGTAGAAGAGGAGCAACTCGTAGCCAAGGAGCAACTCGTAACCAAGGAGCAGCTCGTACCCAAGGAGCATCTCGTACCCGATGATGAGCTTGTAGCTGAGGAAGTGCTTGTGAAGAAGCTAATCAAACCGCCATGGTTTTAGTTCAAATCTCATCAATGATCATCATGGTTCAAGGGGTTCGGTATGCACTCTTTTTCCCTTGTCAAGTTTTGTCCCATTGGGTTTTCTTGACAAGGTTTTTAATGAGGTCTAAGTAACACTTTCAAGGCCATTTACCAAGCCCAATTCGTGGATCCAAGGCTCATCACTTTTCCTTGGCCTATTTTCTATCTTTTCTCTTCATTCTTGCATTTAATGTTTTTGTTATTTCCAAGACTTGGTCCATGGACTTGCATTAGTGTATTTCCAAGGCACTTGTGTATTTCCAAGGCACTTCTCTCTCATTCCCTTCTACTATATAATCCCCATCTACCTCTCATTTGTAAATCATCTAATCTTTTTATCAAAAACTCTTTCTAAAGTTAGATCTCTCTCTTGTTCTTTCTCTGGTGTGTAATATCCTTAGTGAAGTCCAAGTTCGGTAAATCAAGGCTCTTCCGCAACCTTTGTGCGACCATTCGCTCCACATCCTTTGGTCTAAGTGATCTCACGATCCCTTAGGTGCAAAGCCTATCATTCCCTCAACTTCAAGAGTGTCGATTCTAGGCGATTCTTATTATGTGGTATCAGAGCACACTCTGAGAAGTTGAGTATTCTATCTTCTTTACCATCTTTCATCTTTACCATTCCATATTCATCCATAATCCATTGCATTTTTCGTCTTTTATTTTCGTTAGTTTTTTTTTCTGGATTTTCTGTCAACTTGTCGGAATTTTCATAAATAACTGGCTCATCGTAAAATTACAAGTTCAACTGATTCTGAAACTAGAGCGAGTCTAGTATTTTTAAAAATTATTTCTAGAATTTTTGAACTTGATTTTATAATTTATTTTGCTAAATCAAATTCATCTGTTTTTAGACATAATTTTTATGTTTTTGTTTTGAACTAGTGACTGGGTTTGTATTATTTCAGTGGCAGGGGAAGAGAAATCCAAGTCATCAAGTTCGAGAATAAGTGCTAACAATCAAGTCTTCATTGATGCTATCACCAAGCAAATCACCAAACAAATGGATAACATGATGAACGAAAAGCTTACAGAAAAATTTGACGAAAGACTTAAGCTGATCGAAGCACAACTTAAAGGAAAAGAAAAGATGTCACCCAAACAAGTCATCATCTCGGAGGGCAAGAAAAATCAAAAGGAGCAAAATAGTCAATCCCCGAAGAAGGAGCTGGTTGATAAACATTACCCGAGTAGTCACTCATCTCACCGGAGCAACCAAAGACCGAGACGTGCGAGAAAAGAAATTGAACCACCCATAGCCGTCCAAAATCAGCAACTCTCAAGCAACAAGGAAGAACAAAGTGAAACCAGCATTACAGAAAATCTCGCCTCGTCGCAAGCTAAGTGTATTCTTTCATCTCTCCAATCTGATTTTGTGCTTGATAAACTAACCAATTTTGAACCGGAGAAACCGAGTAGCATTGTTTCCTTTTCACATGTTCATGAAGAAGCATCGCTAGGAAAAACACAAAAGAGTTTGTCGTCAAATTGTGAATTGGAACCGCCACCTAACTTGGAGCTAGAACGTGTCCTTTTACCATTTCCTTGTGACTACCCAAGAAAGCACTGTAAGGAAGTTGAATTGGTTAGGACTAGTTTTAATTTGTGTGTGTGGATTTTTGCTCAAAATGAAAAGCGTTTTGGTTTAGAGAATGTGAAAGAATTTCGTGTTTCAAACCTTGTTTTTGATAAAATGGTCTCATCTTTTGAAACAACAACACATGAAAAGTCCTTTAAGCCACAAAGTTTGATGTTTGATGAGTTTCGTGAATTTAGCTCATCTTTGAGAGTGTCTTTGTGTAGCAGTACGTTTGAGCTGCTTAGTACTAAAACTGAATGTGCTTCGTTTCAAACATGCCATGATTTGAAATACTTGCTTAAAGACGTGTTGTGTGGCTCAATTACACCAACGAAACCTTGTGAATCGAACTTGAATGATCATGTGGTTGATAAATGCTTTCCTAAGTCTACAAAGGTTGATTTGTTCACTAGCAAATGTTTTCTTGTTCTAAAAGTTGTTAAGGATTTTTGGTGTTCTTCTCACATTCTTATTTGTGACAGAGAGTTTGATTATCTTAAGAGATTGTTTATCTATTCCTATCACACATTTGATGTGGTTTCTCTAGTCCTTGTAAAAACCAAAATAAGACAGGTTAAGGAATCAAAGTCAAGGATAATTAAAGATTTTACTAATCAAATCGACTATGGACCAAGGTAAGAAATGAACGAAGGAGATCTTGTGTTCTTACGGTTTAAATTATCAACCAAGGAGCATGGAAAAGTAGCCAAAGATGATTCAATGTTCAATAAGGAGCCACCGGATTTAGAAACTTTCTCATCTAAATTCTTTACGAAGACGAGAATTAAAGTGTCTTCGATGCATGCCAAGAAACTCATTGCTTATTTTAGGATGATCTTTGAGGTGGGAGAACAAGTGCGGTTTCACTTGACGAAGGAAAGATTCCCAGCCGAGCGAAGTAGCAAGTTGAAGCCAAGGATCGATGGACCATTCACCATCACAAAACGGATCAATGATATTTCCCATCAAATTGATCTTCGAGGTAAGTACAATATAAAATCGAGCGTTAACGTTTCTAATCTATCTCCTTTTATTGTAGACAAAACGGATTTGAGGATAAATTCTTTTCAAGACGGAGGGCATGATATGACTATCGCTGAACAAAATCTGGAGTTCGTTGCCGAGGAACAATCCGTAGAAGAGGAGCAGCTCGTAGCCAAGGAGCAGCTCGTAACCAAGGAGCAGCTCGTACCCAAGGAGCATCTCGTACCCGAGGATGAGCTTGTAGCTGAGGGAGTGCTTGTGAAGAAGCTAATCAAACCGCCATGGTTTTAGTTCAAATCTCATCAATGATCATCATGGTTCAAGGGGTTCGGTATGCACTTTTTTTCCCTTGTCAAGTTTTGTCCCATTGGGTTTTCTTGACAAGGTTTTTAATGAGGCGTAAGTAACACTTTCAAGGCCATTTACCAAGCCCAATTCGTGGATCCAAGGCTCATCACTTTTCCTTGGCCTATTTTCTATCTTTTCTCTTCATTCTTGCATTTAATGTTTTTGTTATTTCCAAGACTTGGTCCATGGACTTGCATTAGTGTATTTCCAAGGCACTTGTGTATTTCCAAGGCACTTCTCTCTCATTCCCTTCTACTATATAATCCTCCTCTACCTCTCATTTGTAAATCATCTAATCTTTTTATCAAAAACTCTTTCTAAAGTTAGATCTCTCTCTTGTTCTTTCTCTTGTGTGTAATATCCTTAGTGAAGTCCAAGTTCGGTAAATCAATGGCTCTTCCGCAACCT